CTACTAACTGTATCGACTCACGCATATTGAAGCTCTAATCATGCATCTGTAACTCATAATTTCGCGGGCTAGTTCTATGCCCGACGTAGTGCCCATTTCCTTGGGCCCCGGAATAAACCAACGCCTTCCTACAACATCCCTTTCTTCCAGACCATCCGGTAGTAGACATCTTAGTGTACAACAAGACTTGACAACACGGCTCGTCGCTGCTTTGTATCTCCGCATGACGCACAACCTGTCTGCTGGTGGAAACCTAGGAACCGATAGCTGTCCATCAAGAACAGCTACAGATCCCAGCAACGTTCGACGACAGTGGGTCATCTCGCTAGATTTGTCCCTCTCAGCTCTCAGCCTTCTTGGCAAAAGCTGCGTCATTGCTCTCCTTCTTCTCCTTCTTGTCCGACTTGTCTGACTTGCCATGCGTCTCCTTCTTGTCTGCTGCTGCTGCTGCTGCTGCTGCTGCTGGCTTCTTCTTTGTGTCCGCCTGCTTGTCGTCGGCATCCTTTGGCGACTTGCCCTCCTTGGCCTCTTTACCCTCTTTACCTTCTTTGGTGCCCTCCTTGGTGCCCTCCTTGGTACCCTTCGTCTCTTTCTTCTTCTCCCCGACGGCGAGGTTTTGCATATCAGTCTTGTCCTTCTCCCACTGGCTGCTGGCATCGCCGAACTGCTCTTTGACCTTCTTAGCCTTCTCAGCCTTCTCTTCCTCCTCCTTTTGACTAGCGAGCCTCTCTTGCTCCATTTCCTATGTTGCATTAGAACAGACTTTGTGATGTTGCTATTGAGAAGCAGACGTACCTCCATGTGCTTGATGTCGTCGACACTAGGCTCGTAAAGATGCCAGATCGTGTAGTGCGGCAAACCGACAACGGAGTATTCCATCCGTTTTGCCATCTACACAGTAATAGTCAGCTCTCTTCTATTTTCAGCAGCGGAACAATCTTACCTTTCCGAATCCTTCCGTCTCGGCGTGCTTCTCAAAACTGAAAGCTGGGAAGTGTACTCCAGACCGGAAGACCTTGGCCTTGGCAAGAATACTGACGCCGCCCACTCCATCAATTTCCATCTCCATATCAGGGTCACCGTATGGGTCTCGCAGGTATGCCAAGTGCGGTCGCCAAGTGGCGTACTCGGCGTAGCCCTCAACAATCACGGCATCTTCGTCCAGCGTGTCTGCGAGAGCCAGCGCCGTTTCTGATTCTTGCCACGAGTTGAGATCGTACGGCTGCTCTCCGCCAAGCCAATCGGGTAGAGGACGCCAAACATCTGCAAACTGTCAGCTAGATACTCTCCTCCGCCCTTCAGGGTTCCTCGAGCTTACTTGGTACAATCACGTCCTTGTTGTGGCGCATGAGATCTTCGAGGATGGTAAAGGGAGCGGTTTCGACGTCAACGTCGCGCCAGTACACCCAGGAATGGTATGGTCGCAGGGCAGCACTCAGGAGCCAGTTACGGGCCTGCGCCATCAACTTCCTTCGACTCGCCTGTGCCGCAAACCCGTGACGACTCTCGACATCCTGGTTGACCTTTTGTCCAAAGTCCTTTTCGATGATGGAGATCTCGCCGTAGGGTTGCTTGGGGTCTTCGTCGGCCTGGATCTCCTCCAGCATATCGTTGAGAACCTGCAGGGTGCGGTCCTTTGAATCGGAGACGAGGAAGGCAAGGTCGATGAGGTGGTGGGGGTAGGTGAAGTTGCGCAGGTGGGAGGCGAACATGGACAGATGCGACTCGGCGTCTCTCAGAGGAACACAGAGAAGAATGCGCTCCTCGCGCTCCCATCCCCTAGCAGTCCCCTGCACATTGCTGAGATCGTAGTATCGTACTGTTTCCAGTTGTAGTTCACTGCTGGCGGACAGCAGACCGAGGGAGAAGATGGAAGTCAGGGAGGCTCCCGGCCAGATGAAGACGAGAAAGAAGATGGCGACAACGGCGACGATGACGAGGCGGGTTAGCAGGCGCTGACGGCGACGATTCGCGGGTGTTGAGGCTCGTGGTTGGTATCTGTTCACGAGAGAATGTCAAGTTAGCTCGGCGCGGCGCAAAGGATAGAAGCAATCAGCGAGGAGAGAGCAAAGGTGTCTTCCTGACCTGTGGGGGGAGATCTCAAAGGTGTTCCCCCTTGGATACCCATTGGAGTAACCACTCGCATGATGCCGCGGCACCACCTTGGAGGCTGAGGTAGAATAAGAAGGCAACATCCAGGGCACTGGGTGGAAGTCCAATTCCGGGTCCCGAGGTGAGGGTGGAGAGTTGTACGGCAGTGAAGCACCTCGCCCAGCCCTTGGGAGTCGTGAAGGTTAAGCAAAGGAGAGCATCTAACCAGGGGGGAGCGAGTGCTGTGGTCGGTCGGTTGGCGGGAAAGTGCGGCTCGGGCAGCGAACGTGTCAGTTTGTCGAAAGGTATGGAGGCCGCGATCGCGATGGCGGATGACAATGCGTAAAGAGGAGGATAATATGGGATGGGTCAGGTAGGTTAAGGGAGTGTCGACGGGATACCTGCGAATACGGGGACTGGGACTGGGACTGGGACTGAACCGGGACACCAACTTTGGCTACGTATTATTTTATTTTCAGATTGCCTCTGTCATCCCAGGAATTGAATAGGTACTTGGCAGCCCTGCTACGACAGAGCACCTAGTCAGGTACCTGCACCCACCCCTGCCTCGCGCCGTCTGAGAACTAACAGTACTGAGCATGCACATTGCACAGTAAGGACAACGTACTTTGAACGTGTCCATCTGCCAAAGGCAGGGTGGCAGGGCGGCATGGCGGGAGGATGGGTATGCAGTGCACAGCCCGCAATTTAATTGGACGAAACTTGGTGGTAGAAAGCCTCCCTGAGCTCCCACTAGTCTGGCGTCCATTGCCTCAAGCTACGGAGTACACGGGAGCAAGCTACCTTACCTTGCCTTTTGAGCTTTTGAATCCGCGACTATCTGGCCGCTTAATCGTCCGGGAGGCCCGTATATATGGATGCCCCCGTTAAAACTTAACCTCCCTTCCATCCACGATCACACTCCCGACGACAAGGCGCTCAGTTTTCCTTCTTTCCTACGCAAGACGTCAACGAGCGCAATTGTCCTTCAAAACAGTAACGCCTGTCTGAAGAGTTGGGCGCAAAGGCGAACAAACATAGAGCTGACAGGACGCAGCCGACCGAAAAATGGATGACATGACCTCTTAAGGAGAGAATGAGCAGGTTCACGACGGAGAAGAGATATACCATCTACCCCTTTGGTCGCAGACGGTACTAAGGTGCCTTAGCCTGCCCTCACGTATCTGAGTTGCACAGGGAGTTTTCCTCGACGGTAAAGTGTGAACAAGACCACACAGCACAACACACCAGTGTCGCTTTCCACCGTGAGACGTCCGCATACCTGCCAAGGCCACTGTGCCCAAACATTTTACCTGCATCTTGACATTGTCTACTATCGTATTGCACTTGCAGGAGTGGGGTTCACCGAGCTCATGGGGATGGCGAGAGGATAATGCCGCTACTCATGTTGTTCTAGCATCTCAAATCTCCAACGCTTAGCCAGATCCTACCACCATAGCTGCCGGTGGCCGGATGAGGCATGCGTTATTACGCTTCACTTTTATCACGACGTCGACGAGTGCAATGGGTATCATGAGAGGCAAACATGGGGGGCACGAGAATACATCACGGAGGCAAGTCAAGACAATGATAGGATCCTAAGCGTGATCATTAGCAAAGTGAACTGCACGAGAGTTGCTTTAAAGAAGTATGATCATGGCATCAGGTCAGACAAGCCGGGTGTACTCATTCAGCCAAGCCGGCCTCGCGAACCCTGAACCTCAGAACGAGGAACCGAGAAGCTCAGCACTGAAGTTAAATGACGACTCCCGAGGGAGCCAACTCCACCACCTTCCTCATCCCTCCGGAGAGGGGCTCCAGTGTGGGAGGATGACTCGGCTGGCATGACATAGTTGAATGGATAAGCTATGGTCATCATGATGTTGCGTGCGCCTGGGCAGCACGCGCGAGAGAATATTTAATACAGAAATTTCTTACCTGTGCTTGCGCGCTTGCCCACAAAGTTGGAGATGACAGCTGCGAAGCCGTATAATTCACATTGCTTGCCTGCTGTGGGACGGTTCCTGTTAGCTATTTGACTCGAATCATCAAGCAGTAGCAAATAAGGAAGATTGACGTCGTGTCAGACAAATTTTTGGTATAGGGGTTATCATCACAGTGTTCAGTAGCAGAACTGAATGATATGGTTGTTCATCATAGTCGACGTAATGCAGGTGCCGCAAAAAGCAAGAAAAAAAGAAGCGTTGTTGACTTACCCAGCCAGCGTAGACGCGAAGGTCTGGCGACGAGATGTTCAGCTTGATTCATTGACCTTGAACCACAGTTAGTTGAATTCTCCCATCTGGTCTCAAGAGAAAGTGCTGAAAGTCCATAGTGGCGTAGGATCAGATGGTGATGCATGTTTGTTCTTGCGCTCAGGAGATCGCGGGAACGGTGTGTAAGATATACATCATGAAAGTGGAAGATGGGTGTGATAGAGATTGCAAAACTTACCAAGTAGAACGATCTCGATGCTGGCCTTGCGAAAGCAGCCCATTTTGGCTACTAAAGCACTGTTTTTCGCGGTTGCGGAGGATGGTGGTTGAGGTTGTTAAAGAGAAAAAGCGTGGTGAAAAATTTCGGCTTGAAGTATTGAGCCTTATATGGCATAATGGGATGTCCCCACTTGCCTTTGTGGAGCCGGCGCAGGCGCGCAGATGCATCTAACCGGGTATGGTGGCCGCACCTCAGTGGTCGGCAACGACCTGGAAAATTCACCTCAGGTCTCATCTTGGGAACTCGCAGCTGGGCAAGGCTCTCAACTCAGGCAATCAGAACTAGGCTGTTCTTCATTCATACACATTTTCCCAGAAGTCACGCCTTCCTCAACTCAAACACTTTTGACCCACAACAAAACCGACCAAACCGCCTCTCCCACAGCTGGGATAAAAAACAGAGCCTCTATCAAGATGGCTGATCGACGGAGAATTAATGGACCGCCTGGTATCACATTACCGCCCGTTTACGAGACCACGGATGCAATTACGACCCCCAGGGAAAGACCGGCAAATGGAATTCGAGGATTGTGTTAGATTACCTTCTCTTTACTCTTGGGAATTGATGATGCTAATAGTGAGAAGTTCTCAAGACTGGCGTCACCCCCACAGCCTCAGGCTCAGCATACATGGAGATTGAGCCGCCACTTGGCCAGGTCAAATCTCAGGCCAATTCTCAGTCAAAGACCAACGGCATGAAGCTCATCTGCACTGTCCATGGGCCTCGCTCACTTCCTCGTTCCGCACCCTTCTCGCCTTATTTGGTGCTCTCAACTCACGTCAAATACGCTCCCTTCGCCACACGTCGACGCCGAGGCTACCTTCGTGATTCGAGTGAGAGAGATCTCAGCGTTCACCTCGACACTGCCCTACGTGGCGTCATCATTGCGGACAGATGGCCAAAGAGCGGCGTCGATGTGATTGTCACCATTATCGAAGGTGACCAGGAGCGAGAGGCATCGCATTCTCAAGGCAACGAAGAGTGGGATATGATGAACGTTCTCAGTGGCTGCATCACTGTTGCTGCGGCGGCTCTGGCTGATGCTGGCATCGATTGTGTCGACATGGTTACTGGCGGTGTTGCTGCTCTTGTCTCCTCGAACGAACAAGACACCAAAGATGCAGACGCGCTGTCTGTTGTCTTGGACCCCGTTTCTCTGGAACACGACAAGATTCTTGCCGCTTGCTGTGTTGCTTACCTTCCTTGTCGCGCCGAGATCACCAACCTCTGGGTGAAGGGCCAGCTTTCGCCGTTGGACCCTTTGCTCCATACGAAACTCATGGGTCGCGCTATTCAAGCCTCGAAGGGCAACTATCGCGCCGTTCTTGAGAGGCTCGAAAGCGACCAGCCGCCCAGCAGTTAAACGACTGAACTACGGACAATTACCTAGCGGGGGTACGCAGCCTCGGTTCGCCGACACACCGTTGATTTGTCACGCCTATGAAAAAGGGCCACGATCGACCATAACCTCAAGGCGCCCGTGAACGTCGAAAGCTGCAGCGTGCGTTGAACGCATCAGCGCGGTCACATTGTACCGGGTGTCATTGGCACTCGAGTGATGACGAACCATGATGAGGGCTTGGCAGGAAGGCAAGCGGAAGCAAGGTCACCTTGGAGAGCTTAGGCAGAATTTTCAGATCGACGACGGTTGCCGAGCTTCTCTACACATAGCCATACTCGTGATGGACGCTCAGGGGGCGGGCTGTATCGAGAACATCCTGTAATACCAGGCGTTGTGGCCGCATTGGCAAAAGATACCAGGCCCATGTATGGAGAAATATTGAGAGCTTCGATAAATGAGGGATGACAGACATAGTCATCAAGACTTGAAGAGGTCTGTTCATTTGATGGCAGGCTAGAAGGCAATAGAACGTCCTTGGTTGAAGAGTCCTTCCTAAGAAATGAGCAGGTGAACTATGAATGCGGTACAGATTATCTACCTAGACAAATTTGGCTTTCTGGGCCCAGTCTACTATAATTCCCGCCCGCTTGAATTCGACTGCCTTGCTTTGTATAGAGTGACCTGCCTGGCAAGGAAAGAAACTAACATAGCTGCTCCCTGGTTGTTTAGGCCCTTGAGGACCTTGGCACCTTGGGTAGGTTGTTGATGATACCTCTAAGGTTAAGCATGGATGCTTGTCAGGTATCCACTTTACCCCAACCTCGGCAGCGCACTCGTCGCACTGAGGAAGCCCTTAGCTGTCTCTCATAAGCACTCGGACCCCGGCTTCCAGCTCCTCGGTGCTCTGGGCTCGCTATTGTCCGTCAGAGAACGGCGCTAAGGAGTGGAGAGACCTGGAGCGATCAGTGAGCTTCGCGGGCATGCGACAACATCCCTCCATCCCATCCGAGCTTCCGTCCTTATCCTTCTCTACACCCCCCACCGTCCTTTCCCTTCTCCGTCCCGTGCTTGACGAGCCATCTTCCACCGACCTTGGGCACCGACCGTCCGCAAGATACCATCGACGACCACCTGCCTAGTCGACGACCGTTCCTGACATCGACTGTCCGCCTGCCTACTAGTGGCTCTGTCAGCCCGAACACCTCCTCGTGCCTGCTGTCCGCATAATGTTCTCCTGCATTCGACGTCACTGCCCATGATCCGAATCGCGACAATCCCAGCCGCCCCGAGCGATAAGGCTGCTGCCGCTGCCTTGCCTATCATCTGGTCCTAATACCAAACTTTTCCCGGTGATCATGGACAATCTGCATCCACCTCCTACTCTGGAAAATACAGGAGTTTGGCAGAACCTCTCGCTGTGGACCGCTCACCAGGTTCAATACGCCGTCAACATTACCAAGCTCGCTCCTTCCTTCGAAGACCTGGTATGGGCTGGTCCGCGGATGGTGCGAAAGCTCACGGCCTATCTTCCCATTCCCGACTCCCTCGAGAGAGTCATTCCAGAAGCAACAGGACCCGGCATCCTACGTACCACCGACGCAGCCACGACCGCTGCCCTCAACATGGATATTCCTCCTCCCTTAAGCCACCTTCATGGAACTGGACCTGCTATTCCGGCCGATCCAGATGCCGTATTGGCCTCTCCCAAGTTCACCATGGAGGGCGCAAGAGGGCTAGGTAGCGTGTTCAGTTATGCAACGAGCAAGTGGGCGCTTTGCTGCATTGCCATGGCAATCGTTCTCAACCGCACACACATCTTCGCAGCCACTCGTCGACGCTTGCGACTCACTCTACCGATCCGACTGGCTTTGCGTGGCCTTCCCGTCCTTCTATTCTTGGTACAAGCGCGCGGTCTGCTGCGGTCAATCCAGTGCCAAACATCTCCCGACTTTGCCGAAATGCGCTGGGGAAATACAAGCAAGAGCTCCGAGCTCATGTTCTCACAAGCCGGCGGTCTCCTCCATACTATGAGTTCGGCACTGTTGTTGGGTGCTTCAGACGAAGCGTCCTGTACAGCTATAGGCATGGTTCCAACAGATACCAACGACGCGTCACAGGATATGAGGGGATCTCTATCTCTGCTATGGCCGCTATTCGGAACGTTTTGTTTCAGTCAATTTCTCGAGACCGTCTCATGCGCTGTCCAGGGCCGACCCGTTGCAGCCGAGACGGGTATGACCCTTTTCGAACACTCCCTTGCCTTTGCCGAGGCGGACGCTGCCATCAGCAATCAACTTGGCTGGGGCTTGTTTACCCAATCTCAAGTAGCAGATACTGCTTCGACGAGTGCCAGCACCATAGCTATCAGCCGGTCCATGATCCTCAGAAGGGTCAACACCTCGCCCGAGGTTCTACTCGTTGCCTTCCTTTCAACCATGAGCCATATCACCAGTCATATGCTGGGCATCTTCAACTTGCAAGCCAAATTCCGACTTGTCAGCACCGGATTCTGGGGTCTATGTTTCATGGCCAGCATTCTTTGGAGTGCTTTCACGTTCTCCTTGGATGACCCGGCCAAGCAAGGGCTGCTCAGATTTCCGACTGTCTGCATCATCGGCTTCATCCCCCATGTCCTTGTGCTAGGTGGCATTCTAGTTTGTTTCTTCATCTACCTGCTTGCTCTCGGCCTGGCCGCTCTCACGCCCGCAGAGGGACAATCAGGACAGAGGCTTGGCCTTCGCGAGCGGCTGGCGCAAGCCCATGCCAACATGCAAGCCAATCTCTCTCTCTCCGACATTCGGATTACTATGGAAATGGACTTTTACACCGCTTTGCTTCGAACCGGCTTTGGGGCCATTACCATGGCAAGCGAAGCCGTCTACCTAAACGAAGACAGAGACGTCACAATGCGACCGCACACGTGGCTCGAGGAGGAGAGGTATCGAGAGCTTGAAGAATTACGAAACCAGTGGATCGGAGCCGGCGCCCCTGACTCTCACTATGATACCATAGGCACAATCGGTCTAGTGCCTGTCAAGGACGACCACATGTCGTCCAAGAACGGATACGCTCGCGAACGGGCGGCTCAAAAAGTACCCAAATCACGGTCTGGGGAGCGAAGATTGAGGGATGGTGTCGGTGCCGCAGAGCGTAGTGGCCGATGGCTGATGGCACTGGACTTCATCATGAACATCAACAGACTCATCTTTCGAACGTGGGCTACCACCATGTTGAGAATACTTTCCAAGATTGGCTTACGGCACCCGAGACTCCTTCTTTGGATCGTTCGCCGACCCAAAACTGCCAGCGACCTGAGGAACTCGAATCCGAAAGACAGCGCTGGCCGTTCTCAAGCACCTTCAGATCCAGCCGAGTCCAGTATGAACATCCCACTGACTGACAGCGTCGATGTCGAATCCGAGTTCCGACAGCAAGTATGGAGGGGAAACCAAAACTGGGCTCCCATGGACGAGGCCGACCTAGATTCGAAACTCTACGGCTGGTGGCTGAAGGGTGGGTGGTGGGGTTCGGCAGACAACAGTGGGGAGTACCAACCGGTGGCAGCGTACGATGATGACGATACGACGAGCGTCGTATCTTTCAGCACTAACGGCGACAGCGATTGGGAGTCGGAAGACGCTGGACAGAGAACGCCTACGCAGTCTAGATCATGGGCCTCGCGCGAGCACACACCAGTCACGGAGGATTCATTGCAGCTGTCAGATCTGGCACGCCTGCTGCACCCTAGCAACCCTGAAGAGACGGAGGAGGCGCATGCGTTGGCCGCCCATCTGAGTAGCGACAGAATCGTGACCCGATCACAGTATCTCAGGTCACGGCAGCTACAGCGGACGCAGATACTGCAGCCCAATGGCAATTCAAATCGCATCACGACGCGGCCAGCCAAGATGACACCAGAAGAAGAGGCTCAGCGCTTGGAGCAGTTGCTGCTGTCCCGGCGATCCCAGTTCGCGAGTTCCGTGGATCGCGGAACATCGACATGGGCAGAAGGAGCGGCTGGTCTGGGTCCGGACGGTCCGCAGTGTGTCGTCTGCCAGAGTTCTCCCCGCACCATCATCGTCTGGCCCTGCCGCTGCTTGAGCCTTTGCGACGACTGCCGAGTGTCACTTGCTATGAACAACTTTGACAAATGTGTGTGCTGTCGTCGGGAGGTTATCAGCTTTAGCAGGATCTACGTGCCCTAGAATTGGGTTGAGTGTATGGCGTCCTCGGACGACGCTTGTACTTGCTACGATGCGATATCAGAACACATGAGTCACTTTGGCGTTTGGGGTGGTTTGAGCATGGTTGTTTGATTGAGGTACACGAAATAGGGGTATCTTATTGGTATTACACAGGTTATCTAGGCGTAGCGTTGAGCGTCACCTTCATTTAGGCGTGTGGCCCAAATTCCAGCTCACATCCCTGCCCATTCGACGCAAAATGCGCGCACCTGCTTCGCGTCACTGTTCATGTCGGGAACCTCTCCACCAAACAAGAAGCCCTTCTTCACCGAAGTACCCAGACGACCGCTGCCAACAATGTCAAGCATCGGAATCTTCTCATCCCAGTCGTAGTTTATAGCGAGGAAGTGGGCGTGATACCGCAACGGATCACCGGGATATACGCTGTAATTGGCGCCAAAACGTAGACCGGGGGTCATAAAGTATCCTCCAGATTGCAAGTGTTGATGCAACGGCCCAGCGAGAGGTTGTGGCACTGCTTCCTCCAACTCACCCGACGGCATGAGGAGGCCTTCGCTGGTCGTTGGCGTGACCGCCAGGGGTGGCTTGGCATCTACGCCATCACGGGGCTTGGAGGTCTTGTCTGGGACGGCACCTCCAAACAGGGAATCATCATCCACCTCGGGACCGGGTTTCGCCTGAGACACAACGGCCGGCTTCGCGCCCTTGTTCCTCCGCGTCTGTTCCGTGGCAGCCTTCTTGGCCTGGTCCTCGGCCAACAGCTTCTGCGCCTTGCTCCGACGTTCTTTCAACAGTGCAATGTAGGCCTGGCGGCTGGCCTTGTCCGGGGAGCGCAGGGACGACAAGTGATGCGAAGCCTCTTGGACGAGGCGGCCTACCTTCTTCTCGATGAGCACGCTGGCCTCCTCGGGCAGCAGCTCGAGCGGCAGACTGAGGAACACGTTTTGTGTTGGGTTCTGCGGGGTCGTGCCCACCAGGACGGAGCAGATGTTGTGGCTGCGCCTGATGGTGGCCACGTCTTCGGCATCGAAGACGAGGTAGCGATCTGCGATTTTGGAGATGCGCACGGGGGGCACCGAAGGATCTGCCAACGCTGCTGCCATTGTTCCTCGTCTCGGGACCTTTTTGTAAGCCGTGTCTTTTTATCTGGGAGAATAATGTTAGCAACTGCTTGAAGAGCTTGAATGCAAAACGCTAGTGAACAGTGCTGAAAGCCACAAAATCATATCTCGTTATAATGATAGTTTCGTCACAGAGTGTCAGTGGATTGACAGATTGATTGAGATTGGGTTGTTTAATCATTTGGCTGTGGGGAAGGAATTGGAAAAAATTGGAGGAAATCCGTAAAACTTACTCAGATGTGTGCTTGTCGGAGTCAAAAAGAAAGTCGAAGCTGGAAAAATTCGTAGGATTGAGGTTTATGGAGCTGGCTGTGGTGGAGACGGGCGGTGAGGCAGAACAGAGCCCCTCTGACTCTACCCCGTTCGGTGTGTTTTGTGCCTGGTAAGAGCGAGCGTGGCGCTGTGGCTGTGCGTTTGCACATTCCAACGTCGAATTAGCGAGGATGTGTACGGATACATGTTACACATCGACCTACAAATTGCCGCGGCCTGCCATTATTTGACCAATTTGAGGATTTGTCGAATGGATTTTACCGTAGAATCCCATTCTTCCACACGTCGCTTAGAAGAATGGTTACGGATTCGACAATCAAGCTCATTAGGTGCAGGTACAGGTACAGGTAGGATGAGCCTTCGCGCAGCGTAATCGGGCCATGTTCTTGGGATTCGTGGTTAGGTTAGATTGGCGTCGTCGCTCAACGCAACCAGTCATGCATTTCGTAGAATATTCAAAAGTCTAGTTTTTCCCCCTTCTTCCCCTCGGTCTTGGCTCCTTGGGCCCCATCCCCTTCGTCCAACAAAGGAGGGAGAACGTAAGGCTTGACTATAAGCCCGCTCGAGCTGCTCATTCTGAAGGAAAGATCCTCCCGCGAAGACTGGCCCTCTATACCTCCTCCCCTCTCGTGGTATACAGGGAGGCTATGTACCTTGAGCATCCCTTGCACGACGTCTTCCGACTTGGTATTCGGCTCGACATGCACTTTCCTTGGCAGGGGCAGCATCTCGAGCACTCCATCGCACAGTAGCTCCATCCACCGTGTAAATCCTGTCGACCGCGGGAACAACGAAGTAGAAAGCGAGATCATGGCTGTCAGACTCCCTTCGTGGCGGCGTAGCAGTGCTCTCAGTTTGTGCAAGAACTGCAGGGCGTCTGCTGGCCGGCAGACCGAGGAACCATAGAGGGCGGGCGATAGAAGGCTCGGCACTACGATACGATGGATCGTACCGGGCGGCGATACCTTTAGCTTTGCTGAGACGTTGGTGATGAATGTGTCTAGAGGGGAAGAGCTGGCAGGCCCTGAAGGCTGGAGCCAGCTCATGGCAGCAGTTGATGGTGTTGCGTGCAGTTCGCCCTTGATGTCGCTAGGCTGCAGGCGTTTCCCGAGGTCAAAGGAGTGACAAAAGACTTCAGCACTACCTGCTGGACTAATGTTATTCATCCCTGAAGGAAAGATTGGTAGGTCAGTGTTTGTGGCCATTTCGTGTTCCATGCGGTCAGGGGGGGACGTACTTGGACCGGCATTGTTTCCAAGACTCTCATATCTCCACGCGATCTTCATCTTCTCGTCCGATACTGGTGCGGATTTCTTCCTACTCGAGCCACTGGCTTTGCCAAGTCCTGGAAGCTCTCCTCTCCACGCATCCGTCGGGCCGAGCACGTGTACTTGTTGGCCCTGCACGAGACCCTCGGCGGCATAGTATCTGAGAAGGACACCCGAGAAGTCTGTCGTTCCAGACTCTTCTACAAGAATACTGTAGCCAAGTGGTAGCCCTGCATGTCCTGCCAGGAGCTGGTCTAGTGAAGCCGTTCCGGTGGATGTTGTAGGACGGCCGTCAAGGGGTGATGAACGAGTCCCCACCGGTGGTAGAGCCTCCTGCTTTGGGGCTATGGCCTCTTTTATAGAACCTCTAGTGGATGGCCCCAGGACGACATTCTTTTTCCTGAATGACATGGTGCCACGGTTTTTGCTAGGTGTGTTTGATATACTAAGTCACGGACTCGCAATGCTGCTCGAAGATCCGCAGTGCTGAGCAGATTCTTGACTGAGAAGTGGCTGAGTTGTTATGCCTGTTGTTGCGTCAGAAAAAAAGTTGCCCAAATCGATACGTGCGACTATAACCAACGTTGATGTAATTCCGATGTTGACTCACTCCAGTATGTGCAAGACAATATTTAAGATGTCGCTTCTGGTACTGCACTACTGCGATGAATTACTCACCTACACTTCATTGAGATTCAAACTTTCTTCACTCAGATACCTGATCTCAGATTGTCCGAGAGCACCATGGAAGTTTTGCTAGGTGAAGTAAGTAACCTGCGACTTAATTACATCAGATATTGAAGGGTTCATTGTCCCCTCCACTGAAGAGGGCAGGTGGGGGTGGGCGTTGCACTTACAAAATTTGAGCCCCACTGATCGCAGTCAGGTACCTAAGTTACCCCTTCCAAATGCATACTACACTGCTTAACTCAATCGCTCTTTGATTTTTTTTCCAACCTTCCCAGCTGGAGCTTTACACGCTGCAATTGGAAATCCACTTGTCGTTGCTCACGATCTTCAAGCCTTTGCGCCTCCGAACAGAAGACCTCGGCACCTCTCTCTCACGAACCGACGATAATCCCGCCAACGACTCGTGCCTTTTACCTCAGACAGCCAACCCAAATTATACAGCGATCATGTCCGGCAGCGGCGATGTCACTCTCTTCGAGGAGTCCTTCACGGTCACCAACTACGACCAGTCAAAGTACGACAGAGTCGCCCGTATCTCGGCCACCTCGACCGACAACCAGACGCTCATGACCCTCGACATCAACATTGAGCTGTTCCCCGCCTCCGTTTCCGACAGCCTACACGTCGTTCTGGCGACGTCCCTGGCCCACGACGGCAGCAAGGACGACGAGAAGGGATGGCGGGACGTGACCAAGGGAAGCCAAGACCGCGAGCCGTCGTTGGCTGATATGTTCGACTATGTCTGCTACGGCAAGATCTACAAGTTTGAGGATGCCGATGACGGCCAGACCATGTTCGTGCTCCCGCATCGAGTTGTCTCGAGTGCGCCGCGCAGAAGCTGACAATGCTGCAATTATAGCAAGGCCTACGTCTCGTTCGGAGGCCTGTTGATGTCCCTCGAAGGCCCCTACAAGAAGCTCACCCCGCTGAGAGTCGATTACGTCTACCTGCTTATCAAGAAATGATTAGAAAAGACGCTGGACCTTCCCGCAATGACTGGATTTCAACGCTTATCCGCTCTATTTTTTGGGGCGCGTATAAAAGTGAGGCACTACAACAGGCTGTACAGACGTCGCATGGCCCTATACAGCAAGAGCATGGGAAACGGAGTTAAAGGCGTCAGTAAATTTTGGAAAGAGCAGGCTAGGTTGCTCGTGATATCCCCCGGATCTCGAAACTTTGCCCCCTGGCTCAAGCATCAATGGCCCCTAGGGACGGATCCTGATCATGCGGCCCAGGGAACGGCATTCGTCGGTGGATTCTTTGCACAATCTGATCGTACTCAGGCTCGTTCTCTCTAGTCAGAATACCCCGGCGGATAAAAAAGTCGAGAGCTACCAGCGCGCAATTTGGCTTCCACACGCCCTGTGCGAGTCCCTCGCGGACCTGCTCGACCGTACACAGACTAAACTCGGCGACTTCGCCGTCCTTTGGCTGCGGCACGACGTCTGCGGGTAGTTCAAGATCGTAAATCCATTGAACTTCGGGATAGATCAGCCCTTCCTCGCCCGCCTCTGCCTCGGTGATGTAAATGTACGTGACACCGCCAACAAACTTTGTCCGATGGCGAACGAGCTCGTCCGGCAGGCTGGCCTCCTCGTCTGCCTCGCGGATGACACACTCAAAGGGGTCCTCTCCCGTCATCAGTCCGCCGGCAACGGTGTTGTCCAGCATGCCGGGGAAGGTCGACTTCGTCGGAGAGCGACGCGGGACCCAGATCTTGATGCCGTGGCTCGCTGACGGGTCCCGCACATAGGCCGTCAAGTGAACGCCGTATCTCATGACGCCGAACAACCCCGAGGCAGCCCTCTCAATGTCGAAGAGGAGTTTACCATTCCGGTCGTACACGGGCCATAGTTCGTCGCGCCAGCCCCGGAGGATGGGGAAGGTGTCGTTGGCTCTCCAGTAGTCGGAGAGGTCTGCCGCCAGCTTACTGCGGCTTTCCAACGTCGGCCCTTGAAAGGCTCTGAGAGTGCGCTTCTCCGAGTCGACTTGGACTTCCCCCTTGATGCTGTCGGGTACCTTGAGCAGCTCGTCCACCACCCTTGGCAGGACGTATCCGAGGGGCACGTCGCCTTGCTCGTCTTCTGAGATCAGAGTGTACACGGATCCAAATGTCTCTGCATGGGGTGCGTCGTCCTTGGGCTGCTTGTACGGATACCTGCATCGTGGGTCAGCTGCGGGGGTTGTGGCTTCGAGGGGAGTCTGCTCAACGCCAGTGTTTCTCACGAGTCGACTTGGTCGATGAGATCAATGTTGGTAAAGGTCTTCATCTTGGCAGAGTATGTTCTCTTGGGTGTGGTGAGAAGCAACTGAGTGTTAATGCGGCCGGGAAAAACTAACGACCGTAGCATAGGTTACTTGGTGCTCTGAAAGATGTGAGGGAGCCTTGTCAAGAAGATAGTTTCCGTGCTGCCGAACCCCAAACGACGTCGATACGCATGTAAGTCTGACCCCGATGCCGGAAAGTGACGTGTGTCCAGCAATAAGAATCCGACACCCGAAACTTTGGACCTCCGACCCCGAGTCGGACTTCTCGACGGCAAGTACAGAGTGAGGCACATTCATCAACCGGAGTAGCTGGCGGATCCGATACAAGCATATGATTGGCTAGTGTCATCGAGGCTTCTCCCATCGTCTCGAGGCTTCCCTCCACAACCTAATGCAGCTGCCCCTCCCCCCACCTTGCAATACGACAGTAGGTAATTGTACTTCACCCCGTGTGTTTTCTCACCTCATCGCCAGCCTCATTCTCGCACAGAGTCCGCAAGTACTGGATTCAAGAACTCAGTTCACCTCAAGGCAGCTCTTCTTTTTATACAAGTATATTCGTGACCCTTCACTTTCTGAGCTCATCTTTTTGATACAAGTCAACAAGCTATTTGCTTCAAGGCTTTTGAACATCGAACCACACTTTTCACTCAACTCTCCGAGATATCCATGAGACGGCATTGAGAAGGCCTCAAGCTGTCTTTGAGAGCATCCCATTAACACACTCTACTCGAAAACCCAAACCACCACCACCACCACCATGTCCGGCCCTCTCTTCGGCATCGTCCCAGCCGGCCAGCCCCTACAGACCACCCCAACCTCCGCCCCCTCAGAAACCTCCTTCCTCTACTCCATCTCCGCCGCGAGACCCTTCTCCCACATCACAGTCATGCTCCTCCCAGGCATCGTCCTGCCCCCCGACACCGCCGCCGCAATCTACTTCGCCACAGCCGCCGACGTCGCCGCCGCGACAGCCACGGGCCAGACCCCCAACTTCAAGTTCCTCGGCGGCATCGGGACGGGCAAGGAGAGCGCCACCTTCAAACTCAACGCCGGCAACAGCAACGCCAACAATGGTAGTGACCCGAACGCCGGCAGCGTCATGATTGGCGTCTCGGTCGAGCCCGCCGAGTCCGTCTTCTCCCGTATCCAAGAAATCTCCGCCAACAAGACCTCCTCCTCCTCCTCCGGCACAACGGGGCCGTCCACGCAGCTCCTGGCGCAGAACATAATCAAAAACGCCTTCAACTTCCTCGCAAGCTTCAGCGGCACGGCCGGCCCCGGTGGTGTAGAAGTCGTCCCACTCAAGGCGTTTGAAGAGTGGTGGAAAAAATTTGAAAGCCGCGTGCGGTCCGATCCAAGCTTCCTCGAAAGGCCGCAAGATTGAGAGTACCTACCATATTCAGCTCACATGTTTTTCTCTGTTTGCCTAGTAGATAGCACTTTTTCATTTGATACCCGAATAGGCAATCTCAATTGTATTCATGTTCAAAGACACGTCAGACATACGCGGTCTAGTTTTCATTGTCATCTGTTCAAAAAGTTGGTCTGGAAAGGACTGGCAATTCGGCGTCGTACTACAACCAACGCAGAAAAGGAACAAACAAATCTGCGACAGCTCAATGCCATGCAATGCCTCCCAAAATAGCGATCTCTCGTCTAAAGCGGCCCGGTAACACTTTCCTATGTGATGAAACGCCGTTAACTGCCTCCGATTCGAATAGCCCAGAGGGCCTTTGATGCTGGGCATAATCCATCATGCCTGATAAACGCCATCTCTGTAAGAATGAACAAGAAGAATATAAAAAAACACCAGGAGAAATCCCCCATCCAGTCGCTAGCAGGCATGCATAATCTTACACTGCGTATAGCAGGCATCTCTGTTACTTAATCCTCATCCAACGGCTTCATCAGCGGACTCTTCAGTCGTGTCGGACTACCAGCGCGACTGCGACGTCCTGCATTCACCAAACTCGGTACCAGCCTCTCTCTGCTCTCTGTCCTCACTGCCAAACCACCACGGTCCATGGAAAAGGGTGGTCGAACGTCGTCGAATCGCTCAATATTGAGCTTCGGGGTAGCAAGGCCGGAAGAGCGGCCTGCCCTAGAGCCCTCGCTGCTGTCGGAGTGCTCGTTTTCGTCAGAGTCGACAGAGCCGAGCTCGAACTGATCAGCATCGCCCTCTTCGAGGACCCGTTCGTAAGTCGCCGATGATCGTCCGAAAAGCTTGTTGGTGAATGAGAAGCCACGCCCGAACTTGCGAGGGCTGCCCGGGCGCCTCGTACCCCGAACGGCAGACGCAACCTTGCCAAACCATCGTGCTCGGCGGTCTCGCTTACGCAGGAAGAAGGCTAGTACAACCAAAACCAGGATGAACGCCAGGAAGCCAGATCCAGATTTCGTTTTTGCCTTGTCCAGGAGCTCGTCGGTATCCCAATCATCATCGTCGTCGTTGTCTCCGATCGTGATGGGAGAGAATTTGGATCCTGCGGGTTCGAAATCGGTGGCGCCAGCGATGTTGCTTCCAAAGCCAACCGGCTGGGCACTTCCTGCTGGTGGAACTTGTCCGGCGGCATACAACACCATCTTGCCCAAGGTCCAGCTCACTTCGACACCATCAATTTCGTTGACTGGCTGGAAGGGATCGACGAAACCCTTTTCCTTGGCTTCCTCTAGAGTTCCTTTCGTAACGTTCAGACCGGGTTGCGGCGTGTGTTCGAGTCCTGGTCGCGGAATGCCGATTCCTTCGTAAAGAACATTGATGAGCCAGGACGCCTTGAAGCAGGCTTCTTGGGCGTTCTTTGCCTTCTGGGCCGAGGACTTCTTTCTCGCATCGATGCTGGACTCTATATCCACCCAGTTCTGCGTGCAAAAATCCACCACATTCTTCTGGTACGTTGCCAAGTCATATGCCGTCTTGTGACCCTTTCCAAACACTCCGTGGGTCGTGTGCCAGAACTCCGAGACACCTACAAAGTGATTTACGTCGAAATCAATGTTGGGTACGTGTTGACCGTTGAGAAGGCAAGGCTCGTCTGTGCACGGGGTATCCTTTCCGAGAAGAGGCTCTGTTTGGCGCAGACATTCGTCGAATCGACCGGTGCCGAGCAGAGATAGTTCCTTGCCGACAGACTCGGCCTCCACAGGGTCGCCTTTTACGCTTGTTCTCAAGCCGGCAGGAAGACATGGGTCCGGGAGCTCGAGGTCGTTGGGCTTGCCGTACTGTTCCTTGAGCTTGTCGATATAACGCTCGCGGGCCTGATTTGCACCGTAGCCGAGCCAGGTAGCAGTGAAGACCCTGTGCTCGATGGTGCTGCCGTCCAGGGTCCGCAGGCGGACAAGCTTGAGGTCCTCGGCGTGTCTCTCGGCTTCTGTGCTGTTCGGTGCGAATGCAATCTGCGCCGAGGCACCTCCCATGTCCAGAAACCCGTACGTGTGGTGGCCTTTGCCGTGCGTATGCTTGTCGGGGTGGTCGAAACCGCCAAGCAGGTAGTTCGTGGCGAGCCAGCCGTACAGGCCTTCTGTCTCACCAGAAATGACCTGGATGTTGGTGTTGCAGTCGGGAAGCGAGAATTTCGTATTTTGCTGTAGGTAGGAGCACATGTTGCGGAGGAGAGCCTTTTGTTGGTGGTCGGGAAGGAGACGCATGCCAGCCGTGGCCATGAGGTAGACGGGCGTATCGGCAACCTTTTTGTCGGGAACCTCCTTGAGGGCCAACTTGATGAGGGATTCCAAATGTCCATGGCCGATTTCTTCAGGCTTCTCGGCGAAGGAGGACACGCCGGGGCGAATCTTTTCGCTCGTCTGCAGCTTGATCTTGGGCAGACTATGGAGCTCTTCCACGGTGGCGTGCTTTATGGCTTTGGCATGATCCTTCCACTTGTAAACGTACAGACGTGTTCCTGAGGAACCAGCGTCAAAGATGATTCCATATCGCCCTGTTTAGTGAGCACTTGAGTCAGCTGGGTGCATAGTATAATTCCAAACGCGACGTATTCCATGGACGTACATTTTTTCCCCATGAGGAGCAGCTGACGCAGTCAAACTGCGGGTTTTTGTTGCAGGTTTGTTGTAGGTCGGTTCTGGATGGGAGAAGGCCCGGCGGGATTATAGCATGGGCGAAGGGGGGCCGATGATGGGGGATTTGTTATCGAGTTCGAGTAAGCGTGGTGGCACAGCGCCTCGAGACTCGTTCGTTTGATCGATTTGAGTCGGCTGTTGTCTTTTCGAGATCTGCTCCCTCGGGGGTTACGGTTGAGGAATTTCGGAAACGGCTACGATAAGGCTAGTCGCAGTCGAGATTCGTCGTGGGTCGCGGCGAGATGGGCAGAGTTCGCATGGACGAGGATGGGCGTTGGCAACAGTAATCCGTAAATTGAAAAGGAAAAAAAAAAAAAAAATGGGTAGTCGCAAGTGTAGGGCGTAGCGGCAGAAATTGATTTCAAAAGAGGTTTGTCGTCTAAGATTGATTCAAGCGAGCGTCGGTCATCCTGGAGATTGGACAGGAGAGATTGGGGAACGAAGGTTGGCAATTGATTGCTCGATTGATTACCGGCGTCAGGGGAATAATCGGCCAAGGCTTGCGAAAGGGACGGGGGAAGTAAAAGAAGTCTGGAGACGTGGTTCTAGGACTCGGGGGTGGAGGGAGCTGATGGAGACACAGACGCAGAGGGCGGGACGCAGACGCACTCGCGGTTGGTGAGTGGGTGAACAGACACAGAGCAAACGGGGACGACGACGGGAGACGGACGACAGAGCAGGGGGGTGTGGTTCGTGTTGGGGCCTAGGCTGGCACGCCTTGGTATACTCGGTACCTACCTTACCTGTCTACGGTGCTGAGGTACCTAAGTCTCTGGTGTCCCTCTGGGAATGGGATTACTGAGGTGACAGGGTGGCAGAATGACGGGACAGGGTTGCATTCAGCCAGAGATTACGCACCCCACGCACTGTAGGTCGGCTTGTTATCTCATGTCTTATCGGCGTGGAAAAACTGAATAACCAATGGGAGTCGAGGGCTAATGCAGGTCTCCACACTGTGTCGGGCACTTGCTTAAGTACCTGCCTTGGAGGCTTAGCCAAGGTGCCTCAGTGTCTGCAGGCTGTGTGGTGTGTTTGGTCCGACCTTTTCGTACCTTTTGGGGCTTTTGTGCTAAAGGTGAGGTGACGGGAGTAAAAGATGGCAAGATCTGTGGTGTGTCTGCGCCGGTCTTGACTTCAAACGAGGGAGTGCGTAACCGTCTGATTGTTGGCCATGATTGGTGCCCTCGGGGGAACGTGCCTTTATCTTTTTTTCCCTCTCGACTGCCGGATATAGTCGCCCAGGACTACACAGTACCTCCTCACTTACTACGCAGTGTGAGTCGCGACAGGGCAGCACCTATGGAAGGTTGGACGGAAATGCTCTCGGGGTTACTGCATCTCGATGTGGTAGGTACGGATACTTGCGCTGTATCCACGGGTGCCAGGGTACCTTATCTTGCGTGTCCTCCCTTGATTATCGCCTACAAATACGCTAGAAGTTCCTTGCTGATACGGATCATCAACCCGACTTTATCCCTCAGGACCCTCACTTCCCTCTCCCTCGACTAAACAGGACCGCGCTGGCGCGTGCATCAATTAATGGAAGGAAAAGAAGCCTCAGACCACACCCAGCAATAATCCAGCGCCACTGTGCACCTCAGTGTAAGGTAAGGTACGGTACTGACTGAGTTGCGTCCACAGGGCGAATGGGTGGAAGTGTCGGGCGTGCCGTGGTCCCTTACTCGCAATCGTCGCCTCCCTCTGGCCCGTGCACCGTGAGAATTCTTCGGATTGCTCACTGGGCTGGTGGACCCCGCTGGCAGACACCCCTGTCGTCCAACTGCAGAACTTGGTTGGACCCCTGACTTGGCGTGTCAGATTGGCCAGACGGGAATGCCCACGGCGCGACTGCGGAGCACACTGTGCTCGCCTTGCTACGAAGTACTTCTTCTCCGTAACCTTGGTTGCGGAATTTGGGAAGCTTCTCTGCAACCGTCGTCGTTCCCACGGTTCCGAACGTCTCACTGTATGGGTGGGCTTACCTCATCACATGTCCACCTGCTTGGGATATATTTATCCCCCGCCATGAGTCTCTCGTTCCCGTCCTGTTAGTGGAGTTATGCAGATGCAGGGCACAGTGCTCCAAAACAGTGCTGAGGCATGCAGGCAAGCCAACTGTGCCGTCACGCTACTACTAATAAAGTAACCGGCCCACGGTTACGACGAGGATTGCCCCGTCTGCAATCGCAACCTTGGTCCAATTCCTTATTCTCTTCCCTTTCTTTTCCGATCTTGGAATCGGTGCACAATCTAATGAACCACATGGTGAGACCGTGAGATGTATGTACGGTTGCGCAAGCCGCATCTTGTCTTTAAACCGCCGCCAGTGTATCAAGTCGAGACTTTTCCCCTCCTGTTATTCGCTTTTCTTTCTTATTCTTCATAGACTTCAAAGGGTTTGGTTTATTGGCTCTTAACTCTGCCCTTGGACGATATACTTTCGTGCCACAGGCAAGATATTGAACAGAATATCCCTACTTTGGGTTCGAATGAGGCTCTCAAGTCCAGGTCAATTTAATATCGCAGCTTGCAAACAAGGTGCAACTCGTCGACCCACCCCCACCCCCATGATATCACGTTGTTCTTAACCTCCCATTGTATAGCCTTTCTTTCGTCTCAACATCCCGTCTGCTCTCTACCGGCATCACCAACTCTCCTTGCATTTGTCCTTGTTCCCGCCCGCTTTGATATCTGAAACCACCGAGCGCCGATGTTGAGCACCAACGTCATACGCCATCGTCCGGGGCTGCAGCGAATGGCATCCGCCCTCCCGCCGCGCATCATCCGTCGCTCCCATTCACACACACTGTCATCGCTCCTCGCTTTCACCCGTCCTCCAGATGGGATGACTCCCCAACGCCTCCCATTGTAATCCCAGCTTGCGCGTATCCTGAGGCCCGGATCCCAGCTCCGGGAGAACAGGCAATGCGCTATACACCAACGCTGTCTGACTGCTGCCGATATGCATTGGTGACGAAACTACTAGTCGAGGCTTCTGTCTTCGTTCTTGCAGGCTGTGTCTTCCTCTGCACTGTCGCCACCACTGCACCGACCGCTGCGCTGCTGCTTGTAGCCATTCGCCGCCTAACATTTTGCCGTTTCCGCCGCTCTTGGCGCGAGGTCTGTTGGATTTCTGCAGCTTCTTCCGTTTCTTCAGCATAGTCCTGGGAGTCTCTTGGCCAGTTCTGATGTAACGCTGGTCACCCACACGCGACAGCGACGACGTGGGACTGGATCTCTGGATAGACCTCGTTCGGCCGAATCGTGGCATGACAGCGTATCGACTCTTTTGCTGGCAGGCTCGCCAAATCAACTCGACTCAAGACAAGACTGATGTGCGTATATTAACTAACAAGGCACTGCAAAACGCAAGACCGATACCGTTGTGCCCCCTGATATAAGTCACGTCTTCGTACCCAAAGGTCGTTGTTCCCTCTGCCACAACTCGTGGCCCATCCTCGAACAAGGTACCGACCTCGTTTTAAACTCCTGAACAAAACTTTTGGTGTCAAAAACGATTATGTGGGCCGTCCGTCGTCCAAGTCCTTTTTGCATCTTCTCCATCCATTGTTCTCTCCAAACACGCGCCTGGTCAACAAAGGCATATGTTCTCGAGGTGGACAGTCATGGCCCATGTTACGGGTCCGCCAAATGGCTCACCCCTGCGGGGGCGAGGCCTGGACGTTTGACTGCAGTCCCGAAGTGTTAGTCTCCATGTTCTAGTGGCCAAGACAGTAGGAAATACCATGAGAGTAGAGTTCGGCTTCGTTGCGTCCCGTAGAGCCATAACTACCGTGACTGATATGACCAGTTCGAATTCCGGAAGAGAGACCAACTCCTAGGCCTCGTCCACGTGACGTAGCCGGATGCCTTGCAAGTGGGAGATTCCCCGAAGGACCGCGAGGCATGGGTGTTCCCGTTCCCGTACCCAGCCCGGGCGCAGTCGATAACCCAAACCTCCCATGGCTGCCACTGCCATGTCCTCGGGGTGTACCTCGTGGCGTGCTGATGGTGCCACCTAAATATTGTGTTAGCATGCAGTTGCGTCGCATGAGAACAGTATCAGACAAACCTTGCACAGGTCCTAGTTTTGACCAAGCTCTATCTTCCCGTAACGGCCCAGAGCCTCCTCCGCCGGCAAGCACTCGTCGAAATCCCCTTTCCGGCCCAACGTACGAGTGCGCATTGTTGTAAAAAGAATCCGACTGCTTTTCGTAGATATTCTGCCTCGCCGCGGGCTCGGGGAACTCAAAGGCTGGTAATTGTGTGCCATATTGGAGATTGGAGTCAACTGCATCCGAAGCGGCAGCCTCCATCTGCCCCAACTCGGCTTTCCTTTTGACTTTATCGTAGAGCTCCTGGACGCGTGTGAGCTTGCGGCACTTGTCTTGGTAGGAACGCGCAAGCTCTTCGTGTTTCCGTCGCATGTCGTCGTAGTCATCTGAAAGAGCTATTTGATGTTAGCAAGCTTGTATGTGGCCTCGGAGAGGGGCCATGCCGTCGTTTCGTACCTCGGTTCTTTTCCTGGAGACCCGAAATGTCGGCATTCGCATCGCCAACTGTCTTTTCGAACTTGACATTCAGAGTTTTGAGCTTCTCCGTCAGTTTCTTTTCCAGGTAGCGCTGGTATATGCTGTGCTAGGTAAGTGGCCATTATCAGAGGGAATTTGGATGGGAGCCAGCTCACACTTCTTGGGTCGTCTGGTAGGCCCAAAAGCTCAGGGCCCTTCCTGCGCACTCCATGATGATGTTGGGGCTCAGACCGCTGAGAACGCTCGTCTTGTAGTCCTCGGTCAGATTCAAGTTGGTCACCACGGCATCGTCTGGATTGTTGAGCTGGCACTCGCAAGCCGGGCACGACTTGCGGCGATCCGCAGCTTGGCCTGTCAAGCCATGGCGCTTGGAGCACTCTACGCAGAATATGTGGCTACACAGGCTCAGTCAGCTCGCAGCTGCTTGATCATGCGGAGGACATCTTCCTCACCTGCACGTGGTAACCAGGGCCTGGTCACTGAGCTCTTTTCGACACTTTAGAACGTTGCATTTGAGAGTATGTTCCATCGTAAATGTTGATCCTAGAGGTTTTACGGTGGCTTGTAGGAAATGCGATGTTTCCAGAAGCTAGATTCTGGTCCGGTTGTTCGATGCCGTGATCTATCGAGCGGTTGTTGCGGAGACGATGATTTCACCCCGAGTAGATACGGTCGTAATCCGCTCTCAAATCGCCAGTAGATTGATAATCAGTTGAACTTTGAATCTCTCTCAAGAAGGGACTCCCCGGACGTAAAAAGCATCGGTATCTCAGGAGCATGGGAGAGAAAAACGGTTGCCATTGTTGCGAGCAGAGAAGTTCACGTACATTGGAGGTAGCTTCCTAAGTGTACTTTCCTCATCCGAAGTTCTCTTAGGATATTGCAATTGCCAGGGGTTTTCCGTATGCGTACCTTGGACTGATAAGGTACCTTAAGGTACGTGAGTTCCGCCCTCATAAAATCTCAAGCTGAGGAAGGTGCCTACCAACATTGGGTAGGTCAGTAGCTACCCCAATTGCCCAACTTCATTGTTCGCAGGCCCGTACGTGGAGCACGGCCTTTTGAAGATGCTCCTGCTTCATCCTAAGATTGTCAGGTGATATCTAGTACTCAGCGGGTATAATTCATCAGAAATGGTGAAAGAGCACGAGACGCCTGGCCCATTGAAGTCGCCCGGACTCACTTTATCTTGTTGATGTGTGCATGAAAGAGCTGACATATAGACCTTGATTAATGAACATTGCTCCTGACGGGATCCGATTTTCGAAGCTGAGGAAAGCTTCCAGAAAGTCGGCTGCCGGGGCCGGTGGGAGACTCAACCCGACTGCACCGGAGTGGGGCGCATCCCAACGGGCCCCAATCCCCGCAATGCGGTTCGTCTCGTCTCGGTCTCTCGGCCGGGTTTGAGAGGCCCATAATTAACCGGATTAGCGAGGCCGGCACTTTTCGCCGCGCTGTGGACGCGTCGACGATGAGACATGCATGAAGCAGTGTCACTAGAAAACCACTTCGCTTTCTACTTTGTCTAACTACCGGCAGCCCAGTGGCCCCCAAAAAGTTTCAAGAAGACTTCTACAGGTCCGAGGGGATACCATTGAGCCTCGGTGTTTCCGCATAACGGTCACAGCATGACCCGGTGGTCGCATCGCCTGCTGGAGGCATGACTCGTATGCCGAGTCGCATCCCGTCGACCGAGGCTATTGGCACGCCAGTGCCATCGGGAACGTAGGGCCGGTGTCGAGAGATGAGCAAAGCCTTATTCGTGGTGGGATGGCCGAGTCACATCGTGTCCTGGCGCCCTAGCATCAAGTCTCTCGGCTCAATTGGCATAGTGCACCTGTGATGGGAGTCTAGAATCCGAGCGAAGACTGCAACCTGGCCGGGGTACCACCTAGACCCTGGGGTATAGAGGCGCAAACATGATCGCAGAGAGGGAGTACAGATGGGAGGGCCGCGGCAACTAGGGGCAGAGTGAATTGTCAAGGTCGATTGTGTACGACCTAAAGAGATATCTAGATGAATTGCCGTTGAGTCCAAAATGCCTGGGTTCGGCACCTGTTATGACGGGCGTCGGGCATCTTCTCAACGCCACACACCTGCAGAGGCCCCTTGTCAAGTAATTACGTCAACTCTTGATGAGTATCAGTTGCACTGAAAGCAACCTTTGGATACAAACATAATCGAGCTCGACGGGTCTCTCTCCAGTGGATTGTGGTGCCTGACATTACTAGCAAACAAGGCCTGTGATTCGGGCATCGTGCAGATATACGTTTTCATGTCTTCGCTCTTGCACGGCAGGTCTACAGGTGAGACACGGCCGGTCCTGGAATGACACAAACGAGAGAGGGAGTAAAGGCAGTTTGGTACATGTATGGCTCTTCGCATTGGCAAGGCTCTCGAGGTAGCGTGGCATCTTGTTAAAATGCTCAACACTACCCTGTCTTCCCCGGGCAGAGGAAGAGCAGCTGGGCGGTTAGGGTCTCCGCCGATCGTCTTCACTGCCAAATTACCGTAGAATTGTAGTGTGGCGTAAGGAGCAAGCAGCAAGGTACGGTGAAAAGTAGGAGAAAAAGAGACAGAGAGACATGTGAGGCGTGAAAGGGTAGGGGAAGACAGACAGATGGCAGAGAACTCAGAAGCATAAAGACCAGAACATGGATCATGAGATGATTCTGGATGTGTGGGGTGCGTGGCGTCGATGAGGGGTTGCAACTCTGCTCTTTGCTGTCTGCGGCCCGACAACCCAGAGAGCCCATCCTTGACACCTCCACCAACACATTTACCCGCCCAATCGCAACTCGGGTCCTCTCGGATACCCTGCGCGTCCATCCTAGCCCGGTTTACCTACCTTACCTCGGATCATGGGAAACCTCAATCAACCTCACCTCTCTCGAATTTTCCCTAGCTCTACCTGAAAATTCCTGAACACCAAGCTTCTCTTTGGGGAATGGGGAGCATGACGCTAAGAAAAAACGGCACCCCTTTGAACGAGCCATCTGCTCCGATCCGACCACTCACCTCCCCCCTCCAGCCTCGTCCCGGCCGACACACCATGGCATGATCGCCCGCTCTCCCGATCGCGACGTTATGCTTGAAGTGAATAACAAAAGGTCCCCTCCCCTTTGTGCCCTGTCATAGTTGTGCAACCCGAGGTAAGGTACACTTGCGCTATGTGTTGTTCAGGGGTATATGAAGCTCCTTCTCTTCGTCAGCAGACCTGCATCTTGCTGAATACTGGTGAGTACATCGTGATATGGAGCAGACTCCTGCTTCCAAGCGGCGGGGAAGATTGAACAACGTTCCATAGTTCTGCGGTACGTAAGACCCTGAACACCACTCGCATCCAAGGCCTCTTCATAGTCATGTGCCTGCCATGGCCGCAGCAGGACGCAGGGAACTCCTTAGGATCGTAGGACCGACCGTCGAGGCCCAGTCTTGCCTTGCCGGCACTCCAGAGTCCAGAGTAGCGACCCGCATGGCAAAACACACGTGGCCGATGTCATTGTTGCCAACGGCCGGCCGGGCCCGGGGTTAGATTGAGCTTCAGGCTCTCTTGTCACAGTCTGTATTCTTCTAGGGTCTCGTTTGATTGCAGGTCATACGTAAAATCGTCATCGTCATTTCGGGGCGTTTCCAGTAACCTTTGCCCGCCTCGTGTCCCGTTTTCCATGCTTTCAGGCGCCCGCCACCCTCCTCTTTTCTCCCCCTTTTCTTTTTTGCCCCGTCAATGTGACCGGCGTACGTTCCAGAAACTCCGAGCACTGGTTTTGCTCACCCTTTTGGACATGCGAGCTTATGTACAGCATCTCTGGCTTCGGCTATAGTGCCCTCCGCCAAGTGTCCCAATCCTAGCATCAGGGATCCAAGTATGTACCAGAAAGAGAGAAAAGATATGTGCCAGAAAACAAAGCCTTAGCAAATACCCAATCAGACACATTCAATGGACGAAGAAGCCGCCCTCCATGCCGGCTACCTGGCTGCCCATCATACCGTAGTCCATGTGCATCATATGCTCGTTGACGTTGTATGGGGAAAAGTCGACGGCCTGGTCAGGACCCTGGCCCCAATACATGCCGTCCATATCCCATAGTCCATGCTGATCGAGCATGCTCATCATGCCCATCCCTTCCGGCTCCAGGCCGATGGGTGACATGTGCAGCTCCGCCTCCGCCATCAGCATCCCTTGCTCGCCCGCCAACCCTTGCAGAGGGCTCTCTGACCGCATCGACGGCTGTCTCGAGGCTTCGTACATTCGCCACACGACCTCTCGGCTACGCTTCGCCGCCAATGACCAATCCTCCATGGCCTCCAGCAAGTCGAGGATCGTCTCGATCTGCTGGTGCCAGTCGGCCACGCGCGGGCTATTCCATTCCCAGAACGTGCTGACCAGCGGGATCATGGCCGCCTGGTAGAGGAACCACACAGCGTTCCATCCAGACATTTGGTTGCGAGTCCATTCCCGGGCAATGTCCTCAATGGTCTGCTTCGCGAGCTCGCGGCACGTCTCAATGGCTGCGACGTCCTGCTCCGCCACGTGAGACAGCGAGCCGTTGCTAGCCAGGCTAAGCAGGACGGGTCGGTGGAGGAGCATCCGCAAGTTCTGGTATCGCCACTTCATGATGCACCGGGCAATGTACAGCGGCTCGGCGCAGGGGTCGGTCGTCCTCAGGAGCCATGGTAGGCTACTGTACCAGTTGACCAGCTGTCTGTCGAGGTTGCAACGGTCTTCCGCACGCAGGAGGGGCGAAATAGCCAACAGGTCCTGGATCTGCGTGGCAATCTTGCAGAACTTGATGTTTTCGATGAGCGGCAAGATGCCAGCGTGCTGCGCAGAGTCCCGGCCCTGGTTGATTCCAAACTCTGGGGGCCGGATGTTGATGGCAGGACCCCATCGCCCGAATGAGGGTCGTCCCATGGTTGTCGTGGCCCACGTGTCAAGGCAGAAGAGACTCCACCATGTGCGGCGTCTGGTCTCGGCGGCAGCGATGTCGCTCGACCCTTGAGCCAGGCTCTCTCGGTGAAGACCGAGGGCGCTCGCCATTCTTATGGCGGCGCCGAGGACGGCATTGGCCATGTTGGGTCTGTTGATGTAGTGTAGATAGTAGCCTCCAATCAGCGCGAGGGCTTGCACCATTTCGATATGGCTACTGCCAAAGGCATCCATGGGCAGATGCTCCATGGCCCTGTTATAGTAGTTGATGTGGTTGTAATCGTCCGACTTCATGGCGACGATACTGCCCATGGCAAAGACCATGTTCAGCAGTGCTAGCCAGGGGGCATCAAAGCGCTGGCCTTCCAGATAATCGGCTCGGAAAGCGGCCTCGTCCAGCATGGGAACGAAGACGTGAATGCGCTTGAAGTAAGCGTCAATGAGCGTCTGCCCCTTCCATGACCACGGGATGCGTTGGGTCTCCTTAGGCACGGCGCCTCTCTGTTGCATGGATGGGAAGCTGTGTGCGACTTCGGCGGTCTGGAGCGGCATGCTGAGCGCATTGCGGAGTGCCGGCTGAACCTTCATGAGGCACATGAGTGCGGCTTTGATCGAAGAGGCGCCGAGATATGATGATTGCCGGTCCACGGAGAGCGAAAGAGCGTTCACATCGTCGGCCTCAATAGGGATGGGATCGCGCACGCGGCGTTCTTCGTCCCACTCTGTATCCCGGCCAGGCATGAGCTCGAGGCTTGAGAAGCCCCGCTCGGAGCCGGAGCAAACCGGGGAGTCTAGTTCCTGTGAGAGGGGGGACGTGTTGAGAGGCGGTGAAGGGAGCGCGGTTGGCGTGTCCAGGACCGGATGTTCGAGTAGACCAAGAAGATCGTGGCGAGATAATGGAAGTAGTGACTGTACGTCTTGATGGGGAAAGAGGCGCTTGAGAACAGAGCGGCATTCCTCGAGAGACTGTGAGAGTGCCTCGAGCGTCTTGCGCGAAGGGATGACGCGCTGTCTGTGCTTGTCATAAAAGCAGCGTTTGGGCGCCCGGCTTGAGAGACATTGGCCGCATGGTTGCTGGCCATCACAGCGGCTGTCAGAGAGGTTAGATGACATCGGGTCAAGAGAGGCCGAGCGGAACATACATTTTTCGCCTCTTACATTCGGCGCAAGCATGTGGAGTAGTGATCCTCTTGGAACCTGACGAGCTTGTCGATTTGCTGCTTTCCTGCGACTCTGACGTCTGCTTCCGTGGCGTCACGCCCTGGACTGAATAGTGTGAGTCGGAGAAGAGAACAACGGCTCAAAAAGGCTGCTCGAGACTTACAGGTGTGAAACATTCCACCCTGAGCGGGTACTGAGATTGACGGGGCCATGTTTGCGTTTGCTGAGAAGAAAGAGTTGCTCGAGCCGACGTAAAGCTAAGATGGATTGTAAGAGCCTCAGTTGATTCTGTCAAGAGGCGTTGAAATGATCAAAAGATCAAATCTCTCTATCTTTGTCTTTGCGAGAAACCCAGACGCACAGATCAGTTCGTCAACAAGGTTGGCGCAGACGGAGACATTATATACAAAATGCAAGGAAGAGTTGTTGAGTTGAGCCAAAATGAAGTACCCTCCTGAGTACGGCCAACCATTCGAGAGACCCGGCGCGGCAACAGTGGGTGTGGGGAAAATGAGCATGGGTCTCGAGGTGCAATGGAAGAGAGGGAAAAGAGGCGATGGAACCTCAATGCCATGTCGGCTACGTGAAGCAAGATGGACAGGCAATTGAGCTTAGGGTTGGCCGGCCGGAACCAAACCAGGCTAGACGGGCAAGCAAGTGACTGGGGGGGCTCACAATGGAGGGGGGCTTGATCCAAATTCAAAGAGTCTCTGGTCCACAGCGAGGTAACATCTGCAGAATGTCGATTGCATATGTTCACGGTATGTGAAGAGAAGAGGCGGCTGGTGGGCTGTTTCTTTTTTGACAGAAAGGCAGAGGGCAGAATGAGCTAGGACGAGGGGAACCGAGAGAAGTGGGTTTGGTGTACAAACATGGGCGTGTTGGAGCCTTGGAGGCGACGAGCCGAAGAGGTGGTCAAACTTGCGAGGTTGAGCGTGGAGCCGTAGAGCCGTAGACTCGCACCTAGTGCAAGGCACGATGACCGGGGTTTTCTCTCTCAGAATCCCTGGAGGAGGAGGGGCGTGTACGGATAATGAGAGTGAACGGGACTGTGACAGGGCCAAGTCCCGGAGGGACGGGAACAATACCTAGGCACTATATCATCAGACCAAAAAACGAGGGACGAGAAGCATGTTCGCAGAAGAGCACTCGCTGTATGAGCGAGGCATTGCGCTGAGTGGTGGACCTGGTCTTGCAGAGATTCGAGTGAGGCGGGAAGAAGGGAAGCCCTCGTGGCGGTGTCTTGGACTCCAGGGGCTCGAGGATCAGGGCCAAGGCCACTACCGAGGGCGGCCGACACAGGCACACAGGTACGATGGTACAGGAGGTTCAGATAGTGGGAGAGGTGTAAGAACAATAAAGGTCAGTGTTGGTGAGTACTGTCTCCGTGGTTTGTGGTAGGTAGTCCATGGTAGGGTTGGAAGAAGCGGACGAAGCGAAAAGACACACCCCCTTGGATATCGAGGCGATCTGTGATTGGGGCAGAAAATCTGGAGAGTGTGGAGGAAGATGAGGAGGAGGAGGGATGACAGGTTTGCGATACTGTGGCTGGTGAAAGATGGGATGGATGGGAAAATGCAAGTTTGCTAGATACAGCAACGACACAGCTCAGGTGACACGGCACGATGGGCTAATGTACGGACGAAAATATGGGGATTGGGGTAAGGTTGCAGTGCGTGAATGCTTCTAAACCTCGTTGTGAGGAGATTTGCGAGAATGGGAGCGAAAAAGGTGCAGGAGGGATGGGTGGACACTGGACAAGATTGGGTTGGTGTTGTCGTCCGGACCGATGGGCAAATTGTTAAATTAATCAACAGGCGAAGTTTGGCACTGGAGGGCAATCAATGTGAATGAGTGAGTGAGTGAGTGAGGTGAGTGGTGAATGGTGAGTGAGTGGTCTGGGGGCGGGGAAACCGGCGATGGGAGGGCGGGGGGACGTCGGGTCAAAGTGGGGTAGGGTACCGGGCCACGGGTGGACAGACCACTCACAGAGTCAGAATGGAAGACGGGACAACTTTGGAGATGGGAACGTACCGCTCGCAACCGTGATTATGTCCCCTACCCGATGTGATCAATTTACCCTCGGTACCTCTTTCTTTCTGGGCCCTAGACATTGCTACTCTGTATCTACCTACCTACCACCTTGTGTACACTACGCATACTGTCAACCAGGTGTGTACGGAGTACCTTCCTTGGGGAAGAGGAAAGCGCGAGCAAGGCGTGAGCATAAAAATAAGAAACTTACACCATGTAGGCAACATCGCATCGCATCGCATCACATCACATCTGGCATCCGAACGGTTACTGGGGTCCTTATTCGTTCTCAGACATAGTTCCTGGTGCCTTGATCCACGGTCAGGTGCTTATTGCAAGTGGCAATGGCTTCCACGTTGGACGGGATGCGGGTGTGAAGTAGTGTTTAGGTTGAAGTGCCCAGTGACAGCCGTCAGCCACTGACTGGTGGGGAATCTCAATCGGGCGGGGCCGAACCCCTGGCGCGCGAAGCTAAAGTTATTGCCTTTATTTGCGCTGCTTAGGTAAGGTGAGGACCTTCGAGGCACGAGGCACGGACCGTTGACTCCAACTTTCTTTTTTGTTCTCGAATTCTCAAACGACAGGTGCGACGAAGTGATAGAGACAGGAACCAGTTCCCCTTTAGCATCTTAAGAGGCAAGTTTCTACCAGCTTACCTAATGCAGCATCAGCCACACCGGCACTATGTAACCCCGTCTCAACCAGGCATTTACACCTCATTTCAACGACGACGACAACCACCTCACGAAATTCTACCAGTATTATCCGTACCGCCCTACCCGAACCCGAAGCTCACTCCCGTCTTGCCCGACCCTCTCTCTCTCTCTCTCTCTCTCTCTCTCCTTTCTTTTTGTCCAGCCTTGATGAGCCTTTCAGGTCTTCCGTCTCCGTCTCCTCGCATATCCGCGGTCGTCCTGAACATGTGGAGCAAGATCCATCCTGCAAATGCACGTTGTCTGCGCATCACCCACCAAGTCTTTTAGCGTGTGCCCTTAGGCCCCATCGTCTGTTCTTTTTCTCTCCATTCTCTCCATCTTGACGGCTGGCCACGATGGGCTTCCTCTCAAACCCTGGTTGCCAGGCTAATTCATCTGGAGGCGTGTGGAGGAGTGAGGAGGTGTGGAAGAAATAGACAGGGTGGTACCACGTCGATCCAGGGTATCCGTACACCTTCTTTCCAGAGCCCCTCACCCTCCCCTCCCCTGTTTCTCCAAGCTGTCCCCGCATCCTTGTTAAAGAAGATGGCCTCCAATTTGTGAGGGGACCAAATATCTTTGACATCTGACTCAAATCATGGACAGACGAGACGACACCTTCTCGGCCTCATGCGGTAGCCCGCCAGCAGTTCGATGTGGTTGACCATCCCATGTCCTCCACCTTGATCCGGTCTGCGATCCGGTCTTCTCTGACTGGCGGACCGGCTCATTGCAGCTCACTAAGGCCGGCTTGCTTGCCATTCCTCCCTCATCGGTCTATTAGAGCATGATATCTTCTTGACCGAACGAAAACGAAGGAAATGATAAACGGTTTGTCGGACTCTGAGAGGCCATCTCATCGTTTCATCTTGAACCTCGTCATGGGAAGCAGCATTGGAGGACCCGAAGGCGAATAATCTCGCGGCAAGTGTCGTGAAGCTATCTTCAAGTCATAGCAGCGTTCAAGTATAGGTGCTTCTTCCAAGTCCCAGTGGCCTTGCTTCCATCCCGCTCCAACAAGGAGACCTTGTTTCTGCCCGGCTTCGATCCCGAAAGCCTTCGGCTATTTTGAAGCACGTCCCGTCGGCATGTACCGCCCATCGTGGGCCTCAACTTTGACTTCATCGATCCAGAGTGACCAACCCTACCTACGGATCCCTCTTACAGGAGCGCCAGATGGACGAGGCGGCTCAGTCACGCAACCAATGTGACCCATGTCACGCCAGCGTGCGCTTATTCTTCTTCTTTACTTCTTCCTCTGCTTCTTGAAGTACTTGAATCTGCCGCCCATCCCATATAGCTCCATAATCACTCCTACCCTCCCCACACCCCTTTGCATTGCAAGTTTGGTTCCTCCAACCACGTTCCCTCCTCTACCGTCTTGACCTTTCCTCCCTTGGTCTCCATTCCGGCCGGCCTTCAACATTACTGGGTATGTACCAGAGTCTCGCGTGCGCGAATGGACGGGACGACTGTACCTGGAGGGCCTTCACTAATCAACAACGGCGAGGCACGTCAGGTGGACAGCCCTCCACGCAATGACACGCCTTGATGAGCAGCTGTGCCTGGCACCTCTCCCGACGAACCGTTCCCATGTCCCTTGCGTACTGTCTGCCGCCCGCCATCCGTTAAAGGAGCAGAATTGCCTAAAGTAAGGGACGCTCTGTCCAACTGCTAAAACTCACACTAATGCATCTAGGTCTTTGCGGTCCCAAAGACGGCTCACTGAGAGACTTCCGTATATTATTCCCATCACGTCTGTCTCTATCATCTGCTGACGCACCGCCCTGAAGACCCGGCTGTGGCGATGACCGCTCGTGTGCTTGTTAAGAGTTAACCTTTACTTCGCGGTCAACCTCATGCAATGCATCTGCACTCATTGGGCATTCGACACTCCACAACGTCACCTCTCTCCTCCATCGACCGGGCAAGACTAGAGGTCCAAATCACATTGACTAAGGTGTGGCGTGCTCGATCCGGTCAGCCGACAGCACCTTGCTCTTGGGCGCCCTTCTTCACTGGACTGGAGCGGGTGCCTGCTCCCGCAGACCCTTGGGTATTCGAGGAAAGACAAATCTCTCCCACTTATGCCGCCTACGCGCGTCACTACAGGGAGCAGTGGCCTTCCCGACAGCTTGACATGAAACACTTGTCTTTCGCTAATCTATCTAGTCACGGTATATGTTGGCTTGTTGACTTGCTATGTGCCTTTGAGCGTGCCGACACGGTACTCTAAGCCAGTGGTAATACTACAGGCTGAGATATGTTTGGACATTACAAGCCACCGCAAAAGATGGTCTTTGGCCACATCGATCAATGAGGCAGCATCGTTTTCGCAGTCACAAACCACCAGGCACTCCTGCAGTAGCTTGGCCATGGTCTGTAGAGGATGATCTCCAAGGTTCCTGGAGGTATGGTTCCCCAGATTAAGGATTGTGCAATAGCAGAGGGTATCGGAACCGTCTAGACTTGTCGCCTCCTGTCTAGCCGCGCTTCTCCTGCGGGGATCTTTGAGTCACGGGTTGTGGAGGTAGGGGTGCGTATGTTTGCATCGAGCATGGTTGATGGCCCAGCCGCCTTCCAGTACCGGCTTGTGTCCGACGCTGACTGAAGCTTGCAACACTCCAAGCCGACAGTCGACCGGGGCAGTATAACCGTGATTTACACAGCCAGATTCTTCCGCAAGGCCGGCCCCAGACTATTACCAATTTGCGAGCCATCACAATGACAAGGGGCTCTCTGACGACTATCTGTACGGCGCCTGCGGGATACATTCTGAAATGGTGCCAAATGGCGCAAGTACGTCCTTGAGCCTGCGATTCTGAGGCTCGTACGTGTCGTTCAAACTGGCTTCCGAAAGGGGCCGCCCAGCTTACCATGTTCTCCGGCACAGCAATTCGGCCCGCCACCTTTATCGACACGTGTTTAATCTTATTGACGCATCTGGCTCGGCTGCGCGACGGCTGCGCCCGATAGACAGGGAAAGCCGTCGAGTGACGGCTCTTTTCAACGGGCAACGAACCCGTTTACGGACCAGCCCGCACGGGGACGGCTGTGCCTTTCTCTACCCGTCACCTTGAAAGGGGTCTCGGGTTAATTCAGGGCCCGTTCGTCTATTTGATGAGCGAGGAAGAAAGGGATCTGGGGTGCTTCGCTTTCGAGCAGACGTCATACATTCTGACGAGTCTTGACATTTCCTTTGCCGGCCTTTCATCTTTTGGAGGGTTGACTTGATATTCCATACCTCGATTTTGGACTCGATGACCACACTGCGGGATCGCAGCAGCAAAGGTAGTAATGCGTCGCAGAGGAAGTCGGCGCTATTGCTCCATCACTTGATCTAGACGACATAGCCGCCGTCCGAAGTCTTCGAGTCGGTTACATTCTGCGCAGTCAATGCATCCTAACCCATCTTGGATGTGCATCTTGAAGAGACTCTTTCCTTGACCGCCATGATAACCGCTCGACGGAGGCATGCAGCTTGCAACCCGTCTCGAGATGCATCGCCCAGCCCCAGAGGCACGCATCACATCGTGCGGCAGCCCACTTCGACACTTGCTCGGGCAACTCGCCGCATGTATCCGACTTGACCGCCCGCCGCCGGTTCAAACTGCTAGGCAAGCCGGATGAACCTGCAGAGGGATCGTGATGTTGAGGGTTGTCTGCTGACACAGCCCAGACACACATACACACCCATCTACACCCTCCTATTCCTGCCGGTGGCTTGCGTATTGCTTACGGATCGTGGCATACATTGAAGAACTGTCAGATAGACACTTCGCTAGTTTGCTTTTCCAATGTCTTGGAGACCATCCTTTCGGAAAGCTCGCCGAACACCTGGGTACCCGCTGACCATCACGAAAGCCACGCCCACTTGCTTTACAAAGATGTCGCTAATCAGATTCTTGTTCCGTCCGGAGCCGCGCTTTTGCATATCCAATTCTGGACATTCGGATTCAAATTCGGTTTCTTCCTGATCTGATAACCCTTTGCGGTCTTTTTCTACATTCTGAACCTTTCTCCGTTGTCGTTGTCGTCGTTGTTGTCGTTGTTGCTGTTTTTTTTTCCCTCAGTGGCGCAGTATGTTACATTGTTTCTGTATGAATAAGACCATTAAGACCACAATAACCGGGCGGCTCCGCTGTTATATGCCGTGGTTTGAGTCAGGGAAGAATCTTCAACCCGGCATTCCTCACTTATCAGATTCTTTTCTTTTACAACACAGGGGAAATAAGAGTGTTTGGGGGCCGTTGAAGCATTTATATCCCCTATCCCACCGGTATGATCTGAGAAGCTGCCATCCTTATCTCTCCGAAATCGTCCGAGTCCTTGGCATGCATTTTCTTTGTTGTGAGGTTGTACTACTGTACCTGTAAAGATGAGACGATGCCTCTATCACCGCGGGACATTTTGTCCCACAACCCGGTACTTTCATTCTTGGGACCTGATAGCACGGCAAGACTGATACGTCACTCTTCATGTGCATATGTACTGTCACGACTTGACAGTTGGCGGTGAATACGGTCCTTGGAGATCGTGAAGCCGACTGAAATCATATCATTAGACACAGCAGGTGGACTCCTGAAGCTTGCCATCGTCAACCTCCGTCATGTTCCACTTGCTCCAAAAGTCCAAAGCGGTTCCGCATAACCCCTGGCCGCATTGTAATCCATCCACATCCTAGCTAAGGTAGCTGTAAGGGACTGCGGTCCGACGTGATCTCCGCCCAGACAACCACACACCCGTTCGACAGGGTCCAGTGAGGGTCAAAGTGGTGTCCTGTCCTACACCCCCGGCACTGCAAATCAGTTTGCTGCGGCGCTAGAGTTGCAACCACACACACATACACACCCCTCCCGCAAACAAATTACCATCCCGGAAAGCATCTCCATGCCTCCCAGCTCTGGGAACCACTACCTGCCACCGCTACCCCGTTGGACCTTTTCTCCAAGATTGGAAAATAATCTATTCTTCCGGGATCTGCAACCTCAGTGCCGGACGATTCGCCTTGGGGTTCTCCCAGGGTCACGGTGCGTGCCATCGTCTTCCCCTCACCTCTCCGCCCAGGAGGAGTTCACTCCCAACTGTACACCAACCACGCTGGCTGAACAGAACATCGTCAGCTTCCCCGCACGTCTTGCTCTAGTGGGGTCCCATGGTCCATCGACGGCCGTTCTGAAGAAGAACCAGGGGGGGGGGGGGGGGGGGGGGAACCGCGAGCGGCCAGATTGGAAAGTATTTCCGAACCCCCTTACAGACGAAGAATTTGGCACCGGCTTGCAATGCCGTCAAATATGCATGTGTTCTCGATGGGTACGTATTGGTTCGTGATGATTTTGATCGTCTCCTGAGCCACCATGCCGCCAGTCACGGCGGAAACGTTGTGCAGCTCTCCACCGCCAGACCTGGCTACCTCTTGCGCCGCCTGCGCGAGCCGCTCGTTGTCGCTCCAGTCTGGAAGCTGCGTCTTGATTTTGTCGAGAATCTCATCCGAAGATGCCGTGGGTGTGTGTGACGTGGACTGGAGGGCGAGATAGATTGGGAGGAGCGACAGTGGCACCACGCCTTCCTTGGCCATTTCGTCGTTGGCAAACTCCTGCGCTGTGAGGTGAAATGTGTGAGCACCGGCTGTGGTAATCCTCGTGGAGATTATTCCTTACCTGCTACGCTGCGCAGCTGTTCGGGCCCGCCACTTACAGGGACGACCAGCTTGATAAATGCCGCATTTTTGCAGAACAAGTCGACCTCGGCTGCGTCGACACCCTCGCCACCGGCCTTCTGACGGACCGATTCGAGCACTTCGGCTGCATCTTTGCGAGCCTTGGCCTTGTAGATGTTTTGAAGCTCAATGTACACGCTCGATTGGGCCTTCATGTCTGGGAGGCCGCCTGGTACTGGTAGACAGCCGTGCTTCTCATAAAAGTCGCGGATCGCTCCTGCGATGATCCAGAAGCTAGAGGTGGCTTCCTTCTGCAGAGTTGTCAGGTGGTTTGGCTTTTCTCGGTAATGTGGCGGGCACTCACCTCGTCCGTATGCTTGTACTCAAAGACCTCCTTGACGGCAGAAGGGAGTGATGGTGGCGAAATAGTCTTCAACACGGCAGCCACAGCCTCCTCAAAGTTCTCCTCGCCTCCTTCGGGGTTGTCTGTTCTCGTAGCAGCGGCCACCATTTTGCGGAATTCCACTTTGTCCTTGTAGTTGCTCGGGGGCTTGGAGTCGTGTGACGACTTCCATACGTTCAGGTAGTGCAAGAGAATGACGACGAAGGGCAGGTGGCCGTGCTCATGGTTTTCGAGATTATCAATGTCTTTCGTCAGGCTCTCGGAAAAGGCCTCTAGCTCTTCCCATGGGGTGGCAAGCCGCAAGTCCGTGATGGCTGTGACGTCCGGATGAGTGTCGACGATGGGGTAAATGCCTGGAAGACGAGTGCTGAAGTAAGAGTAGAAGCCCGCGGAGTGTATCGCAATCAATGGTGTCTTGTGTTCAAGGCTGTAAGCCTCGAGTGTAGTGAGATCTTCGGGTTTCATGGGAAGTGTGTACAGAATGATGGTGAAGGGAGCTGGGGTTTTCAGAAGCTGCTGGAGGCTCGCGTTTTCCTACCACTGTCTTAGTCTCATGGCGCAGAATACATGATTCAACTTCCTCACCGAGCCTTTAGGATACCAGTCACCCTGAACCTCAGAATTGAGCTCCAGCAGCAGCTCTGTACAGCTCTGAGCCCTCGACTTGCCGAGATGGGACTCGTCCAGGAAGAAGTTGACACCGAGATCAGCCTCGCTCACGACGGCATCATCAGCAATCGTGAAGTTTCCAATACCTAAGCATATTAGTTTTTTGATGATGAATATGAGGATAGCAAGGCTGATTTAGGGCCACCATGCAAGCTCTCGGGGTTATACCTGGAAGTACGAGATTCTTCAGTGTCTCAACACCAACAGTGCCCGTGCCAGAATTCACAAGCAGGATATTGGCAGACTCTAAAGCCGCTTGGCCGCTCGCAGCCCAAAGTCTTAGTTGGCGGTCGTACTTCTTCTCCTTTTCCGATGGTACGGCGAGGGCTGGTGGCGCCTGGTCGGCTATTATGTCTGTCATGATAGAAGCGGTCTCGGAGGGTTCTGCCGGGAGAGGGTCAGAACGGGAATATGAAGTATTGACTGCGAGGCACTTTGCCTTCTTTCGGATGAGATCCAGGGGCAACCCAAGCTTCGAAATGGCGAGGGCTCAATAAGTCTTTGCGATGGGAAGTCGACCTTGACTGACGATAGTGACAGGACGCGGGCACTGTGGTGGGTTAGATGTGGGACTGTCGTTGTCAGCGCCTGTTTGCCCGCTTCAAGGTGCCTGGGCTGAGTGTCGTCAACGAGAAAATGGCACCAAAGCATAGTGCCGGAGCTCTTCGCACGGTGAGGGGTGATGCCATGGATGAGGTAAGCAATTGCTGCCTTATATAATGTGCCCGCCCCTGGGTACCTAAGAGAAACGGGTCTCCGTCCGGCCCGGCAAAGGCCCGGATTGGGATCCGTACGGCCGTGGGGTCTTACCTTCCGGCCAACGCCCCACAAGTGCGTTCCAATTCCGCTTTCTTCTTCTCTCAGACATTGTGAAATTGCCTGGAACTCCGCTGGGCAGGTATGGATAAAACCCCCTGCCTTCGCTCTCCGCGTCTTCGCAGTCACCAGACACCACCAGCAGAGCCGTGGACGGTCAGTCGTATGCGCACTCAAAGCCAGACATAAAAACCAACGAGCCGAGGAAGAAGCAACGGAGATCCCGGTCAACCCAGATGGTATTCTTTGCCATCTCGATTCTCCCAGCGTAAACACCCATTCCTACCGTGTGCACGCTGCGAGCAAACATTCCACGAGATGATGTTTGTGTCTCCCTCTTTCTAATCTCCTTCCCTTGTTGTTTGCCTAGGGGCCATTGTTGCAATCTTTACGGTTCCCAAATAGCACTAGGGAGAGTGGGAGATAGCCCCGGATTTACACATCGCAGACAGCCAGTTGTGTTCGGTGCTTGGCGCAGTCGTCGCTCACATCGGGCACCCAGCGTCGACTGATGGCTCCATCACCGAAGCAAGGACTTTGAGAGCTTGACTATGGGTTTTCCCATGTCTCCCTACCTGAGAGGACCGCCCGAGTGGGCATCGCGGATAGACAGTGTTGAGCCCGCATTCCTCAACGACGGATTCGCCTCTCTTCTCCATTCCCGTCGCTGGTTATCAATTACTGAGTCTGCGGCCTGCCTACACACACGGCAACTGGAAACAGAGGAGGAGCGAGACTATGCTGGCTGTGCGGTCGATTGTTGCGAGTTTCCTTCGGCGTCGGCAAACGTCGCTAGGTAAACTATGATGCTGGCCATCCTCGGACTTGGGAGATTGAAGCTATCTATCCACGGAGCTGAAAATTGGAGCCTTCGCCGATAGGATGCCATCGATTAGACCGGGCCTGGATGATGGATCTAGACCACGTTGCAGCTGATTCTTTAACGGCCTTGGTGCGTCGGGGGGCGGGTTCCAGCATTCCTCATCGGACGACTTGCTGCCACCGAAAGGGCCTTGACAACAAACCAAGGGGACTCCGACCGAAAGAAATGCGGCGACCTAGACCATCGCACTATCGTGCCCTCCCTTCTTCGTTCGCCTCACTGGTATTGGCCTGTCTCACCACCGAAATGTCTGACTATCTGGGGGGTTTTTGGTGTGGCGCGCCGGGTCCACGCCGCATTCGCCTACGGGATCAGCTTACGGCCGGCAGCAGCGACGGGCCAAAGACACAAACAACTGGGACCGTGAGTTCAGGAGGTCGTTTCCGAGCTAGCGAATGCGAATGCGTTGCTGAACGCCGAACGTTCGTTTTTTCCCTAATTCGTCGCCCCGAACGCCGATTCAACCTCTCTCTTATGTTCGGCCATGGCGCCTGTCTCTCTTTTAATCGCGTTCCCTTCGTGGATTTCGCCCCGTTCTTCTTACTTGGACCTCGCATTCTCTTTCCAAGCGCCTTTTGATCCTCCTGTCAGATGCGCTTCCCGGGCTTCTCATGACATCCTTCACTATGAGTTGCCCCGGCTCTGCTTCTCAACCCCGTATCTGTACATCGTGAGAGTTCGTCAGCATAGCGTTGCTCCGACACCGACAACCTTCGAGTCAGGCTTTCATCCTACCGACGGACAGGATTCAGCCGAGTGAATATCCTCTCAGAACCATCGGCCCCACCACCACCTATTTAATCAGTGTACAATACCCGGATTCAACGACAACCACGAATTGAGACATCGACGACTGCAACATTCTACCAACGACAATCTCATTTTGACTGCTGCTTGTTGGCATAATATCGCACCGGTTAATTTCTTCGAGGCGATCCTCATGGGTAATCTTAAGGAGGACATCGAGTCTACCAAGGCCGAGGGCCTTGTAGAGAACCATCATTACAGAGATGCTACTCTACCACCATGGAGATTTTGGCTGCTCAGTATTGGGTAACTACCCCCATGATGTGTTGAGGGCTGCTGTAGATCTCTATGCTGACTTGCCTGGAAGACTCTGTCTCGGACTATTTCTTTCCATGTTGGATGCTTCTATTGTGGCAACGAGTCTGTATACAATCGGCACAGAGTTTGACTCGGTTGATCTGATCAATTGGGTTGCACTCGCATACACGCTCACATATCTGAGCTGTGCCGTTTTGGTGGCTCTGGCCTCCGACATTGTTGGCCGCCGCAATGCCTTCTTGGCAAGCTTCATCATCTTCTTTGCCTTTTCCCTGGGCTGCGGCTTTGCCCAGAACCTGGAGCAGTTGGTTGCATGCCGTGCTCTGCAAGGTTTGGGAGGGTCTGGTGAGTTGAGCGTTCTCATCGCCGTCAAGTCCTTTGCTAAGTATCTTCAGGCCTATATTCGATCACCATGATTATCTTCCCCGAGGTAGCTCCCAAGCACCTGCTCCAGTACATGTCCAGCCTCGTCGGTATGGTCATTGCTAGTGCCGGTGTACTTGGGCCTGTCCTGGGAGGTATTCTCACCCACTACGCCTCTTGGCGATGGATCTTCTGGATCAAGTGAGTGACCCCGAGGAAGTGATTGTCGTCTGGAGGGAATTATTCTAACAACAACGCAGTGGGCCTGTTGGTTTTGTTTCAATGCTCATCTTCTACTTCACGTGGCCCGATGCCAAACACCTCCCGACACTGCAACGTAGACGCTGGAAGGAGTTGGACGTTGTAGGCTCTTTTCTGCTTGTTGCAGCATCCGTTCTGGTTGTCTTCTCCTTCCAAAATGTTGGCGCAGATGGCAACAAGTGGCGCCAGGCCGTATTCATCGCCCCCGTGACGGTCGGCGGCGTGTGCTTCATTCTGCTGCTGGGATGGGAGGCATTCGTCGCCAAGTACTGGAGCAACCGCATCATGGCGGCTATTCCGATGCGGCTTCTTCGCAACCGTGTCTACGTCGCCACCATCCTCAACACGATGTTCCTCGGGTTCCCGTATCTTTTGGTCATTTACGCCTTCCCTGTCCACCTGCAGATCGTCAACGGGAAGACCTCTTTGCTCGCGGGTATTCTGCTTCTGCCGATGCTAGGCTCTGTTGCGCTAGGGACCACTCTCGGCGGGATTATCAACAAGAAGCAGAACCGACTTTTCGAGACGATGACAGCGGCAAGTTGCTTCGTGTGTATTGGCTGCGGCTTGATGACGACGCTCTCGTCGTCTGTCGAACTGGAACCCAAAGCCCTCGGGTTTCTCACCTTTATCGGCTTTGGCTTTGGTTTGTCGGCCACTTCGTCAACCGTTCTGGGAGCGACTGAGTCCGAGATTCCAGATCATGGTAAGCATTCCAACCCTGTTAGATGTAGACAGATAACTAACGTAACAAAAGCCCCGGCGCAAGGAATCATTGCACAGGTGCGCATTCTCGGTGGCAGTCTGGGAATCGCCGCTTCCACGGCGATCTTGGGCAACTTCATGCGGGACGAGTTGACCGGTGTGCTAAGCCCGGGACAGCTTGCGTCGCTCCATGGAGCAGGAGCGAACTTGACGGAAGCGCAAGCTGCAGCTGTACGTCAGGTCTACACAGACTCTTTCTGCAAAGACATGCAAGTGGGAGCTATCCTTTCCGGCATAGCAATCCTACTGAGCTTTGGTGTTTACCGTCGAAATCGGGTCACCATCGAGGAGCAGCGGCAAATGCACATCAGAGCTGAAGTAGAGAGGCGGCGGAGGGCATCGGCGGCGACCACGTTGGTTTCTTCGACGACAACGGACTAAGCGTGTGTACAATGGGCGCGCTGTATCTTTATTGTTGGATTTTTGTTGTAAGCATAGCATCTGGCCGGCGTTGGGGGGATCTCATTGTCAATATTTCTGGCATCAACGGTTAAATATGATGGGAATGAGTTTATGAGCAATACCTCATGTCAGTATTAATTATCCTTATCATCCAACTACCTTTGAACCACTCCGCGGCCAACGACCGGAAAACCACAGTGATCGTTGAATGAACCGAGGGCCTAGTAAGCCGCAATCTTGGTCTATGTAACCCTGTCGGATTCGCAGCCGGGCAGAGCTCATCGGCGTTGGTGCCGCATGGTGCGGGGATAGAAAAGGCCGCCAAGTACAAACAAAGTCGGAGTTGCCAATCACCTCATCGGCGCAACAGCCTCTCACAGCAAAGAAGGCTGTTCAATGAACCCCATTAGACCCTCTTGAAGACTCCTCCGTATCTTACTCTAGCCCTGCTACTTGTACTTGAAATAAGTGAGGGGCCAAAAAGTTGTGTCAAGTGAAAGAAGCTTCAAGCAAAATGATGCAATCGCCTATTCCCGCCGGTTATCGGTCGGTTGAAACCCCGCATTGTGGGGCCCATCCATTCCGTGCGCCGTGCCGTACACTTCTGCTCTCCCCTCGTCTTATCCGTCCCTCCATTTGCCTCTGTAGTCGGAAACGTGTCGAGACTTATTTTTCTGTACCGGAACAGCTTCCCTCTAGTGATCCTTGCCTTTTAATTGGTTAATAGCAACTGTACGAGCAAAGCAACCTTCTCCTGACTTCTGCAGAAATCCCCGATTTACAGTCAAGTATATAAGCAACTAATTCATCCCACCGTACCGGCACTCTGCACTCCCGTTCCCTCTCTTCACACATGCCCCCTTATACCCGTATAGCCCGCTCCGTCTTCTCTTCACTCTTGTCATCTCAACGCCACCAGCCTCAGCTACACTCATCCCTACATAAAGCCCTCAACCAGACTCATCACAGAACCATCATGTCCGCCGCAGCGAAGCGCCTCGAAGGCAAGACGGTGCTCATCACCGGCGCCTCGAGCGGTATCGGCAAGAGCACGGCGTTCGAGTACGCCCGGACGGCGCCCAACAACCTCAAGCTCGTTCTCACGGCTCGCCGCATCGACACGCTCAAGGAGGTCGCCGCCGAGATCCAAAAGGAGGTCGGCAGCGGCGTCAAGGTCCACCCCGTCAAGCTGGACGTCAGCAACCCCGAGGAAGTTCGCCAGCTCGTGCCCAACCTGCCCGAGGAGTTCAAGGACATCCACATCCTCGTGAACAATGCGTATGTCACTACCCCCGTGACCTCACTCTCACGTTGGCTGTCAACTTACACATCAAAAGCGGCCTCGTCAAGGGAGTTGCCAAGGCCCCCGAGATCGCTGAAGAGGACATCAACGTCATGTTTGCTACCAACGTCACCGGCCTCATCAACGTGACGCAGGCCATTCTGCCCATCTTCAAGGCGCGCCCCGATGGCGGCTCGGGAGACATCATCAACATTGGCTCCATTGCTGGTGAGTTGGCGCTTATCAAACCCATGCTGCGTTGAGCATTAGTGGCTAATAGTCGTGATGATAGGCCGTGAGCCGTACCCCGGTGGCTCAATCTACTGCGCAACCAAGGCCGCCGTGCGCAGTTTTACCGACAGCTTGAGAAAGGAGCTGATTGCGACTCGCATCCGCGTCATTGGCATCGATCCCGGCCAGGTTGAGACTGTAAGCTATCATCTCCAAGGGGCCTAGTATTAGTGACGGGATCTAACATGGGGCAGGAATTCTCCGTGGTTCGCTTCTACGGTGACAAGTCCAAGGCCGACGCCGTTTACGCGTAAGTCACTACCTGGGAGAAGCTTCAAGCATGGACACTATGCTAACGATGCCACAGCGGATGTGAGCCTCTCACCCCCGAGGATATCGCAGAGGTTGTCGTCTTCACGTCCACCAGGAGAGAGAACGTTGTCGTTGCAGACACGCTCATTTTCCCTCAACACCAGGTGAGTTTGACCGTTGAGTCGTGCACATTTAAAACATGTCTGACTTTAGACAGGGTGCCGCTGGTCTTCTCCACCGCAAGTCTTGAAGGGAAGCGGCTTTGAGTTATTGGCCTAGAGGCAGATGGGGCGTGGGTGGGAATGTGTAGAGTCGAGAACGCATCTCGAAAAGCACTCGAATTGGCTGTCATGACGGCCATAGAGGTAGACCTGTAGATCAACCAGCGTTTTGTTTTAGAAGCACGAGAGCTTCGTCTACGCGAGACCATATTTTTCTGTTTGCGAGAAGTCTAGGCTGCAGAGCAAGTGGAAGAAATGGTATTCCATCTAGACGGTCCTATCTGTAAGACCTCACTACTCTATCGAACTCGGTAGGGTGATGTGAGCCTAGCCATATTAGTATCCTGTAGCATCCTATCGTAGTAAGGGCTAGCGATCGCCAATTTTTGAGAATAACCACCGACCCGTGAAACCAGACTTTGTCGAGACTTATAACGAGATACATGGCATCACCGGGAGGCCTCACTCAAAGTGTTAGACTCCTGCACTTATTTGTTTTTAGGCAAGGTCTAGACAAGTCTTGAGTGGCCACATGGTGTAGTAGAAATTGATACCGCTATTTCGAGTGGTTGTATTCGCACTAGGCCATCAACTGGAATACTCGATTTAGGTTCATAGGTACTCGTTTCCCATCGCGACGTGGGCCATAATGTCATGATAGCCCGGCACACCCAGTGGCCGAGGCACCTCCAACTGTTGGGACGTCCTTCCCTGCTGTTAGTGTTTGTATGAAGACGGAATGCTGCAGCTAACATGCAGACTCCTTAGCACCACCTTAGTAAACGTCGGTGCTTCCACAGTGACTGTCGCTAACCAACGCCTTGCCAGGTAGTGGTCATTCCCCTAAATTCCCCGCATGATCTTCTCAGACACACCCACCTCAGGTACCGGACCACCTGAACAAACCCAAGAGGTACATCGGTGTCGTCCTTGGATGAGTATCGCTCGGCACTAAGGAACCTGGTCACATTCATTTCAACAACGACAACAGTCCCCCGATGTGCGCTTCCCTGTCCGCCATTTCCCAACGACAAGGGGCCCGGCGACATCCTTGACCACTTCACACCACGCATCCTCGCGCCCACTCTTCAGTAAACATCGCGAATATCTTTTCTTTTTTTCCTGCAATAGTCGTCACGTAGTCCTGACTGTGCCTACATGTCGCGGTAGCCTCCTGTCTTCTGCTGTACGTCAGGCGCACGTAGTACTCTCCAGTCGGCCGTCACCCTCGGTTCCATGCCATGCAAGGCCTACGCCAGCCATGAACTGACAAGATGGGCCTCACAACTTTTCTCGGATCCTCTACCGACAAACTCGTCTCCAGCCGCTCCAAGACTTCCTCGTCCAACTCTCTCGACAAGGCGTCTGAGAATGCCTCTTCTCAAACGACAGACGCCGGCCCTGCCTCCACATCCCACCATGGATACATTTACGACGAGGAGCAGCTCCCTGCGCTGTCCCCCGACTGCCCCGATCTTCGCGAGCTCAACAGCAGCCTCGAAGCCCTTGCCGCCATCTTCCCCGACGTTCAGATTCAGGTCTTCCGCGAAATGCTGATCAATTTTGACGAGGAATCGAGGCTGGCTGTGGTGATCGACGCCCTGTTGAAGAATCGCGTCGCCTGGGTCAAGGGTCGCTGGAGGACTGTCGATAACCAACCTGCGAGACCCCCGGTTGTGAACGAAGAAGCGGGAGAGCAGGACGAACCTCTAATCCCTCGCGTCGAAGCCTTCCGAAGTCCCGAGTACAAACACGCCGTGCAAGCGCTGGCTTGGCACGAATTCAAGGGTCTTTCCAGATCCACCATCAACGCCGTCCTCGCCGAGTCCAACTACTCCTATTTCGAAGCCCGCAACACTCTTGTATCGCTCTCGTCAAAATCATGGCGCTTTACCATATCATCCCTCTTCCTCCGCAGGAAACTGGTCGCTACGGGCGAAGCCGAAAACCACCCGCTGATAACATGGAAACCGACCGGCCAAGGCGCCATCGTGCCGTCTCTCAAGGCCACGGGCAATGCCGAGCTCGATTCTGAGCTATACCGTGATTTGGTCCGACCGCTGAAAGATCGGGCGCGGCAAACGCAAGAGCACAAGGATCGAGGTCTGGCTTTCTTGATGAATAATGAAGAAGCCGAGGAAGCCGGCGCTATGCATGAGTGCGCATGCTGCTTTACCGAATCCACTTTTGAGGAATTTACAACCTGCAATACGGACGGACATATGCTCTGTTTCCGCTGTATCCAGCACTCGATTACGGAGGCTGTGTTTGGCCAGGGATGGCACAGCAGCATCGACACAAACCACGGCACGCTGAAATGTCTCGCTGTCGAAGGGAATGGGTGCCCTGGTCATATTCCTTACGAACACATACACCGCGCCATGCTCGAGGAGAAGAAGGGCGCTGAGATCCTCCGGAAACTCGACCAGCGATTGGCAGAAAACAGTCTCCTCACGTCCAACATACCCCTAATACGTTGCCCCTTTTGCGACTATGCAGAAGTGGATGACATTTACCTTCCAGCACAAGAAACGCAACTACGGATCAGGCTTGACAGTCTACTCAGTCTTGCGCTTCTCCTTGTATGCATTGCGACCGTGCCCTTTCTCCTCCCTTTGGTCTTGTTGTCCTCCTTTCTCTGTCTTCTCGTCAGCACGAAGCAGACGATTGGCGACCGCCTAGTCGCACAATGGCACCTGGCTCTTGGCCGCCATCGCCGACGGCGTCGTGGACTGAAGTTTGCCTGTCAAAACCCTGATTGCGGGAAAAGCTCGTGTCTATCCTGCGCAAAGGCCTGGAAAGACATTCACGTATGCAACGAGTCGTCCCTGGTTGCGCTGCGTACACAGGTCGAGCAGGCGATGAGCATGGCCATCAAGCGCGTCTGCCCGCGATGCCATACATCGTTCGTCAAGAACTCGGGCTGCAACAAGCTCACCTGTCCCTGCGGCTACAAGATGTGCTACGTCTGCCGCAAGGACATTGGCGGTACCAACGGAGACGGCGAAGGGTACAGGCACTTTTGCGACCACTTTAGGCCGGACGGTGACCCGCGGCCCTGCACCGAGTGCTCGAGGTGCAATCTCTGGGAGAGCGAGGACACCGACTCGGTGCTGAGGGAGGCCAAGGAAGAGGCCGAGGCCAAGTGGCGCGAGACGGAGAAGCGGGAGCTGAATGGAGCCGAAAAGGCCTTTTTGGAGACGGGCTTCGCCAGGAACGGGGTCTCGCCGGTCGAGCACCGCCTCAAGAATGGTCAATTGCCGACCTTGCCCGAGTTGTGCGACTTTGTGGTTGAGACCATTTTTGTGTGAAGCCGGCTCTGGTAGAAGTGTGCTTTGTAGAGGCGCCAGGACGAGAAAGAAAGAGCAAGAAAGACAAGTGGCTTGGAGTTTTACAGGTTATGATTATACTGGGATATGGGCATCTTTGGGGCGTTCTGGGTCTGCGGAATTAGGAATCGAGGAAGCGGGAGAACGGGAATAAACCTCACAGAACGAGGGTAGAGTGAAGTGAGGACTGTCGTATCGGCGCTCATCTACACAACAAGTAACCTTTTGTAATTTGTCAATAAAATTTCAGCTTTAACCTTCATCAACCCGCCTATTTCCTAAACTTGATTTGAAACAATCTCATGAATCATACAGAGAGACAGATAGCCATTTACTCATACAATCTGAAAGAATGCGCGCCCTTACGCAGCTTAGAGCTTGCTCTTGTCGTCCACCAGCTCCGCCGCGGCGCCGCCAATCGCCAGCTTGCCCGTCTCCTTGACCTTGGTCTGGAAAATGACCTTGCCGCCGTCCTTCCACATCTCCGTTACGAGCGTCTGCCCGGGGATGACGGTGCCGGCGAAGCGCACCTTGATGTTCTTGACGGGGCCGAAGCGCTCGTACACGGCCTTGCCGGCGACGCCGAAGAAGCAGAGGCCGTGAAGGATGGGGGCCTTGAAGCCGCCCATCTTGGCGAATGCAGGGTCGACGTGGAGAGGGCTGTCGGACGTTGGTCAACATCTACAAATGCATGAGGGCTTCAGTCACTTACTTGTAATCACCGCTGAGACGGTACAGCGCCGCCTGCTCCTCGGTCGTCTTCTCCTCGACCACGACGTCGGGGTGGCGCGAAGGAGGCTTGTTCGTTGCCGTGCTGGCGCCGCGGTCCGCGGGCTTCTTCTGACCGCCGAACCCGCCGCAGCCTCGCAAGAACACCGTCATCTCGTTGTAGAAGACGGGCTCCTTGGTCTCGGCGTGGATCGTGGTGATGCCGCTCTTGACAATGGCGGCGTTACCCTTGTCGACGACCTCGAGGAGCTTGCCGGTGGACACGAGCTTGGCGGCGGTGGGAATGGGGTACTTCTTGATCTCGAGGTACTGCTCGCCGTGCAGGAGCATCATAGGGGAGAAGTTGGGGACAATGTCGTCAAAGTTGTACGGCATCTCCGTGTTGAAGGGAGGGATGACGCCGAAAGTCGGCACGACCTGGAAGTCGTCGGCGCCCTCAAAGACGTACTTGAGCTGGTCGCGCTTGGCGCCGATACCCAGGTTGTATAGCATCACGTCGCGCTCCTCGTACTGGAACTCAGTTCCCTTGCCCTCGGCGTTCTGCGCGGCCTTGATGGCGTCGAGGTACTTGCTGTCACCTCCGGAGCTTGCCTCTGACTGTAAAGACACATGATCAATAATTGTTCTTATTTGAAAAACTATTGCTATTTTACAGAATTGCGCCACTGGATGTGTGGGCTTCATACCTTGGACTTGTTGCTCTTGTTCTCCATGTTGGCCATGATACTCTGGAGACCATCCTGTGTCTTCTCAGGGTGGTCGGCGCGGCCATCCTCGAAGTTTCTGATGGAGTCCCAATGCTTGAGAACCTCCTCGGGAGTCAAGGGGACGTCGACGGGGAAGCCGTGGCCGCCGGTTCTCTGCCAGCGGGTCTGGCCGACCCAACCGCTGCCGACCTCGTACAGGCCGCCGGTAGGGTTCTTGGGAACCTTGTCGCTGGAGAGGGCGAGGACGACGGGCGCAATGTAGTCGGGCTTGAAGGCCTGAACCATCTCCTCGGGCATGATGGTTCTTGTCATCGCAGTGCCGGCGTTGGGGGCGATGGTGTTGACGTAGATATTGTACTTGTAACCCTCGAGGGCGAGCGCACGGGAGAAGCCTAGGATACCGCATTTCTGTACGTCTGTTAGTCATCATGTCTCGAGGTTCAGCGTAATGAGACTTACCGCCGCGGCGTAGTTGGCCTGGCCAAAGTTGCCGTAAATACCAGAGGTGGACGTGGTGTTGATGACACGTCCATACTTCTGCTTGAGGAAGTACGGCCAGGCGGCCTTGGTGACCTTGTAGGTACCACGGAGATGAACGTTCAGGACGGGGTCCCAGAGGCTATCGTCCATGTTGTTGAAGGCCTTGTCGCGGAGGATGCCGGCGTTGTTGACAATGATGTCAATGCGTCCGAAAGCATCAATCGCGGCCTTGACAACGGCATCACCGTCTTCTGCTGAGGCCTTGACGCCGACAGCCTTGCCACCCATCTTCTTAATCTCGTTGACCACGTCGTCGGGGTTGGCCAAGTCGTTGACAACGACCGTGGCGCCGTGCCTGGCGAATGCCAAACTGTAAGCACGACCGATACTGGGAACCGTTAGCTGTGGATAATCACATGCGAGGCTTCATAAGCTTACCCTGCACCACCACCGGTGACGAGCGCCACACGGCCGGTGAAGTCAACCTTGTCACCTTGCTCGTTGGGGCCCATCTTCATGGAGTCCTCCAAGAGGGTCAAGAAGTCATTCGGGCCAGAGGGGTACTGAGGCTTGGAGAAATCAATGGCCTGATCCCACTTCTTGATAACAGCGCTGGGTGTGTAGCTGTCGTCGGCCTTGAGGAGTTGACCGCTGGACCGCTCCCAACGCAGCTTGGCAATGTGACCACCGCCAACCTCGAAGATGGATCCGTTCTCGTCCTTGTTGTCCTTATGTACGAGGACGGAGACGAGAGGGACGACCCATTCGGGCTTCAAGATCTCCAGCACATCGGGCGGCATCACAGTCTGGGTCATTCTGCTGGCGGCTGTTTGTACCAGTTAGCGCACACGATTTCCCCTGCCCACGGCTCCGCTTGCCCAGCACACGTTGCACTTACCGATTGGTGCAATGACATTGGCCAGAATGTTGTACTTGGCGCCCTCCTTTGCCAGAGTCTCGGTGAAGCCCACCATGGCCAACTTGGCAGCTGCATGAACCGAATTAGTATATCTCAAGGCGGGTTGTATCAATTGGGCGTCGGCTGCGACACGTACCAGAGTAGTTGCACTGGCCGAAGCTGCCGAAGAGACCGGCAGCCGAGGCCGTGTTGATGACACGGCCGTACTTTTGTTTCCTGAAATGGGGCCATGCGGCGCGGGCGCACTTGTACGATCCCTTGACGTGCACCTTCATAATCAGGTCCCAGTCCTCGTCCTTCATGTTCTTGAAGCTGATATCGCGCAGGATGCCAGCATTGTTGATCAGCACGTCGATGCGGCCAAAGTTCTGGATCGCCGTCTCGATGATCTTGTCACCGTTCTCGACCGAATCGTAGTTGGCCACGGCCTTGCCGCCGGCAGCCTTGATCTCGTTGACGACAACGTCGGCAGCCTGGATAACTGTACATCAGCCCTGCGCACTCGGACACTTTTGTCAGATGCCATACCTTGGTTGAGGTGCCCTCGCCCTTGAAAGAACCTCCCAGGTCGTTGACGACGACGCTGGCGCCGCGGGAGCCGAAGAAGGTGGCATAGGCCTTACCGAGGCCACCGCCAGCGCCAGTGACGACGACGACCTGGTCGTCGAAGCGTAGCTGACCAGCCATTGTGTGTATGTGATGTATTGAGAAGAGAGAGAGAGAACAGTCGCTAAATGGGTGTATAGAGGGCACAGAGAAATCCAGACAAGTGTTGAGCGTAAGGGAATAGGGTATGTAGGAAGAGTTCGCAACGTTGATCAATCCAATGATTCTTTGCTTCGTGGGAAAAAGGGACAGGACGTGGTGGTTTTCTTAACTTCTGCGCTTCCGGCAACTGTCTTCTGTGCAGCGTGACGGCAGCCGCTCAGAGAGCCGAGGCAGCTTCCTGTGTCCGAAGCCGACAAAATACGCTAGTCCGAGAGCGGCTAAGGCCAAACTTCACATGCTACGTTTGCCGTGGGTTAAAAAGTCTCCAATCGACTCGAGCCTGTCGCGGACCTGTGGTACGTACATACCCCATGAGGTCATGTGGGGAAGGGACTCGACCCCGCCACCCCATGTCACATGTCCCCTGCTCGAGCCCCCCCCCCAATCTGGCCATTCAGAGCGCTGTATTGGCCCAGCCTCTGGTCGGCAACGGGTACGTACTTCCCCAGTATCTCCCCAGTGTCTGGCGCCGTGGAACACTGGGGAACGGCCACTCCAGCCAAAGGTGAGAGGGCGGGATGCCGTGCCCACTCGATGCCGACGGATGCTGACTTTGATGGTCTCCAGAGTCCAGGGACCATAAGGTAGGTCGCTGCTACCTGGAAGGCGCCGACGAAAGATCCGGTATGGATACCAAGCCCCTTCTTCCTACTGGTCCACCCCAGCTGCCGACCAAAGTCTCCCGTGGGAGGTCCAGAGTCCCCTGTGAATCGTGCAACTCTAAAAAAGTAACGAATGGTTCCCTACGAGGAAATTTAGCCTTGGTAAGATCTCGGGTATGTTCGCCTACCGCACGTGTCGACATGCCGTGGAGTTCTGCCGATTCTTCCTAGGCTCCTTGCTTAGCTGATTATTCATTCATTAAAGGTGAAGTCTTTCTGCGTCTGATTGAGCCTTTGACCCAATGACAGCTTTTATCCCACCCCAAATCATGTAAAAACATCGCCAACTGCCGGTACCTTACCAATACTCATTGGCTACCTAGGTACGGAGGTGCGTCTCAATAGTCCTTGCAGTTGCTGCCAAGACCAACCCCTGCCATAGACAGGGGAGTCGACAAGGGGCTGGCTAGGGTGTGTACAAGCGGCAGAATTCGGCCACTTCCACCCACTGTAATTATCGTCAATTCAGCGGTAAAAAGTCGTCAATTGAGGTCAATTAGTGGTCGTTTGACGGTATAATCCAGCCCGACGACCCTCTTTGTATTCATTGCCGCCCTCTAGGGCAATTATCTGTTGGATGTGGTGAGGTACCCTTTCTATCCATTTCTGGATCTCCTCTTGCGGTAATGCTTTCCAGCACTCTTGCCAGCGACGTACTGCTTCGGCCCGTGACGAAGGCGCCCCCTTCCTGGTGGTCCATCTCTTCATCCACGGCCAGCAAGGTTCAATGGGATTGAGGTCGGGCGAATTACCCGGCCAGAGAAGCTTCGTAATCTCGAAAAGGCTGTACGTATAGTGGGTGAAGTGATGGTCGTGAGCGGGTGCCTTGTCCTCTTGTACGATTGGATTACCAGGTAATCCTTTGATATAAGGGAATAATTTGGGTAATAGGATCTCTTTGCGGTATCTGTACCAGTCAATTCCGCCCTTGCCGTTCCGTATTAACTTGCCCGACTTCGCATTCCAATTGAATTGGGGCTTACGGCCCGGTTGGTTCCGTAAGCCCATTCGCTCCATACCACTCTCGAGCTCCCACTGTTGACGTCGAACGGGCTCGAGCTCTGCGTTAAGCTCGGTAATCACTGCGTCGGCAGCCTTCCTCTCAGCAGCAGTCTCGGGAATCCAACAGTGGCACGGCCCTTTCGAATCGTATGAGAAAGACCCCCAAAACATGAATTCGGAATAACCCTTCCACCTCTCTCGTATGCACTGCCTAGAGTAGGCCTCGTCTGGGCGACGCCAGAGCTTATAGCTACCGCGGCGGTGGTTGAGGGCAACCGCGGTCTCGTCTGACCATACAACCCGCTTCCAATCGTCGAGGGTCCAGTATTGGTGGTCGAGGCACCACTTAAGTCGCTCTTGCCGCATCCTTTTCGTTAAGCCTGGCTTGCGGGTTGGTTTGGTCTTGTGGAAGCCATAGCGACGAAGGATTCGCCAAACAGTCATTGCAGATACGTCAACGCCCTCGTCCCTTAATAGGTCCCCAGCAATATCAGTACAGTTCTTTTCACGCCCATACCGGTCGCGGCAGACCTTGCGGATGACGGCATCGTTGACCTCTTTCGTCTGTTTGGTTGGACGGCCACTTCGGGGGGCATCTTCGTAATGGGCGGGCTCAATCGAGAAGGTAGGAGCAGTTGGGTCGAATCCGTTCTTTTTTGCGCGGGCAAGAACGTCGTAAACAGTTCGAACTGGAATTTCTAGAGCCTGAGAGACCTGTTCAGCAGTCCACCCAACAAGTCGACTTCGTAGAGCAAGAATCACTGCCCTGACGCCTGGATCTAGCTTCTTCTTTGTCGGCATCTCAGGATCCATACTGAGGAAAAAAGAGCAGCGTAGTAAGTAGCGATTTGGCGGTTTTGATATTATCGTAGGATTAGTGGTAGTATCGTAATGGCGGTGTATGGGGTAAAATCGTTGCTATGGGCAGTGCTGGGGGGAAAGTAAGTAAAGTGGGTCAAGATCAATCCCTAGGCTCTTATTGGTTCAGATGGGCAGTAATTGTGGGTCTGAGGCTTGGCAGCGACTGCAAGGACTATTGAGACGCACCTCCGTACGGATACTCTCACCAAGATGCACCCGCGGTGATCAGATTAGCCGAAAATGAGCCTTTGCTCGGCGCGCAAATAAGATAAGCGTCTCGGCGTCAACCCGCCGCGAAGATGCATATCGCCCCGCATCCCGCTGAACCCCGCCGGCCACCTCTCGGCATCGGCGCCCAAACGGCCATGAACTCCCTCACTCTCGCCGGACCACCTCCGCATCCACAAGCACCGCCCGATCACCGGTCCCCATCATCACCACCGCAGCCATGGCCTCCGCAGCACCGCCCATCATCGACGACAAATCCCCCCTCTGCATCCCCTTCATAACAACCCTCCTCAAAAAGCGCACCAACCCCCAAAATGAATCCCCACGCCCCTTCATAATTGGCCTCAACGGCGTCCAAGGCGTCGGCAAAACAACCCTCGTCGCCGCCCTAGCCTCCTCCCTCACCCAACTAGGCCACCCCACCCTCGTCTTCAGCATCGACGACCTCTACCTCCCGCACGCAGACCAACTCGCCCTCGCCAGCTCACACCCAGACAACCTCCTTGTCCAACAGCGCGGCGAACCAGGAACCCACGACACGCAGCTCGCAAAGGCTTTCTTCGACTCCATCACAAAAGGGCACCCCACCAGAGTCCCCTCGTACGATAAAGCAGCTTTCTCCGGCCAGGGGGACCGCGTCCCCGAGAGCCAATGGACAGAAGTCAACGGGCCAGGCCAACCCAAGGTCCAAGTCGTCATCTTTGAGGGCTGGTGCGTCGGTTTCCGCGCCCTGGTCGAGGCCGAGGTGGAAGCCAAGTGGAAGGCGCCCAGCAGGACGCTCCAGAAGCATAAGCTCGAGCACTTGCTATTGGTGAATGAGAGGCTGAAAGCGTACGACGCCATGACTGATCTCCTCGATGTCTTTATCCACATTGATGCCGAGGACACGCAGTACGTCTACGACTGGCGTCTGCAGCAAGAGGCTGCGCTCCGTCGGGAGAGGGGCACGGGCATGACGGACGAGCAGGTTGTCAAGTTCGTCGACGGCTACTACCCTGCTTATGAGCTGTTTTCGGATAAAGTCAGGAAGGGGGTCCTGCCAGACAGTCCGGGCCACCAGATGAGACTCGTCGTCCGTAAAGACAGATCGGTAAAGGAATCATTTGTATTGTGAGGACAGTCTTATCAACGATGTAGAGACTACCTGTGCCAACGCCGGGAGTATACTACAGACAAGAAAACCATCCCAATACGCCAGTCATGATAGCCATTAATCGTTAGCCATAAAGTGTCGTCAAAATTCGCTACACATCCCAACGCCTTGTTTCCGTCAACACGATAAAATGATCCAGGGCGCCTTGTGGTGATACTCTGTAGAACGTGTTTCAAATCTCCTTGTCTGCCAACATGTCCTCGCCCTTGTGGCGGATTTTGCTCAGCTTCTTTGTAATGTTCTCAGTCCGGACGCGAACTGCCTCTTCCCGGTTGGCGATTTCGGTCTCGAAGCGATCAACCATGTCTCGCTTCTCCCTACGAGCGTCTTTCAGCTTCTGCGCAACAAGGCCGAACTGCTCCAGAAACCAGTCGCCCGAGCGTTCCCAGTCACCAACATTCATCTGACTAAAGAAGTTTTTCTGATCGGATTCGCGCTGACCTTTGAAATGATCGAGCTTGACCGAAAGACTGTCACCGTTCAGAGGCGTAGCCGTTGGAAGGGATGTCTTGGCAGGGTCTTCGTCAAAGGGTTGCTCGCGCAATTGGGAGTATGTCATCCCCAGGAGCTCGTTATCTCCGTAGTCACACTGATCACGACGTCGCTTCCGTGACTTGTCTCGCTGGCCGAAGGCCGCAATTGGAAGCGAGCCTTCGAGGGGGCGCGCCTCCGATGGCATACTCTTCGTACGACTAGCCCGAGGAGTGCCGTGGTCGTCTTCCGTGGCAGGATAGTCACTAGCCAGGCTGCCGTCGACATCTTCTTCCTCTAGAAAGAGTTCGGCCCGTCGCGACTCCGGAGGCCTGTCTCTCCTGACAATGCGCCTTAGATTTTGCTGTGGCGGGGGGACTTTACGGGTTGGGGCGTCCGAGAAGACTTCCTCGTCATCTTCAAATGCGGGGGGTCCGTACGGTCGCTTCACAGCAGTGGGGTGAATGGCAACCCTCGTCTGGCGCTGCGGAGAGTAGTTGTAGAGAGGTTCGCTCGAGTATGCATCGTGCTCATGTTGTTGCTCTCGCGAGTGAATCATGCCGCCTTGTGTGATAGGTAGGGCTTGTTGCATATTTGGCATAACTCTCATGGTGCCGTTTTTGCCAATGATGAAGGGCATCCCGTTTTTGCCTATTGGCTGCTGGGTATTCTCGAACTTGAGCATCGCAGGCACTTCGGCAGCGGGTTGCAGCGAGTGCGGAGCTGCACCAAGGCGGTCATCGATACCGGCGTCGAACCGTTCGGTGCGTTGGGTGGTAGGCGAGCCGAACTGACTATCTATGTGAGACTCGGGCCAGAAGCCGGGCCCATCACTGCTCTGCGAACTAGAACGCTTTCGTTGCTGTGGTATCGGGGAGCTATCGGGCAAAGGCTGGCGAGGATGCATGGGCGGCGCAGATTGAGGTTGGGCAGGGCCAGGCTCAGGCTGGCGGATATGGGATGCCAAGGGTATGGCAGACGCCAGAGGCTTGGGGGCAGGGAGCCTCGCAGACTCGGTGATGGCCTGGCGAGTAGGGAAGCCAGTTGCCTCGGAGCGTTGTTGGTTCGGCTGGTTGTTGTTTCCGACTGGAAGGCCCGAGTCCATGGACGCATTCCTGGCGTACTGGGCCATTCGGTTTGTGCCACTGCTTGGAGGCATGTTTGCGGTGGGAACGGTGAGCCTGGGTCTTTGAGATTTCTTCGTCAAAATGCTATGATCTTGTATCGGAGCTTCGGAAGAGAGCGATCGGACGCAAGGAGTTGGTGCCGTCGTGATTCGGGAGCTCGAGCTAGGTGACGGCTGTCGGGGAGGTTTTCACCTCCAAATCTTGAGTTGGCGCTGGGCCAGTGCTCATTCGACTGCTTGGAAGCAAACGGGAGATACGATGTGGATACAGAGGCGGTTTGGGAGGTCGAGAAGCGATCATGACGAGACATCATTCATTCGCTCTTCACTTTTTTGGCCGTCGTCGCGTCGAGCAGGTCCAAGTCGCGGTACTTGCGTCGGGGGTCATTAAGCTGTGACCAATGGCATCTAGCGTATGCAGAGCCCGGACCACTTACGGGGGTAATTGTCCAAGTTCGTGATCCGTCGTTCCCAACCAGGGTGTGTCTATAAGATCGTTCCTCGCGACTTACACAACGGTTCTGTCCCTCTAGAAATTCATAAACGGTCAAGTACAGGGATAATGGAACCGATTACTTTGACAGGGACTCTGAAGATCCCATACGAGAGAGTCATCAACAAGGTCCGATTACAAACCAAGCTCTGGAAACCTCTGGTTACGGGCCGTCATCCTAGGACTGGCCCTATTCTATACGTACCACATACAACTCGTGATTCAGTGTCCTTTGTTCCTCAAAGAGCCCAAGAGAAAAGAGCCCAAGAGAAAATATTAAAGCCAGCATTGTCCTACGTAGCAGGGACACCGTCACAAGTCAAAGACCGGATTGAAAACTTTTGAATTCTCGACCTGCTCTAACCAGGCAATGCGCCCCTATCAGTCGGTCTGTGAAAGGCCATCGCTCATTGCCGCCCCAAACATGTTCAGCCATGTATGCTCACAAGTCTCGGTCTATCGTCTTTGTCTCTACTTTGCAGAGATCGAGGTGCGTCCCCAACAACTGCACCACACTCGTGACCCGACTCCTCCCGCTTCCCCAGCTATTGCCTCGAACTAGGCTTCGAAATGCCCTCCGCCCGTCATCTTCTGCCTGCCTCGGCCAAAGGACACTGGAGCCCAAGTGTCATTCATTCTAGTACTGTCCGCATCTAGTCAGGTCTAGCGGAGGCTCTCCATCTCCAATCTCTCCCATTTCCACCCCCTGATAATGAAACCATAGCCAGTTCGGTGGGCAGCACATTACCCCGACCCTCTAGGCTGCCCTGAACAGCACTCGGGGTAGTGGTGGCCTTGATAATACCGTCCTCCATCAGAATCTCACCCTTAACCTGTGAAGTGGAAACGAGCTGCCTCCAGCTGGCCAAGTCCCTCTCGCGGAGCCACGTAGCGCCGACGATATGTGTTGGTGAAGTCTTGCAGCAGTGCTCTCACCTGTCTGATGGCGGTGGGATCGTTGCCACTGAGACGCTCTCTGATCTTGGCCATGAGTCGGTTGGCCTCAGCGGGCGTGATGGTGCCCGGAGGCAGGAGCTGGATAGTGTTCTCAACCCACGTCGTCGTTTGGGCGGGGAATAGCTCGAACATGGCCAGCAAGACGCCACTACCGTCAGCGAAGCAATCCCGAGGGAAGGTAATCATCATTCCGGCCATGACCTGCTTGACGAGCTTCTCCCCGTGAGTGGCAAGAAGCTTGCTCACCACCTCACGAATCTGAGCAGCCACATCCGGTGGCAGGACATCAGATGTCGCAGGGTTGTCACCTCCGTACGTGAGGAGATCACGCAGGAAGTGAAGCGTCGCCGAGAGCGGATCGCGCTGCTCCAAGGTCAGGGCGTAAATGGCAGCCTCAAAGATGGGCCCCAAGAGCTCAGATGGTACGATTCTGCCGGGGTAGTAGAGAAGTGCGTCAATCAGAAGTCTGAAGAAGTCCTCGATGACGTCGGGCAGCTCGCTCGGCTGCAGCTCACTCATGACACGCAGGAATGTCGTGGTCTGGGCTTCGAAGAATGCATAGATGCTCTGCGTGATCTCTTGGTTGACGTGCTCCCGGTCTTCAGAGAACTCGCGCAGAATCGCAGCCGTGACCCAGAGGAACGCGCCTTGCCTCGAAGCAGCGAAGCCGCCGGCCAGCTTGTTGGCCATCTCCGGCAAAAGGGGTGTCATGGCGGTTCGGTAGGAGATGATCATGTTTCGCCAGCAGCGGCAGATCCTCTCGCAAATCGGAACGAAGCCCATAAAGTTGTCCAGGATTGTTGCCAACACGGGGAAAACCTCCTGCCAGTACTTCACCGCCGGGTTCTCCTCGCCAGGACCGACGTACGGCACCACGATTTGAATGAAGATGGTAATGAGCTGGAGGTGGTCTAAAGTCGAGTTAGCCGCGTGTCCCTGACTGATGTACTTGGTCAAAACCTACCTGCGAGCGCCAGCTTGCCCTTGTCGTCGGTTGCAAGGTTGGCCTTGTTCATCAGCCGCTGCACCAACGGGTCGCAGTAGAGCTTGAGCAGCTTGTAGATCTCGGTGGGCGGCTGCACAGCAACAACGCTGGCAACGCCCTCCGTGATCTCTTCCTGGCTCTGGTCGGGCAGCTTGTCGAGAATCTGGTCGTAGAACTCTTGCATCTGGATGACCTGGCCACTCAGGAGCTGCTTGCAATCGGTACAGAAGTACTTGATAGCCATGGCCGCGGCTCTAACAACTTCCTTCGAGTCCGTCTGGAACGATGTCACAATGTAGTTGAACTGAGGCTCCAGGTACTCGGGGTGCGCCGAAGTCCACTCGGTGTAGCGACCCAGTACCATGATTGTGGCAAAGCGAAGCTTCTCGTGGCTGGGGATCTGGACAAGAAGAGGCATGAGCTGAGGCAGGACAATGTTCTCCTCCTTGTCAACCATCTGTCCCATGGCACGCATGGCGAAAAGAGGGGCCTCAAGCTCTTGCCAGTGAGGGACCGAGGTCGCGGAAGCCTGACCAGCATAGCTGTGCATCCAGATCTTGATGGCCTCGAGAACCTTTGTGAGGCAGTCAGTAACACCCATTACCTCACAAGAGTCCTTGAGAGTATCGCCCATCTGGTGTCTGAATTCGCGGAACTTCTCCTCGGCCTCGCGGTCGCCGTCGAATAGATCCGTCTCGCTCGCAGACTCGGACTGCGGGTACTTCAGGTGTGAGAGCAAGATGTCGACCAGCTTTGAGTAAATGTCCACAAGCTCCAGTCTGGCCTGGATGTAGCGTTCCAAGACGATGTACTGCTTCAGCTCGTACCAGAACTGGAATGTGTGCTCAATGACATCGCGGTCCTTGTCTCTGGCGGCGCATTCGAGGACGGCGTCCACAAGGGGTCTGAAGTGGCCAGGTTCACGGGCAATCGCCACAACCCAGGCCTCCGCGGCCAAGGCGAAGATCTTGGTAAGAGACTTGTAGACCTCGGTGTCCTCCTCTTCAACAACCACGGCGATCCTTTGACGGAGAGCAATAACGCGGGGGAGGAGAATCTGGATCGTCTCCAAGTTGTCATCCACATCCCGCGTTTCTCTAAAGACTGTGCACAAGCATTCCGCTGCCTCCTGGGAAGCTGAATCGTTGCCCACACCGTTGAAGATGACGTCGAGGAGGGGTGAGTTGACGACGGTGCTGACGGGGACCTCGCGTAGCCACGATGTGATGCACTCCATCAGCTGTGGGTTCTGAGCGGCGGATGCTACATCAGAGAGTCAGCTTTGACCGCAAAAAGGGGGCCGCAAGAGGAGGGTGGGCATTACCAGAAGATTGTGAGTAGTTGATGAGCAACTGCACGACCTGATCCGTATTGTCACCCAGCAATTCCTTGGTCCGCTCGGAAAGCTCTTCTTCCTATCATTGCCAATTAGACTCTGATCCTTGTTGAAATCGGCCCGGTAAAACCACGTCGCGGGAAGTGAGAAGCCGTTCGATGTTTCCGTGATCCACATACAGTTAAGGTGATTTTGCGGCCTTCGGTCACCTCCTCGGGCAGCACGCGCAGGAAGTCGAGGATGGCTGCGTGGCTCTCGACGCTGTCACTGAGAGCCGAAACCACCGTGGGAAGGACGTCCTTCCACGTCGTCATCTGCACCGCTAGTGTTGCCAGACAGACGCAAAGCTGGACTCGTATCGGCTTGGGGCCGGCGGCGAAGTCTTTGAGGAGGAGAAGGATTTGATCCCGCAACGCAGGGTGTTCGGCTTCTGGGACTTGCGTCGAAAGGTCGTAGGTGATCTGGAAAAAACGCCATAGTGAGCTCGCTGTCGCATCAAGTATCGCCGCAACTATCTACCTTTCCGCGCAAAGTAATGGCCGCAAAGAGCTGGGCCTCGGGCTCTGCGCTGTTCTTGAGGATACCAAAGATGGTGCTCCACGCAGAGTTCTGCAAAGGTCCGTTAGTAAGTGTGTTGGTCTCCGTATCCGGGTGTCCTGACAGATTTCTGGAATCGTTCCAAGTAGGCGTGCGCCTTCTTCTTGTTCTCTTGCTCGCCACCACGCATCGTAACCATAGCCGATAGGACATCGTGGGGCGCAAAGGCCTCTGAGGCACCGTTCGTGGCCATGATTCCGGGCCTAAGAGTATCGCAGGTGTCACTCGTTGGGAGGATGGACGGCGCGGGCAACCAAGGTGCGATTTCGGGGTGAGGTGGCAGTTGAGGAAAGTGGCGGTTGTGGTGCTATTTGACGTCGCGCTAGGGAACCGCAAGGGCGGTAGGAATATAAGGAAAGTCCAAGGTCTCGCGCAGCAGAGGGAGGACGTGAGCTCTTTGCGGGCTGTAAGGAGCGTCGAGCTGCTGGGTGGCAGATTGAAGGGCTATCAAAGCAGTGCGCCGACAATAGTCCAAAAGTGGCAGATGGAGGGGGTGGTGGAGGGAGGTTCGCGAAAGGAAAATAAAACGTCAGTCAGGCTGGCGGGACAGCGGGCGGATCAGAGCACAAGGAACCTAAGGTAACCTAACTAGAGCCGGCTAAGACAGTTTTACCGCAGAGCACTGTCGTAGGGCACCTCAAAGACAGACGACAGGGCAGGGCCGGGGCCCGGGGTACCTTAACCTTGGGGGGGGGGGGGGGGACTGTGGCTTTCATTTCGAGAAAAGGTACTTTAGTCTGCCACCCAGTATCGCGTGGATGGGTAAGTATCTTTGACAACGACCAAGGTTGACCACGGGCGAGCAAAGTGTTGCAGGGGTGAGGCCTGTCTCTAAGAGCAGGCTACACATGACATAGTCCACAATATCCCCAATTTACCATCTAACATTGGTCTGTTCAACGTGTCTGCCAGTAAGTGGAACATCGTTTCGCCAGCTCCGCCCAAATTCTCCCAGCGACTGACCGAACCTTGCGCATCGGACCTGGGCCAGGCAGAGAGTACCAAGCCAGCCTCTCTGCGATCTTGCTCAGCTTGCGACCAATTGCCCCACGACTCTTCATCGACACGATCCAAACGCGACCGACGAGCACCAACGCCTACTACCCGAGCCCGGCCACCTACACGCTTCAATCCCAACCTACACACGCGAAAATGACCGGACGTGGAGGCGGTGGCGGTCGCAGAGTCCTGCTTCCTCCCATCAACTTCATCTTCAAGCTCCTCCAGTCAGTCCTGGCTTTGTGTTTTTATTATATCTTGTACTGACCCCTCGATAGACAACACACTACGGTCCAAATCTGGCTGTACGAGCAGCTGTCGATCCGAATTGAGGGCAAGATTAGGGTGCGCGCGTCTTCTCTCCCACTTGTACACCTCGACACGGCGGCTAACACTCAAGGGTCCGATAGGGTTTCGACGAGTTCATGAACCTCGTCATTGACGACGCGGTCGAAGTGAAGCAGGTGACCAAGACGAACCCCGAAGAGAAGAGGAAGCCGTTGGGTATGCCATCCCACCGCCAGAGACGTCGAAGCGCGGATTCGCTAACCCGCACGCAGGACAAATATTGTTGAAGGGCGACAACGTGTCGCTGATCCAAAGTTTATCGAGCTAGAGAAACGACTCGAGTTTAAAGAGGATGACGCCACGACGGCGAAGCACGCTCTGGGGCGACTGCATAAAAAAAGTTGATACCACGGATCTGTCACCACGAACAAGGCTAGGCGGCATGAAGAAAAAAAGCTATTTGTTGTGGGATCTGTCTGCCGGCCTCTTGACCTCCCCGTTCCCCAAAACGAGACCATGGAGTGGTTGGTCATGCTGAGCCACGGGAATAGGTCCGTCGGAGGGTCGAGAGATGAACTGCTCCGCGAGAGCCAGGCCGTAGAGCAATACAGGACGCTTGGGAGACGACAGCTCCCCGTCATATTTTGCCGTGTACCTGCGGATGAAAAGATCATAAAAGCCCTTTCCGTGCCCAAGGCGCCGTAGTGAGCCCGACTTGTCATCGACGTCGAATGCAACACCGGGGAGTAGCATCAGGTCCAAGAAGGAGGAGTCAGGGGACTCGGCACCAGGCTCGCCTAGGACCCGGTCTCTCTGGTGTACCGTCTCGGGGTCAATGCTGGGAATGCCCCATTTGTCGGGTTGCAGTGACTCGTAGTCGTGGATGTCGCGCAGACGGACCATGTCCATGACCCTGGGCGGTGTCTCCCCAGGCGGGAAAGGCGACTTGTGTAAGTAGGGAACGTAGACGTGCTTGCCTGTTGACAGAGCGTGGCGCACGATTTGATCTGTCTGGACTTCGCCAAAGGGCATTGAGAGGAAGACGCTGACCCTCTGTGCTTCCACGTATGGTCTGAACGTCTTGAGCGTCTCAAATACTGTGCGGCCTAGGTTGAAGTAGGTTAAGATGGTGTTTGGGCGCAGCTTTGGAAGTGTATATCTCACTCTGGTTATTGATGGATTCATGGGCAATGAGGGCGAGCCTGTCCTTCATGACAGAACGCAGCTGGTTCTTTGCAGCTACTAGAGAAGTCATGGCTATTTTGAGTGAGACAGAAGTCTCGATAGCTAGAGAGTGATGAGTGGTAGGCGGACCGACCTCCAAGGCTCTGTGTAAGTGAAGCTTTGCAGCACTTTGGAGATGCAGGGGAGCTCTAAGTGAGGCAAGGTACCTGTGATGGCTGAACGACTTTAGTTCCGATCACCGGTGGGCCTAAGTCTGCTTATACTTGTTATAGAGATACTCTGCCGGTACGCATATGCATCAAAGGGGATGCACCAGCCACTTGGGAGATGCATTCGCCCCACTGTGGCACAGCAACGTCTACCCTTCGTGTAAGAATGACGTTGGTACACTATTGGCTCTTCGAAGCCGATGGGATTTACCGAGGTGTTGGTCGATACTCTCTTGAGAATAATCGCTTCCACGCATAAACAGGGTGACGAAACCTTCGCCTTGCTGGCGCTTCCCAACAGGACGCAACCAATCGAGCGCATAATCCCACAGCAACATGTTCAGACCTTGGGAGACAGGCCGTCAGTGGGCTAGAAATCAATCGCTTGGGTAGCCATTAACACCCAAGTGAGTCGAGCACGGGGGAGGTATGGGTACGGATAGGGTTAACTTGCTTTCGATAGCGAACCCGACAGCACAAAGACTCTTGCAACGGTGGCTGTGTCCATCATTGGATGATTGAGGGAGCTGAAGAGGGGGCTTGCTTGGGATGCTTGGCTGCAGCTTGTGTTAAAGTTCTCACCTCCACCGCGTGCCCGAATTTACCTGGGGATATTGTTGACAGCTATGCACGGCCGCGGTCTAGCATTGGATGGCAACGAAGGGGTGCGAAACACAACCGGCTGACCTCGGGGACGCGGCGTTGATGGACGGTCCAGTGGGATGAAATAGAGGACAAGGCGCCAACAAATTTGCCAAGAGCGGCGGGTAACTCACCACCCTGCTTCGTGACTCTTGTGACGGCTTCATCGGGTTTGGTGTCGTGCTTGGTATTTGGCGAGAATGCCTAGTTGGTACAGCCTGTATTCCGTACAGGTGTATCTAGTGGTGCTGCATGAGCATGGACAACGTGAGACAAGCCGTGACCTGGAGAGGTTCAATATAGGCGTCTGGTGTTCCCCGTTTGACTTTCCCCGGAAATGCAGCTGGGCATCTTGGGGCCGGCTTGGAACGGGATGGCCATGTAAGTCTGGGCTGGGCGCCTCGGTGGAATCGCCCAAGATAGGGGGCGAAGGAAGACGTCTTAGTAGGTCGACGGTTCTCACTCGGGCGAGGTATCCGTACATGGACCTTGAGTTCACATCACGAGCCATGACGGTACGGAGGGTCGGAGGGAATGTTGAAGAGGATTGAAACATTCAACGGAACAAGAGACAGACACGAGGCGAGTGTGGTCTACCTGGGCATGGCGAACACAACAGAAACCAGCACTCCCCAATTGGAGAGGCGGGGAAAAGAACAGACGACGGGGATCGTCGCGTTGAGCGAGTCTAGGTGCCTAGGTAAGGTATCCTGCGGCCGTTCGCCAATGCTGCTAGATGGGGCGGATGGGTGACGGTCCTCTAGAGGTGCAGCTGTCTTTGCGCCTCGAATCTTATCGTGAAGGACACACGGGCAGTGGAGAGCAGTGACGCTGAGAGGTACTTGGTAGCCAACGCAAGGTACCGGCACCGTTCCAGTTAACCCCAGCGATGCACCTCGCCGATGTACCTTACCTTTAGGGACTTGGGGACCCGACCTCCACCGTCCAACGTGCAGTCGGTACCAATGGGAACCCGGAAGGCGTCCCTTCTTACTGGACGATGGTGCACGAGGGCGGCCGCGGATGCTGGAGCTTGAGCCACACATCTACCAACCTCAGTGCCCATGTACCTACCTACCATAGGTATGGCACCGTGGAGTGCAGACTTTAGTGACTTCAGCGACTCCAGCGAGTGGATACGTACCTTTTGAGCATCATGGAGCATTGGAGATCCACTCGCCCTGCAAAGGCAACCTTGCAACCTTGCATACTTGCAGTGGCAGCCAAGATTTCCCCCAAGCTCCCCGTCCTCCAGTCTGAGTCTGTCTCTGCAGTCCGCCTCTGCCTCTGCCTCTGCCACTCTCGCCGCTGCGTGCCGTGCTACGTACGTCGTCTATCCGTCAGGCCCTTCCTTGCCCTCTCCTCAAATTCAAATACCTTGTGTTGCCCTTCCCCTACTCATCCGTTATATTTCCTCAACTATCTCCTCAACAACTCCTCCAGCTTGACTGTGTTTCCCACCCTCTACCCACCAAACTCATCTAGACGGGCAGAATCCTTCAGCTGTCGCAAAGCTAAACGCCGTCTTCGCGACCCGTCGCTTCCGTGCTTTGCAACTTTTCTAGAGCTTCCTCGATCCCCCATCTCTCCCACACAGCCAAAGTAGCCGCATCGTTACTCGCCAACTTTGCCCACCATGGCTCAGGTTCCGCCTCCCAAGTCGAAGCTCGACATCCTGCCCAGGATGCAGGCAAAGGGGCCCTTCTCCGTTCCCTCGCCCGGCGCCGAGGCCAAGGACGGCGAGACTCTGCCCCGCCGACTTCCCCAGGCCGTCCCCGATCTCATTACCGTTCCCGGTGGCGGCAAGATTACAACCACCTTTGAGCTCGTCAAGCAGAGCGCCGAGAAATACGGCAACGCCAGGTGCTTGGGCTCGCGCAAGCTGGTCAACACCCACCGAGAGACGAAGAAGGTGAAGAAGATGGTCGACGGCGAGGAGCGCGAGGTCGACAAGCAATGGACGTACTTTGAGCTGAGCCCCTACGAATACATCACCTTCCACGAGTACGAGCGCCTTACTCTGCAGCTCGGCTCCGGTCTGCGCAAGATTGGCCTGACCAAGGCTGATCGTCTGCACCTCTACGCCGCCACGAGTCAACACTGGCTGGCAATGTCCCACGGCGCTGCCTCCCAGTCCATGCCCGTGGTTACGGCCTACGACACCCTCGGCGAGGAGGGACTCAAGTACTCCATGGTTGCCACCGCCGCCAAGGCCATCTTCCTCGACCCCCACCTGCTGCCTACGTTGGGCAACGTTCTCAACGAGGCAAAGGACATTCGCTACGTCATCTGGAACAACCAGCACCAGATTCAGCAGACACACCTCGAGCAGCTCAAGTCTGCCCACCCCGAGATCCAGGTCATGAGTTTCGAGGAGTTGCGTAAGCTCGGCGAGGAGAACATGGTAGACCCCGTCCCTCCCACCACCGAGGATCTGTGCTGCATCATGTACACCTCTGGTTCAACCGGCACCCCCAAGGGTGTTCCCCTGAAGCACAAGGCTGTTGTGGCTGCTGGTGAGTGCAATACCTGAACTGTAAACGAAATCATACTGACGAGACAAAGTTGCTGGTGTTAGTGCCGTTGTGCAGCCCTTCATTGGCCCCGGCGATGGCCTCCTGACCTACCTCCCGCTCGCTCACATCCTCGAGTTCGTTTTCGAGAACGCCTGCATCTACTGGGGCACAACCATGGGCTACGGCAACCCCAAGACCCTGTCCGACAACTCCGTCCGCAACTGCGCCGGTGACATTAGGGAGTTCAAGCCCTCCGTCATGGTCGGTGTCCCCGCGGTGTGGGAGACTGTCAAGAAGGGCATCATCGCCAAGGTCAACGCCGGCAGCGCCCTCGTCAAGACACTGTTCTGGAACGCTCTTACTGCCAAGCAGCACATGATGAGCCTTGGTGTTCCCGGCACTGGCGTGCTCGATTCCGTGGTCTTCAAGAAGCTCAAGGAGGCCACCGGCGGTCGTCTCAAGCTTTGCATGAACGGAGGTGGTCCCATCGCAAAGGAAACCCAGCAGTTCATTTCAATGGCCATTGCCCCGATGATTATCGGCTACGGTCTCACCGAGACTACGGCCATGGGCTGCCTGACGAACCCCTTGGAGTTCAGCGTCAACAACATGGGCGCCATGCCTGCGTCCATTGAGATCAAGCTGGTTGACTTTGCTGAGGCCGGTTACTACGCCACCAACAAGCCCAACCCTCAGGGCGAGGTTTGGATTCGTGGACCCTCCGTTCTGGAGGAGTACTACCAGAACCCCAAGGAGACCAAGGAGGCCATCACCGAGGATGGCTGGTTCAAGACGGGCGACATCGGCGAGTTTGACAGCCAGGGTCACCTGAAGCTGATTGACCGCAAGAAGAACTTGGTCAAGACTCTTAACGGCGAGTACATTGCGCTCGAGAAGCTCGAGTCCATCTACCGCGCTGCTGCGGTGGTTGCCAACATTTGCATCTACGCCGACGCCAACAAGGCCAAGCCCATCGCCATCATTGTGCCTGCGGAGCCGGCTCTGATCAAGCTCGCAGAGAGCATTGGCGTCCAGGGCAGCAACCTCGAGGGACTCGTGCACGACAAGAAGCTGCAGAGCGCCGTCCTCAAGGAGTTGCAGAATGCCGGTCGCTCAGGTGGCCTTTCTGGTATTGAGATTATCGAGGGCGTCGTCATGTCGGACGAGGAGTGGACACCACAAAATGTGAGTATTATTTCGATTCTAGACTGCCAAACTCAAGTTGCTGACGTATCATATAGGATCTGGTCACGGCCGCACAGAAGCTCCAGCGTAAGAAGATCCTTGAAAAGTACAAGGACGAGGTGAACAAGGCCTACGGTTCGTCTTGAAAGGGCCGGATTGTTTCTATCACGTTTGGTCATGTGGTTTGATCTTGTAATTCTCCCCTAATTTTGCGGCAACGGATCGGGTTGGCTACGGGACGCTTGATATCCAGGAGTATAGTGTGTGTGTGCGCGCGCGTCCAACCTTGTAACAACGATTACCTCTACCTTATCCATCAATATCTCGGCGGGTCTTATGGGTCGAGTCAAGGATGTGTTTTTTTTTTTTTTTAATCTAGCTCAGGTTTATTCGACGGGGTCTGTCTACCATAATTGGTCAGTGTGTGATTCGTTGCGTTGGGTGAACGTGGCGGAGAGTTGGATGGTGCCGATGACTCTCCATCCACCTGAAGCCGGCCGGGCCGAGTCGGGGTCGCGGTCTCTGGGCCCGAGGATGTCGTGCCGGCGGGAGTTTCGGGGGTACTTGTCACCATGACCCGACAGCAGGCTGTATCCTTCCAACCGTCGTCAGTCTTTTTCACCCTCTAGAGTCACCGTCCACGAAACGACGGCTCACGGTAGGAACGTGAAGGCGAATAAAATAGGTCGCAGTAAATCATTGGAATACCATTCCTGCTAGCCCTGGATAATAAAAGTCGCACTTTGATCACTGCGCGCAGCTCGCCTTGCCCAAAAACACATATAATCATGAAAACAGACCCGAGGGCGTGGCGGTGGCATGGGAGTTCCCTTTTTGCCCTCTTCACTGTTCCTCCGCGCCACACTACACCAGGCCGTCGTAGAGAGACAGCGCCGATACAATGGTCTCGTCACGTTTGCTTCCCTCCTTGAACTCCTCCATGTCCAGGCTGCCGTTCTCGTCCTTGTCCATCATGCGGAAGATTTTCCGTACGCGCTTCTCGGGGGTGTCTTCGTCTTCAGGGAGCTTAACCATGGAGCCGACCTGCGAGTCATCTTTGTCAGCATTTCGCATCTCGTTTGGGGTGGGGTGTGCCGCAGATCGCGAACACAATCAGAGCACCATGCGATCCCCTCGGTCCGCACAGAAAAGACTCACCATCTTGTAGATTGCCTCGACGATCTTGAGCATCTCGTCGTAGCTAATCTTGCCGTCCCCATCAATGTCGTACAGCTGGAAGGCCCAGTCGAGTTTGTCCTCCATCTTGCCTCGGCTGGTAACACTGAGGGCGCAGATAAACTCCTTGAAGTCGATACTACCGGACTTGTCGCTATCGAAGACATTGAAGACATAATCTGCAAATGAACTTGGATCACCGAAGGGGAAGAATTGCCTATATATCTTCTGGAACTCTTCTTTGGTGAGCATGCCCGAGGGACAGTCCTTGAGGAAGCCTGCCACGGATTGTCAGTATTTGAACCAGTATTTGAAAGACTCCGATGTAAAGAAAACATATCTTGGCCGCCGGGCGCGGAAACGCAAGAATCGAATCAAGCATAAAAATCGTAGCTGACATACCCTTGTACCATTGCTGCAACTCCTTCTTGTCGAAATGGGTGGACTTCTGCAGTTCAGCTAGCTGCTCCTGGGAGAGCTTGGACTGACTAGACGGAGGAATGTTGTTAGCTGGTGAGTCTGACGATCGAGCGCGGGTGCTTCATGTTTCCGGAGAGGCGGATCGCCTCAACATGACGTCTCCTCGGCGGACCATTTCACGATGGACCCCAATAAAAGGCATGTTTGGTGGGCGGGCAGACTCACGATTTGCCCATGGCTATCTACGAGCCTCGACGACTACTTCAGATGCGAGAGTCGGGGGGCAGGTTTGGCTCAGAATCGGCGGAAGGGCGGGATTGCGTAGTGGTGGGTGGCCTGCGTTTGTCGCGATGTGAGTCGTGGGACGGCGTCGGCGGCAAGAACACAGTGTCGTCGCTCGGAACGGGTGGGCCGATGCCGGCGCAGGCGAAAAGGCACTACTGGTCGCCGAGGGAAAGAAAAAGTGTTGAGGCGAACGGATCGTGGATTTTAGGCGACGGCGGGAGGGAGCGGCGCGTGGTCGACAACTTCAAAGGATGAACAAGGCTGGCGACAGATGCAGAGTTGCGCTTGAAGGGCGGGGGAGGGGAAAGAAATAAAGGGCCCAGGATGCTGTCGCCTGTCGGTGGTGGTGGCCAGGCACTTTGCTGGAGCAAGGTGCTTGCTTCTGACGCTGGCGGGGACGGGACCCGATGATTGCTCGGAAAGTTGGCGGCGAGGGATGGGCGGCTCCCTGTACGAAAGTAAAGGCGACGGTACCGAGCGTCCACAGAGTACGAGGTGGCCAAGACGTAAATAAACGGGGAATCGCTAGGTGGGCAGAGAATTGACTATCGACCTGGTTGTCGGGCTAGACCGGCAGGTTTATGGATTCCTTTACGTGCGCTTTTTGGGTTGCCAGTTGTAGGTAGACGCGCAAGCAGAGGCAGTTTGCGACGAGGTTGCGAATCTGGAAATCACCAGAGGATAAACAAGAAAGAGAAAGACGATGCTTCGTAGTACCTAGTTGTAGAGTTGGATGAAGAATACGCGGGAGTTGTACAGAGGAAATAGAAAGTCGTCGGTGGAAAGCGTTATAGCCGGGTGCGAATCTGACAGATAAGGTAAGCAAAGTTTGGAAGCTATGGGCGGGCGCCACGCACACAGGTCCAGGCACACGTAGCAGGTGGCAGGCACGCAAGCACAGGACGGCAGGTAACAGAGGCGGGAGGCGAGGAACTCGGAAGGAGACGCAGCAATGATCAACGGGCCAGCATCCAAGCATCGTGCCATGTGTGAAAACAGCGCAGGTAATTGCATATACGGATACCAAAGTCCAAAGGCAAGGAATGACAGTGACGGACATTGCATCTGTCCAGTGGCAGAGTGGTTACAACTTACAGGAGCTCGTCTGTGTGCGCTATCCAGTCATGTCGCGGCGAATCCAATACTTTGGTAGAGAAATGACCGGGGTGCCTGTAGCGCAAGGTAGTGCTTCATTAACACCCGCCACCTACCACATCTGTAAGGTGACGACTGACGACAATACACAGTAATTGACTTTGCGTCGTAGGATCCCTCCAATGTGCCATTCGTCCTCGACTTCGGACCTCTCTGAATGAGACCATACTCTTTGCGAGACACATTTGAGATGAAGTTATTCTATGAGATCAGGATCTGGCTTGATTTGCCGAGGTCGCTCTCCATGTCCAAGTACCATTGAGCACGGTTCATTCAGAGTGACAGGAAACATAAAGAAACACCCGACACGAACGAGGAATGCGCCGCGAAGGCCATGCATGTATCGTGTACAAAGTACCTCACACAAACAGCCCTCGGACGATGAGTGGTCGTCAACGTCGACCCTGAGAAGCAGGGGCTTGGCGCTTCGCCCACTAAGACGTCGGCCCATGGACTCAGCCCCCAAGCCAGAACCCCAATGGGCGAAAGGTCTCCTTCCTCGGGTTATTCGTACATGGTGTGGATGTCGACTGGGATATGTGCCCGCATGACGTTACCAAGTGTCAATCCTAAGGATTAGAAGGTGCCTTCCGTGCTTCCTACCTGGACCTTTGTAACCGGCGCCTAAGTACGTATCCAACACTCCTCGCTCTCTCTACCTAAGCCTCCGAGGGCTCCCTCACGGCCTTTGCCCACATCACGATCTCAATCTCAACCACACCTCCAAGACGGCCTCCAGCTGCCCTCACTTCGAGACCACTCAGCCACACTTGTCAGCTAGCCTGCCACGCATCTTCAGATTTGAAGCAAACCCTGGACCAGATAGACCAAAGCCAGCCTCACCATCCCAACTACCGGTACCTTGCACCCTAGACAACACCACGGGGACCCTCTTCGTCCGATCAATGAGGCTCGGCCACTCAACCACCGAGAAACTCCACCGACCGCCGGCCCTAATACACTACTTTGTCCACTTCGGAGCCCATCACGCAAAGGGAAGCTCCCTTGGCGCGCCCCGGTCGTCGCACGAAGAAAACCGCCACCAGTTCTTGTGGGGAGGTATGTAAAACCAACGCATCATCAGAAATGCGAACCACGGCACCGGAGGCCACCACGCATAAACACCTTCCTCGAACGTCTTGTCTCGGTTTGTCAAAAGAAGTGGAAGTATCGTTGTCTTTTCCCAGCATACGTCAGTCATCTCCAAGTCTCCAGAGGACTCCATCAAGCCGTGTACTCACCTTGATCTTGGGATCACCCATCTTGGCGAGCAGCTTCTTCATTAGCTTCTCATACCACTCTTCCCAGTCGCGATCGTACTCGGCCAGCTTCAGCAGCGTGTCAATCTCGTCGCTGAGGTGCTGTCGCAGGATGGGCATGAACGAGTCGATGATGTCCTTGAGCTTCTCTCCGCTGTACGCCTCTTCGCCCTTTTGAATCTTGTCCAAGTAGCCCATGTACGCGTGCAGGCCGTCGTGGAAAGCTTCGTGCTGCGCGACGTTGGCCTGCATCAACCCCGGCACGCCTGCCAACTGCTCAATCTCGGGGAAGACCTCCGTCTCCTCGGTTTCGTGGTGCTCCTCCACCATCTTGCTCCATTCTATCGCGTAAGACACAAAGTCCTGGACGACGTCGGGCGACTTCTCCACGTTGATACACTGCAAGTAGACAGTGTTGATGATCCGGAGGATGAGATTGTGAATAATGGTCATCTCTTCAGCCATGCGGTTTACCCCTGCCGTCTTGACGCCTTTCTGTTTGTAGAATGAGCATTCATCGAGCTTTGATGACTTCAAAAGGGACCTACTTTGGTTGCGCGGGTGCTGCTAATGAGCTCAAATGGCCCATCGGCCCAAGGCTTCTTTCCAGACATGATTTGGTATTAGTGAGCCGAGCTTGCGAGAGAAATGAATGTCGTCCAGGCCAGGGCGGACGGTGAGAACCTCATTTTATATTAATACCGGGTGACCTCGTCCACGCACAACAACGCTCTCGCCATCCAAATCCATGGCAAAAGCGCGTAGATAGCAAGAGCGCGTGCACGTAGCGCCAGCCAAGTAATCCTCTGGCAGACGTGCTCTCGCAGAATGGTAAGATGGAGGATTCAGAGTGCTGACGAGAGCACCTAACGCGGCAACACGTCGTCTTGACGATCCAAACAAGAGCCTTCAAACCCCAGTGCTTACACCTCAGCTCGCTCTCTGGTCCTATCAGCGCACCCTCATTATCACGTCGTACCGTCTGGTTGGTTGCTGGCTTTAATCCTTTTCCCTGGTGCCTTGGTCAAAACCCATCTACGCCGCGGCACGGCGACCCCGAGGATACATCACTAGATTCCATCCCGATTGGCATCGAGCAAAAGGACAAGGCATTCAATAGTGTGTGTATGTATGTGTATATGCGTCACGCTCACAAGAGCAGAAGACGAAACGGGGTGATTCGTAAATGGGTCTGCCCATATAAAACGCCGTGGCCGAAAAACAACCTCATAGTATGTAGACTTGCTTCCCGCCCAAACCCCCTACATGCAACAAAGCGAAAGGAAGTGGTAATTAACGATGAAAGAAAAAAGCACACAATGATTCAAGTGCCCATGTCTCATGAAGCTTGTTTATCCTCCCAGAGCCCGAGTTCCCTTCGATGCCGTGCCCCCCTCCATCATCGCCAAATGACAAGAAACAGAATTGACACCGCCATGCGTTAAAAGAACCCCAAGCACGACACGCAACCCCCCCAAAAACCCAACCCATCGATTTGCTTTTTGTGTGTATCAACTCATCCACCCAGATCAATTACCCGACAACAGCCTTCATGCTCAGACTCTCCAGGAACCCTCCCAGATCCTCCTTCTTGACCTCCACCACGCAGTGCTCAAAGCTGTCTATCCGCACCCGGGCATTCGTCTCCGCCACGACCTCCTGGAACGCCGATCCGAACCGGTTGAGGCCGTAGCCCTTGTCCTTGGCATCTTCCTCCTCTTCTTCTTCTTCGTCCGAGTCCGAGGCATCAGACGCCTCCGACTCGGTATCGAGCTCGTCGTAGTCTCCATCGTCATCTCCCGCCGCCCTCCGCGCCGCACGCTTCTCGTCGCGGATCTTTTGCTTATTGCGCCGTGACTCGTCCCGCTGCCTCGCCTTCTCGTCCTTGGCCGCCTGCCGCTTCTTGGCCGCCTCGCGGTCGAGGAACGTGGTATCCGGCCCTCCGCCGCCGCCGGTGCCGACGACCAAGTACACGCCGCGCTTGTCGTTGAGGCTGGCGACGACAAGGGGTGTGCCGCGTCCGCCGTGGGAGAGTCGGCCCGTGGTGTCCTTTTCCTGCTCGACGAGGGCCTCGCCGACCCAGAGGGCGAGCTTGGTCAGCGCGGCCGGGTGGCCAAAGACGGGCACGTCGGGGCCTTCCTTGACCACGCACATGCGGAATGCCCTGAGGTGCTTGATCTGTTTCTTGTTGATGAGTGACGTGCCGGTGCGGTAGATTGCGCGGTGGAGGAATTGGGCGGTTGGCAATCCTGCCTTGAGAGCATCGATGCTGGTTGGTGTTAGTAGGTATTTCTCTTAAGGTATCCAGGACATCACTCACTCTTCCAAAGCGTCGTATGCTTCCCAGAAACGCGTAACCCACTCTTCTCCCTGCGCAGCGACGACCTCCTCGTCATCTACGTCCTCAAACTGGTCTTTTGGTGCTTGGGCGAGCTCGGCGACGTCGTTGTGCTTGCCAACCTCCAGAAGAGCACCAATGACGACGCCCACGTCTTGCGCGCTCAGAGTCGCACGCCAGCCCCAGCTACGTACAAAGCCCCAGCCGTCCTTTGCACCGGCGCGGTCTCTTCCGTCTGTATCGACCGATGGGACCATGTCGTCCAAGTTGTAGAGGGACGCGTACTTGAGCAGTTTCGTGCGGAGCTCCCTCTTCAGCATCATGTCCATGTGCGTGTAGCTCTGCTTGCACTGAACCAGACTAACGCCCATCTTGGCCAAGAGCTTGTGGAGCCTCTTCAGGCCAGTGTCGCTCCACGTCTTGAGCCGGGCAAAGAGGTACGGCGAGTGCAGCATGCTGTCGTACAAACTCCAGTGCCTGATGAGGAGGAACTTGGGCTCTGGCGACAGCCTGATGCTTGTGTCTTCGGGGCTGCGAGCCGTGGTGGGAATGATGCCAGAGTTTTCAGCGGCAGCAGGGCGGCCACGGATGACTTCGGGCGGATTCAGACGTCGAACTTCGTCTCTCAGCAGCTGGCGGATACGTGCGCCGCGGACACCCATCCAGCCGTTCCCTTGTCCCCGGTCCGAGTTGCGGACAGGCACCGCGATACCTGCAGATGATCTTCCGTACAACTCCATGGAAGTGACACCAACAATGGCGAGCCACAAGAGATCGTTGTCGTCCCGGCCGAGCTCCGACGCGAGGGAGTACATCATGGAGGATATCGGCTCGGAAAAGGAAGCACCAATCTTGTAGTATTTACGGAGAATGGTCTCCTTTGCTCTCCGCAGACGCAATAAGCGGCGTCGCAGGACCCTGGCAGACGGCGCGGGCGGTGGTTGAGCAGCCGATGGAGGTTCCAGGGGATCACTAGAGAGAACCACGCCGGCGTCTCGGAGTGATACGAGCCCTCTATGCGCTGGCCGTCTTGGTGATGAGGGGATCGAGGAAGACTGCTGCGTGTTAGTGGCCATCGAAACAGAATGGCATTTTGAAACTCACAGAATTGCTTCTTCTCCGCTGGTGCGGCCTGTCGTCTGTATCGCTGGACTCGTCCTCCTCGTCGCGGTCCGACCAACTTTTCCGCTTCTGGCCAGCATGTGCTGATTCTTCAAAAAGATCTTCGTCCTCGGCATCATCTTCGTCGTCATCGTCCAAGTCCTCGCCGTCGTCATCGATTTCGGGCATATCAAGCAAGGCAAGGTAGGCTTCCTTTTCCGCGGCAAGGTCATCCTCAATGTCGCCGTCGTCAAACACGACGATACCCCCCTTACCAGGTTTGTAGGCGCGATCAATCCGACCAGCCACTACGCCCGGCGGACACCTGGACTGGAGCGAGGCACCTTCTTCGACAGCGGGTTCCAATGGGAAGCCACCGAATACGTTACCCAAGTTCCACGGACGGTGCGAGTCCATGACCCAAACCTCGACACCGCCAAAAGTCACCTCCTCTCCCTCGGGTTCCAGTCCGAGCAGGCTTCCAAGATCAACCATGCCGCCGAGGCCGAGACACACAACAACGCCTCCGCTCCCTCCTTGGGTTTCCATCATGGGCTGGACCAAGTCCCGGCCGGCGCGTTCGAGGTCGGCATATCCGGATACAGGTTGGATCTTGTGGGGGATATAGTCGTGCTTCAACAGGCGGGTCAGGATTCGACATGCGCAGAGGGCATCGGGTTCGAGGGCGACGAGAACGAGGACGGGAGGGGAGAGCGGGTGTCGCGTATTCTGGAGGTGGGTGTATAGCTTGGAAATCAAAGACCGTGGAAGATACATGGCTAAGAGGATTTTGACGCGTTTCCACGGTGTGTGTCGAACGGCTTCATGGGTTGCAAAATGGTTGTTTTCTCTCCTGTGTAGACGCGGTTGGGAGGGGCTCTACGGCGGGTGCAATGGGGCTGACGCCAGGCACGAGAGTCGGGGATCAGTCGTGGAGAGTAAATCGAGAGCAAGCGAGAAAGGTGGAAGAAGACTGCAAGCCGTGAGATGCGTAGGTTTGAGGCTCAGAGGCTGAATGGGACGGTTCTCTAGCGTGGGGTATATCAAAGTGCAGAAGAATCGACGGTGGGTAACAAACAGTAAGTATTCTGCCTCATGGGAGCGTAAGGTAAGTAAAGTGGTAAGGTATTATTTGGCGTGGTGTGGTGGCCCAGACTCGAATCGAGTGATTGAGTGCAAAAGTGAGAGTGACGCGCTGGACGCGGTCTGCCAGACTTTAGCGACGCGTTTAGGTACGCTACTTTGGTACCCTGCTGTTTGCGACGTGCTGGCGGCTGGCCTGGGAACCTGTTAAAACCACGGGAAGAAGTGGACCGTGCCGTCGGCCGAGTGCACGGTCCAGACGATTGCAGGACACCGGGACAACGCCGCCCCACTTTCTGTCGTCCGTCTTAACGCCGACGAGGACATGAAGGTTCTCACTTGAAGTCCATACCTCTCTCTGTATCATTGTAACCAGTATGATGGTTTACTTGTCAAATACACAACCTTTACGTCTTCTTCTTCTTCTTCTTTATTTTCCTTGTCTTTCAAAGTGTTCGACAGCCCAAACACGCGAGGAGTCCAACGGTGCGCCCCATACCTTCTCCACTTGGTCGGCTAGTCTACCTAGTTTTCCAGCCGATATTGGTTGATCAGCGTCCCTCTCTCATTGCCTTTCGCTAGGGACGAAATACTGCGTACGGACTGGTACTCCGCATTACATATCCGTAAGCCTTGGCTGACCCTTCACCACGGGGGTAAACGGGGTTGTCGTCCGAAGTAGCTTTCAATGGCTCCCTCCAGTGCTACATGATAGCATCGTGGGCTACCATCCTGCCCGTGGGAACCGCGATTGGCGTGGGCCCGTCTCTGTCTGCTCGAGGCATGATACTGTACATCAGTCACTACCTAGACAATCCCAGCTCGTCACTGTCCGATTACACGCCACATCCCACATTAACACCCCGCATCACTTCACAGCTCGCACCGACGCGCGCTGTGCTCTATGTGGTGACCGCCATCTCTGCCTACCAGACAACTCTGCAGGCTGCTTATGCGCGACCTCCTCGAAACGGCAAAGCTCCGATTCCCTGCTACTGCTTCTGCTTTTGCGAGCCCCCGCCACAGCGGACTTGAGAGAATCGCCCTCGCAGAACAAACGCCGCTTCGTCCCCGAGGCCTCAATCGGGGCCTCCATGACGCCGCTCGGCCGATGATGGTATAGACACCGCTCAACATCATACATAGCCCACTACCTTGCCTCGTTCACCTCCTTGCTTGCCCACACAAACGTCCGTGAGCTCACTGTTGGATCGGCCCAGTCTCCAACGGCCCTTCTACCCTGTACCGCCGCACCGCTGCCGGCACCGCATGCGGCGTTGTCTCTAGCTCGCCGTGGCCTTGGAACTGGACGGACATTCACACCGCCCCAGCCTGTTGGCACCGGTTCAACCGCTGTGCCACCCCTCTGGGCACACTTGAGGCACCAACCGCAGCAGAGAGGGGGGGAGGAGTTGCTTGGTGATTGGTTTACCATTCAGTTGGTACGAAATCCGATCCCTAGTACCAGGTACCGTTCAGTGTTCCTCAACTTTGGTTTTCTCCCAACCCTTTTTCCGCCGCCCATTACTCTCTTCTATTCTCCAAATCGCAACGCACGGCTTGTTCGCGCTTCTCTCTGTTACGTGCAGCCAGCTGGGCTTGCCGAACGAGTCATCAGCAAGACTGGTAATGCTGTGGACCACTCTCACGCTTGTCTTGTTCAACCATTGTACGTTCATTTGGTAGTTGCGCTCAAAATTGCGCCACAGAACCTAGCTAGCTCTCTTCAGCCCGTCGTGCCGGCTCATAACGATTACTCACCGATACTTTAGAGCTCACACTTGGCCATCTACCCTATCTACTACCAAAGGGGCAACTTCAGCCGTAGTGAACCGTCTCACGCGAGCGGTGTCGCCATAACCGCACCCCCTGGTCTGACGGCTACCTCGAGAGTGTCTAAACCCGCCCATCATGAACATGTCCAGCAGCGAACCCATAGAGCCTGCTCCATCAAACACGTTGGACGAGGAAGAAGACTTTGAGGGGTCAGACTATGGAGGATCAGACTATGGAGGATCAGACTATGGAGAATCGCTCGCGTCTTCGGGCTTCACCTCGCTCGCTTCCCGTGTGATGAAGCACTCGCACGAGGGTGGAAGGTGCGTAGCCTCATGATGTCTTCCTGGACCAGAACGCAGAAGCTAAGCCTTGCGTACCCTCAGACGCTACCAGTCCTTTCTTCAGGGCATCTACCCTCTTCCGAATGATGAGACGGAGCAGTTCCGTGAAGAGATGAAGCACCAGCTGGTTAAGCGCCTCCTCGATGAGAACGACTACATAGCACCAATCGGTGACCATCCGCAAAAGATCATGGACGTCGGCACTGGCACCGGTCTCTGGGCCGTTGACAGTAAGTCTTCTTAGTATTCATTCCTGTTAGGAGTCCCAGAATCTGACCCCACCAAAAGTCGCGGACAAGTTCCCAAGCGCACACGTTATAGGCGTAGACATATCGCCCATCCAAAACTGTTACGCGCCGCAAAACGTTGACTGGAGAATCGACGACATTGAAGAGACATGGTCGCCGCTGTACGCCAACTTGGACTTTGTTCATATGCGGTCAGTCTGTGTGACTCTTCGACAGCCAGTCAAGGTCATCCATTCGGCGTACCAGTAAGACCTCCCTCGTCATCTCTCGCTGAGCCAACTTTCTAACGCCCGACCAGAAACCTCAGGCCAGGCGGCTGGATCGAGTTCCAAGACGCCGGCGTCAGAATCGGGTGCGACGACAACACCCTACCCCCCGACTACGCGCCCGCCAAATTCATGGACAGGTTCATCAGCACCTTCAAGACGCACTACGGCTGGGACCTCGAGTTCCCCAACATCCTGCCCGACATTTTACGTGAGGCCGGCTTCATCAACATCCGCTACCGCTTTTTCAAGCTGCCCATCGGACCCTGGGCCAAGGACCGCCAGCAGCGCGAGATCGGCCTATTTCTCAGCAAGGACGTGCTGTGGCAGCTCGTCCGCGCCGTGCTTGTTAAGTGGGCGCAGCTCGGCCTCACCAAGCAGGAAGCCGATACCATGGAACAGGACATCCGGAGGGCGTTCCACGACACGCGCATACATGGATATCTTCCGTGGATCTCCGTCTGGGCCCAAAAGCCGCCCACCTGAGGCAAGAGTGCTGCAGTCTTTGCACCCTCTGATGAATATGTATTTTTACGGCAGCCAGTCAGCCAAACAACACCACCCAAAGGGCACGCCCGCGCAGGCAATGCAGCCGCGACAAGTGACGGCGAGGCTGTGGCGTTCCGGTACACTTCTTCGTACCCTTGGGCCGGTGGGTTGACGTTGGTGACACGGCATGCATTGTACGGTGTACTTCGACCTGTTGGGAGTGCGGGCACGCGCACGTCTGACAGCATTCGTGTCGGCACGCTTCCTAGTCAAGCCAGGGCCACCACCCGCCTGGCGACAGAAGAGGCCCATCGTCAATCGGCAGGCAGTCGACGGAGAGAGAGCAAGCAATTCGTTCGCAAGGCTGACTTGGCGCCAGTCGACGGCAAACATGACGTTGCAACGCCTTCTTCTTTCATTCGAGCGAGAAACACTCCGGCCCCGGATCCGTTTACGTTTTGCCCCAGGTCGTTTACGGTTTTCTTCCATAAGTTACATACACGTCAAAATACCCATGTCTACGTACATCACGCCACTCCGCAATGACATTCGCGCTAAAGTCCCAGACCTCCTCTTTCCTCCAGCCCATGAAGCGGGTGAAGAGGGCCAACGTCATGGACTCTAGCCCGACGCTGAAGTTGGCCTCTGTCCAGACGCCCAGGGTCTTGTGCTTGACGTCGCGCGGCCACTGGTTGATTGGCCACTTGAACTGGATCCGCACGATATCGACGAATCCAACGTTGGTCATCATCTCGGCCGCTCGGCCGCAGGTATCCAGAAGGAAGCCCGACCGTTGGCCGGCCTCCATCATGAGCTCGTTCCACCTGCCGAGATCGCAGTCTGGCGGGATTGTTCCATCGTCACACCTCATGGGGAAGTCGATATCCTGGATCTCGAACCATCCTCCGGAATTTAGGTTGCTCGAGACCACGTCAGCTATGGGCGTCTACGGTGTCTGAGAATAACATACTCAAAGGCTTGTTGGTGGAAGTTTTGCCAATCCCTAAAAGCGCCCGTCATCATCATGCAGTGGACATAATCAAACTTTCTAGAAAAGCTCCACTCCTCCTCGAGGTCGTCGATTTCGTAGTGCACGTTTGGCGGTGTGCTAGAACGGTCAGATATGATCAGGGTTTTGTTGTCGTTTGCAACTCACAAACCAGGCTGAACGGGCGAGAGGTCTACGCCGACGACTTCGGCTTCGGGATGTGCCTCGCCTGTTACGGGTCAGCATACTGAGCACCTTTTCGAAGAGAGGCTACTCGCCAAAGTCTATCGCCCACAGTCCTATGCCGCACCCAACGTCTAGAACTCTGTGGGGTTGGTGGACAGGGGCAAAGTTGAGCCTGTTTTGAAAGGTCAACTGGCAGAGCTGATACTGAAAAGCTGTTGCAGGCAGTCAGAGGTCTGCCAAGCCATGTCCGAGGAGAAGCGTACCTTGTCGATCGAGTTCTTCCTGCAACGGGAACAAGTTAAATCAAAGCGGCTCATCTGGCTTGTACATGCATACCTGATCAGTGGGCAAGACATATTTCCCGTCCTTGTATCCGTGATAGATTCGCCCGTTTTCCTCGCGCGCCCGTACAATGCTCGATCGGAGTGATGCAGTCGAAGATGGCCATGCCTCTGACTACCGTTTGTTTAAGCGTTGTTTTCGTCTGTACGCGCTCCTGAGTGGCATACTTCTCCTAGTGCGGAATCGACATCGCTCCCTCCGAGGCTCTGCATCTCGGCGTCGTCGATATCCTGGGACAACCCTCAGTTAGATGCCCTCGAAATCCCAACACTCACAGACCCCTTTTCCGAGTGCTGACCTCATCTGGTTCCAGGTCAACGTTTGTCCCGTGTGGGAAAACAGTGTCGATTTGATGCATTGCATCAGGCGCTCTTTCGGTCATATCGGTGGTTTGTCGTCGAGTTGTGCTTGGCAGTTCTAGAAAACAGAGAGAAAACTTCAGAAACAGGAATCATCCCATCAGAGACAGAAGACCGGCAAGGCGTATCGGCTTGATATTCCCTTGCCTCTGCCAAACGCCTTTTGAAAAGGGTAACAGAGGACACGCGCCCCAGCGAGGGGAATCGTTCGGATGGGGTAATTCTGACGAGGCAACACAAACAAGCGGCTTCCTTGTCATTCGAGCCTTCGGCTCCGTGTCACCAAATGCGGCGTGTTGTCGACAAGCCTTCGTCGGCTCGACGAAGCACGCAGCACGTCACGGTCAGCAGCAATCGATGCGTGAGGCTGGTCGACTTCCCTCTCGGGAGCCTCGCCAGTCTGCAAAGCAAGCTGCTGCTGCTGCACTTGGTTCCAACAGAAAAGCTTGATCCAACACCTTTTCAGGTGCTTGGCGCCATCCGCAAGTGGCTTTGGTCATCATGGGCACAAACATACAGTAACAGCACTGTGTGTGTTGGCGTGAACGATGCATTACACAAACCATATGCACCCGTCAGCCACAGCCGGAGTTTGCCTTGATCCTGCTTGGAGCGTCCACTGAGCAAGCTGTCAGTGCCAGGACACGATACCTTCCACAGGAGGAAGCAGACGTGGTCGTGGCCGACGTTGCGGCGTTTTGAGAGCCGGGAAGCGTGGCATTGTGTCATCGGCCGTCTCGCCGAGGGCCGGATGCCTGCATACAATCATGCAGAACATCGGGTGGACAGGCAAATGCGGCCGGGTTTGTTGCCGCCGTCAGCTGTCGAAGGTGCTAGCTCGATACTGGAGATAGAGAAGCAGATTGTGGAGGTATAGTAGACTAAAGGCATTGATCACCACCACTACGAGGGTGTCCTCGGGACTGATTGCTGTCTTTGAGCACCGGTGTGACCAAACTAGAGTGTAATCCGGCTCGGGAGGGGCACCGCGGGTGGCAGTCAGGAAAACGGCCCACGGGGAATCTCACATTGACTGTGACCACCCGTATCCATGGCTGTCAGACAAGAACTGCGGGATGGAGTTTAGCATGGAGTTTAGCTCAAGGACTGCTGCTCCTCTACCGTAGACTTGGGTGACATGGTGTTTGACTACAGCTTGATGCTAATCTGGATGGAAGAGTCGACACGTTTAAAGGCATGGGTCTTTGACGGATATGTCGTCTCTGTTTCCTTGGACGAGGTTGCCGAGATGCCATGGGTCTGCTTCACCGAGATGCCTGTCATATCTAATCGCCTCTGGCCGGAACCCGATGTCATGCGGGTGGAACGGGACGCTGCATATGACGGCTCACATTTCTAGTTCTTTGCTAGAATGCTTGAAGAAGAGGAAGATCACCGACGGACGGGGCGGGTGGAAAGAAGGGAGGTAGAGAGACTAGGGGGGAGGATTGGGTTGGGCCACGAGACGTGATGGTTTGGGTGAATGAGGGAAGCCATGGTCTGCTCCACGCCCTCTTTCCCTCTTTCTCTTTGCGTCGTCTTATTTGGCACCTTAGTCCATCTTGCCCGAAGGAGGCGCCCGGGATGCCTTACATTAGCCTCCCTTCAATAATCAATGGGTGGTATCATTGGAAGAAAGGACGGAGATACGGTATCTTTCTTCACTCCGGCTGCCAAATTCACAGCTTTCCTTTCCGTGCTTCTTGCTCTTTCCATCCCATTGCTACGAACCTGGAAAGCTCTTTCCTCTGTGGTCTGTGGGCGGTACACACTGAATCAGACAAAGGAAGAAGGCGCTCTCGTCGCCCGTCGCCTACGCATACTTCTACGCTGTTGCCCTCCGTAGAGGTCGCCTCCACTTGGCTGCCAGGTCGAGCTTTCCTTCCCTTATCCCCAGAGTCACTCATCATCATCTCTCTCACTTCACTCTCATCCTACAAACTCACTCACATACCCCATCTCAACCAACCGTACAATCACCTTCAACAACCCGAGACATCATGACGGCCATCAACGAGCTCTCGAGCCACATCTGGAACCCGCTTCTGCTGTTCCTTACGGCCCTTTTCATATATCTGGGGTCCTTGAGCTACCGTTCATGGAACCGTCTCAGACACATCCCCGGACCACCAGGTGCCGCCTTGAGCAAGTGGTGGATGCTACGTAACACACTGGGTGGGCAGATGCATCTCGCTCTCAAGCGAGCTTGTGATGACTATGGTGAGTGAGCTCATGTCAATCCTCTCATCCCAGAAACACCATTTGGTCGCCCGGCCGAGTGGTTTGTTCCGGCCCCCCAAAAGGGTCTCAGACACACATACCGCTCAGCCAGGGAACATCAAGGACAAACGGCGTGTTTGTTTCGACAGGCTGCTGACAGGGAACTTTGCTTTAGGCCCGGTCGTCCGTATCGGACCCAACGACTTGGTAACCAATGACTCGGAAATCCTTCGTCGCATGTGGGCGGTTCGCTCGCCATACCGCAAGGGCGCTTTCTACGAGGCTGTCAGGTTCGACCCCACGAGGGACAACCTCATCTCCATGAGAGATGACCACGAGCACAACGAGCTGCGCGCCAAGATGGCCATTGGCGTAAGTCCACATCCTCTGTACGTCTCCTCATGCTCACATTGGTCCCAGTACTCGGGTAAAGAGAATGAAGGTCTCGAATCCGCCATCGATGGTCAGATACAGGCCTTCATCAGGCTCATCGAGGAGCGGTATGTCTCAACCACCGGTGCCTTTCGCCCGATGGACCTTTGCCAAAAGGTTCAATTCCTCACCCTGGACATCATCACCTCCCTTGCGTTTGGCTACCATTTCGGGTACGTCGAGCAAGATGCCGACGTCCATCAGTACATTCAGATGACGGAGCAGAGCATGCCTGCCATGATGACGCTCTCGGTATTCCCGCAACTCGCCAAGCTGCTGCAGTCGCCTCTATTCCGCCAAGCCATGCCATCGGAGCAAGACCGCGTGGGGTTCGGCAAGTTCATCGCGTGGGTAGCCAGCCCTCTTTCTTTTATGGTCGTAAGCAACTGACATAAAGTTAGTGTTGCCAAAAAGGTCGTGGCGGAGAGGCTGATGTCGGACAAGACGGCCAAGCGGCGAGACATGCTTGGCTCGTTCCTCGCACACGGCTTAACTCGAGAGGAGGCCGAAGGCGAGACATTGGTCCAGATCATTGCCGGGTCCGACACCACGGCGACCGCCATTCGAACGACCATGCTCTACCTGGTGACGTCCCCCTCCTGCTACTCGAAGCTCGCCAAGGAGGTGCGGGAGGCGGCCAACGCGGGCGCGATCTCATCTCCCGTGACGAATCGCGAAGCGAGCGGCCTGCAGTACCTGCAGGCGGTTATCAAAGAAGGTTTGCGGGTGTTCCCTCCCGTCACCGGTCTCATGTCGACGACGGTGCCCGCGGGTGGCGACTTTATGCACGGCATGAGCATCCCCGAAGGCGCCGACATTGGCTGGACGGCATTTGGCGTGCTTCGCTCCAAGGCGGTGTACGGCCCGGACGCCGACGTGTTTCGGCCGGAGCGATGGCTCGAGGCCGGCGAGGACGAGCTCAAGGCGATGACGGCGCAGTGGGAGCTCGTCTTCAAGTATGGAAAGTGGCAGTGCCTTGGCAAGACGGTCGCCCTCATGGAGTTGAACAAGGTGTTTGTGGAGGTAAGTTGCGGCGAGAACTTCCCAAATTTGGCAGCAAAGGTCTAACTCCGCGTATAGCTTCTTCGGCGATTTGACTTCGCCCTGGTTGACCCTGCCAAGTCGTGGAGCTCGTTCTCGGCTGGCATATTCATCCAGTCGGACCTCTGGGTGAGAGTCCAGAAGCTTGGCTAGTCAGTCGTGTCAGTGTGGGATGGACTTAGGACTTGGGACTCAGAACGCGTTGCAGGGACCGGAAACTCTGCACACAGTGGTGAGCCAGCTAATTGGCTTATAGATTGGCATATATGGCAGAGGCAGATTGACAATACAGACTTTCTCGTTGACTTCCGACTTGATACTGGGCAAGCCGCACAGGAGATGAAGCCTGAGTAATTAGAAGGTGTTCATCGTGTGTGAAGGGAAACCCCGAAAGCGAGTATCCGCGAACTCCGGCCATCCGAGTCATGCAGAGTGAGTTCAGGAGGGCTGAAAATTTACAGTGTGGTCCCAACATCCACGCACAGAATTCTGTGTTCAGTCGAACCGATCACCTGGAAGCCGTCTTAGAAGGTCTGGTGATGAGGTTGTGATTGTGACCAAGTTATAAAGACGGCATCAGTGGTTAGAGGAGGTTGTCAAGGTTGGTCGCTCCCCGCACTATTGTCATCCTGTGGCATCCCAACTCAGCTAGACCTGGGGAGCGGACTTATTTCCCCATGGTCGACCAGCCTAACCGAGCCTGAGAGTCCGCGTGCTGCACGACAATCGGCCCGCAACGTTGTTCTCCCCTTCACATCCGCACTTCGCACTTCACAACGCACTTCACAGCAACATCAAGGCAATGAGTATACTACTCGCTAGTCTGCTAGCTGAATGTTTTGTCCTAATCGAATAGACTGAATTGGGTTTTGCTCGCACATGTCCGAGAAACTCTGCCAAAGCAGCCCCTTCATTAGACTTCTAGAACGAAATGACGGATCCACGACGATCCCCTATCCCCCATGCTACCCAAGAGACACCATCCCTGTTCGCGTTCGATTTGGGATGAACACGCAGGGGTCTGCAGCACGATGATGCCAGTAATAAGCTTCGGGAGCTACTATTGTTGTTCTGTGCCCAGCTAGGCCCGCACTTTGCTATACGAATATGTCTCGGGGTATACGTTTGGGATATAAGAGTTTCCCATCCCATTGTCGACACGAAAATGTTCTAGTCTGGCACTTCAAGGACTGAGCAAGTAACGGATTCGTCAGACTCGACAAACATGACTATGACAAAGACGCTACTCTGTGCCGTGGGCCTCGCTGCCAACCTTGCCAGCGTTGCCGCCGCAGATCTCGACAACTTCATTTCCAGTCAAAGAACCATCGCGCTTAATGGCGTCCTGAGCAACATTGGACCTGATGGTGCTTCGGTTGCAGGCGCCAGTGCCGGCATCGTCGTCGCCAGCCCGTCCAAAGCCGAACCGGACTGTAAGTTCGTTCACCTAACGATGTTGCTCTCTCCCTGACTTTGCCAGACTTTTTCACGTGGACTCGTGATGCCGCCCTGACCATGAAGATGATTGTCGACGAGTTCATCCTCGGACACGACGAGCTCCAGGTCCACATCGAGGACTACTACAGGTCCCAGGCCGTTCTGCAGACAGTCGGCAACCCCTCCGGATCGTTCCTCCCGTCCGGCCGCGGCCTCGGCGAGGCAAAGTACCTGGTCGACGGCTCGCGCTTCAACGGCGAATGGGGTCGCCCACAAAGAGACGGCCCGGCGTTGAGAGCCATCACGCTCATCACGTACTCCCGCTGGCTCGTCGACAACGGACAACAGGCCAAAGCCAAGGATATCGTCTGGCCCATCATCTCGAATGATCTATCCTACACCGGCCAGTACTGGTAAGCAGAGCAGTACCCCGTAGCTTCGACAGACAGCTCACGCAAACAGGAACTCAACCGGCTTCGACCTGTGGGAGGAGGTCAGCGGCTCCAGCTTCTTCACCACCCAGAACCAGTACCGCGCCCTTGTCGAAGGCGCCGCCCTGGCCGAGACCCTAGGCGCGACCTGTACGGGATGTGAGCTGGCCCCGGACGTCCTGTGCTTTCTCCAGACGTACTGGGACGCTGCGGACGGGTACTACGTCGCCAATGTCAACACGCAGACGCAGCGCTCCGGCAAGGACGCCAACGTCATGCTCGGCTCGATTGCCGTCTTTGACGTGGCCGCGAGCTGCGAGGACCCGTCCATTCAGCCGTGCCACAGCAAGGCCCTGAGCAACTTTAAGGTCTGGGTCGATTCCTTCCGCAATGGCACTCTTTACCCCGTCAACGAGGGGATCGCGGAGGGCACGGGTGTTGCTCTCGGTCGGTATATTGAGGACACTTACTATAACGGCAATCCTTGGTGAGTCTCGCGCTTTCAGATCATCAAGACATAGCTAATCAGTCGCAGGTACCTCATCACCCTCGGTGCCGCCGAGTTCCTCTACGACGCAGTAGCGCAATGGAACGCCCACGGCCAGATCAAGGTCGACGCGACCTCCCTCCCCTTCTTCAAGGAACTCTACCCGACCGCCAAGGAGTCGACCTACCAAAAGAACAGCAACTCCACCATGGACTACGCCGGCATCATCAAGGCCGTCAACGCCTACGCCGACTCCTTTGTCGAGGTCGCGCAAAAGTACACCCCCGCCGACGGCGCCCTCGCCGAGCAATTCAACAAGACCACCGGCGTCCCGACCTCGGCCCGCGACCTCACCTGGTCCTACGCCGCCTTCATCACCATGGCCGAGCGCCGCGCCGGCCAGTACCCGCCCAGCTGGGTGCCCGCCGCCGCTTCGTCCGAGATCCCATCCACCTGCGCCGCCTCGACCACGACCGGCGTCTACGTCCCCGCCATCGCCGCGGGCGCGCCCAACGTGACGGGCTCCTGCACCGTGCCCGTCACATTCCTCGTCAACGCGACGACGTACTACGGCGAAGGTGTCTCTCTCCTCGGCAACATTGCCGAGCTCGGCGCGTGGAACGTCGACAACGGACAGCCCATGTCGGCGTCCGGGTATACCGCCGAGCGCCCGCTCTGGAGCGTCGACGTCGAGCTTCCTGCAGGGTCCAACGTCAGCTACGTCTACGTGCGGCGCCAGAGCTGCGGCTTCCTCTATGAGGAGAGGAACCGCACGCTCACGGTGCCGACGTGCAACTCTACGCAAAAGGTGGTCGCGGACGATGTGTGGGTTGGGAAGACGAATGGCTGCTAAAGAATATAGTGCTAATCACTGGCACGGTTGAATTCATTACATCGTAATAAAGATAGTTAAGAGGCGCAGTCAGATATACTGGGCCTTGTTTTAGTTTCCAAACATGTTGTTGCCGTCCGGATTGCCCATCATGCCGGGTCCTGCGCCCATGCCATTTCCACCCATGGGAAACCCCCCGAAACCTCCTCCAAAGGCTCCGTACGTGTCCATATCGTACCCTTGCATCAGGTAACTCCAGTCCATATCGATGACGTCGGCCTCGGAGGGAGGTGGGTTCATCACCGGTGTGCCCGCCGTCACGGACGGCGGCGTCATCATCATGTTCTGCGGGATCTGCTGCATAGGAAGCTGCGACGCGCTATTGTTCACCGGCGCCGCCCTCCCCACACCACCGGCCTGCTGCGAGACGCCGCCGGCACCCACTCCGACACCGGGACCGCCACCCATGCCCATCTCCGGCCCGGGCCGACGACGACCACTGTCACCTCCGTGCTGCTTCTTCCCCATCTTCTCCGCCCGCTGCCTCAGCCTCGTGATCCACATGGGTTCCTGCACTGGTTTCCTCCCAATCTGCTCCTGCCCAGCCTCGTGCGCGTCCCAGGCTTTAATGAACAGATTCCCAAAGGCAATGTGCATGGGACTGTGCAGCGTGCTCATCAGCCCCCTTCGCTCATGGTTCTGGGCAATGGCATCCCACGCCCTCTCGACCATCGGCCCCGTCAACCTATGCCGCAGCTCCGTAACCAGAAACATGTACGCGGGGAACGGAAAGTGAAGGTACGTGTACCACTTGTACCCCTGTAAGCTATCGGCAGCCTGGACGACGTTATCGTATTCAATCATCTGAATGGCCTCGAGGAAGAGCGTATCGCGCTCGTGGTCCGCCAGCGTCGTCGCCTCGCCGTTGCCCATGCGCACGAGGAAGGAGATGACGCGCATCTTGCAGAGCGATTGCCGCGTCATGGTGAGGGTGAAGAAGTGTAGTGGGATTTTCGGGTCGCACCACTTTAGGTACGTCCCTTCAATGTGTGCGAAGAAGCCGTCGAGGGTGTAGACTTGGTCCTGGCCGGCCATGCGCACCGTCGAGATGGGACGCGGCGGGGCCTGAGGGCCACTGCCGGCGCCAGCGGCGGCGTCCTTGTCCTTGTCGCCGTGGCGTTGGCCGTCGCGCAAGGTATCGCTGCTGATGGCCATGGCCAGCTCTGTGCGGATGAGGACGAAGAGCATCTCCGTCACGCCCTGGTGCGGCGTCGGCGCGTCCTTGCCGTTGACGTGGAGGTCTGTGTCGTTGATGTTGAGGGGCAGCTTGCAGTCGGCGGCGGTGGACAGAGCCGTCACGGTCGACCCCGTCATCTCTCCTATCCTGCGGTCGTAGCCTACAATGGTCCACCACAGTCGCCGGCGTTGCTCGACTTCGTACGGGGATAGGCCGAAGGCGGCGGCATCACGGTGGAGGCCCATCCGTTGGGCTATCCTCACGGCGATACCGACGAGGCAGAATATCTGGCGCGGGTCGACGAACATGCGAACGGCGATCTAGGTCGTTAGCGTACTTCTCTAAAATGATGTATGCTGACTTACCAAGTAGAGCATGTAGGCCTGCAGGACCATCGTGTCGCTGGTCCGCATAAAGCCTGCGTTGACCAAAGCCTGCTGGAGCGCGGTATGAAACCTTGACAGGACGGTGGGCTTTGGCTCGTTGAACATCTTTGCCACCTCGACGTCTTCTAGAGAGGTGATCGCCATGAGGTAAATGGCAAACATGAGCGTCTCGACGCTCTTTGGGATCTTTTCGAGGTTGGCGCTGGCCTCGATGATGAGGCCCTGTACCGTTGGCACATGTGTTATTTTGAGGAGGGGGTTGACATTGTTAATGTAGATTTGCCAAAGTTGAAAGATCTGGATAGGTGATGGGTGCAGATGCGTCACGGAGGCGTTTCGACTTCCCACGATGAATGGAAAGCCGTCCTGGTTGTCGTACATCTTGTCAAAGGCGTGGTGGATGGTTGAGCCGTCGACTTCGTCTTCTGACGAGTCTCTGAGCAGCTCCTCGCTGGCTCGAAACTGTGATCCAAGTCAGCGGTGCACATATCAAAGCAAGTCAAGGGAGCAAACCTCTTTGTGAAAGGGAAACCATTTGCTAAATGGTCTAGTTGGGGTCGAGTTAGCTGACGATCAAGTGTAATGGAGGGGGTCTTCGCACTTGTCGGACTGCGATCTCCGGCTCCCTGCAACGGAAGGGGATGTGCTCCCCTCTGGAGACGTCTTGAGCCCCTCAAAGTCGTTTGCGAGGTCGGCATCCTCGTCGAGCATGTGGTCATCGTCAAGGTGTGTCGAGTTCCTATCGCCGGCCTTGAGCTCGGCGGCGATGGGGTCGAACTTGACGCCATTCTCCGCTAATAGCGACTCGTACTTTTTGAGGCGGTCGACGAGATCACGTTCCTGTAGACGCTTCTTGCGCCTTCTGGGTGGTTGTGGTGGTATTACTCGACACTCTACCCGGGCCTTTACGCAGTTGGCACAAGGCTTGTTCTTGTCGCAGCGGACTTTTCGTTGCTGGCACAGCACACACGAGGTCCCCCTGGTAAGCTTCATCGCTGCCATGGGGTCGGGTTCGGGTGCGGGTGGAGGAAATGCCCTCGGCGGGGGTGGGAGCTGGGCTTCTCCCGACGACATGGTTTAGTATTATGTGGATGTTTCTCGCCTTTGGGGGTCTTGGGATGCAACAACGACGCGACAGTCAGCCACCTTGCAGGCGTGGTTCGTCGGCAGGCTTGTCCCCAACTCGGATCCGAGGGGTGACGTTTGCAGGCGAAACGTTGACGGGATGCAGCATATGAGTCTAAAGAGTAAGAGATCCAATGAAGAAGCAAGATGGGGCCCCTCCAGATGCTGCCGCCAAGTTCTTGCCAGGGTTCGTCTTCTCTTTCGGAGGAAGCTGTATTATTGACCGAGACGCTATTGAGGTGATGGTGTACAAGATGCTTCCGGGATAGGTGGGAGCCGCCGCTGTATGCGGGCCGTGTAGATAGCCAGCAACGGGCAAGCAAGAGCTTAGAGACGGGCGATGCGGATCACAATTCGTACAAAGCAATCGGGGGTGATGTGACAGAGAGTATAGTCTGCAGAGGTCACATACGGGGACGGCCAGCCTATGAGACGAACAACATGACTGTCTAACTTGGTCAGTCCGGTGCTAACAATTGAGGCTCTTTGCTTAACTTGGGCCTTCTCGTGTTGAGGTCAAAGGAAACCGAATGGTTGTAAGATGAATACCTGAGGGAGCGGGGACTGCGGTCAGCTACGTTACCCGCCCGGGACCGAAGGGGGTCACATCGGCGCTGCTCTCCCCGTGGCCCGCGTCTGCAAGGGGTCGAAAGTGGTCCAAGCTTTTCAGCTGGATTGCCTGATGGAGAGCCTTAGGTAAGCCGGAGATTGTTGCGAGATACCCGAGCACCCGGCGCTAATCCGGAAGAGGGCAAGCTCCACAATTGCCCGGACACAACATCGACCTCCGGTGCCCGAGCAACTGCAACGCCATGTCCGTACACTACCAAAAGACAAGGGCGAGAGCTGGGCAAAGCGACCCTCCTCTGGACATCCCCATCGGCCTTGACAAGTCAGCTTCTGGATCTCGTCATGACTTTTCTTCTTTTGAGACATTCCTATGCGGGCTATGATGGCGTTGCGTGGCTTCGCGTCGTGCCCTTTTGTCACTATGCTACCGGCCACCGCGTCGAAGACAAACAGGATGGCCAGGCTCGCCATATATAGCGATCCTCGCCTCTTAGTTCCATGACCCCGTCCTAGTGTCTTTCCCGCCAGACGAGCTCATGGTCCGAACGTGATCTGTAACTTGAGATCTGACCGTGCGCTTGCGAGTCCGGACGAACCTCTAGCTCCCTCGCCCGTTCCATTAATCGACATTTTCCCGCTGCCAAGCCAAAAAGTTTGTGTGCCGCTGCAATCTTTTGTTTACCTTTCGAGTCTTATATACATCTCAAGCCCGTTGTTGTCGTCCAACCCACCACGATAACGTCAGAATGGCGGACGCAGCGAGGCCCGTCGAGGGCGATACCGCCTCTGAGAAGACTCGCGAGGTGCAGACGTCCAACAGCTCCACGCGGACATTGACCCCGCGGGAGAGCGACGAGCGGCAGGAAAAGAAGTCGTCCGAGGAGAAGCCCATCGAGCCCGAGATTGAGAGTGAGAGACCGACAGAAAAGGCAACAGTCCAGTCCTCAGCGATATCAGCAAACGAAAGCCATCCCGATGTATCGAAGCAGCCAGATATCGACGAAGATGTTGATGAGAAGGCTGATATCGAGGGCGGACCACCCACGGGGCCCCCGCCCGTTTTTGATGAAGCTGAGGAAAACTTCAAGCCGAAAACCATCACCTTCTGGCTCGTCATCTTGTCCAATTTTGTAGCAATGTTTCTCGTCGCTCTGGACCGCACAATCATTGCCACCGCCATTCCTCGCATCACTGATGAGTTCCAAAGTCTGGGCGACATTGGCTGGTACGGCTCGGCGTACATGCTCACGACTGCGGCTTCACAGTTGGTGTTTGGCAGAATCTACAAGTTTTATAGTCTGAGGGGGTGAGTCTTGATGGTCCATGACATCAAACAATTCTAACACCGTAGCAGAGCTTTTCTTGGAAGCATCCTCATCTTCGAAATCGGCTCGCTCATCTGCGGTGTTGCGCCGAGCTCATCAGTACTCATTGCGGGCAGAGCCATTGCCGGTGTCGGTTCGGCTGGCATCTTTACGGGAGCGATGATGGTCATGATTCCCATGATCCCTCTGCATAAGAGACCCATGTTTCAGGGCATCTTTGGTATGGTGTTCGGCCTGGCATCCGTCATTGGACCCTTGGTTGGCGGTGGCTTCACGAGCAACGTCACATGGAGGTATGTGCTTCGGGGACATAGACTTTGACACGACTAACGATGAACAGATGGTGCTTCTACATTAACCTCCCCATTGGAGGCGTTGCCTTCGTCTTCTTATTCTTCATGCTCAAGGCCCCCAGACGACAACCGCAAGAGCCTGCCACTCTGTTCCAGCACTTTAAGCGGCTCGACCCCTTGGGCACATTCTTCTTCGTCCCGTCCGTCGTGTCTCTCCTCCTGGCGCTCGAGTGGGGCGGGTCAGAGTATGCGTGGAACGACGGCCGCATCATCGCGCTGTTTGTTGTGTTCGGCGTCGCGTTCATGGCGTTCGCTGCCGTGCAGGTCTTCATGCCCCAGACTGCTACTGTGCCTGTCAGGATCATCAAGCAAAGAACCATGCTGGCGGGCGCGTTCTTTATGCTGTTCTTGGCCGGCTCCATGATGCTGGCAGTATACTACCTGCCCATCTGGTGTAAGTAATGTGATCTAACTTGATTGTGAGCGCGCTGACACCTTCCAGTCCAAGCCGTGCAGGGAGCCAACCCCGTCAACTCGGGAATCTACACTATCCCTCTCGTCCTCAGCATCGTGGTATCCTCCATTATCTCGGGTGGCGCGACACAAAAGATTGGATACTACGTGCCGTCCATGATCCTCTGCCCGTGTATCATGTCCGTCGGTCTGGGCCTGATGAGCACTTTCTATCCAGGCATCAGCTCTGGGCACTGGATCGGCTACCAATTCCTGACCGGATTCGGCCTGGGCTTCGGCATGCAGACCGTCGGACTCGCGGTGCAGGCAGTTCTCCCCAAGGAGGACGTGTCGACCGGCGTCTCCATCAGCTTCTTTGCCCAGCAATTAGGAGCCGCCATCTTCGTCTCCGTCGGGCAGTCCATCCTTAGCAACTTGCTCGTTTCGGAGCTCTCGGGCATCCCGGGGTTGTCTGCGCAGGCTATTGTCAACACCGGTGCCACCAACCTACACAACGTTGTGCCGGCGCAGTTCTTGGACGTGGTCGTTCGGGCGTATAACTACGCCTGCACGCGCATCTTTCTGGCTGGTATGGGGCTGTCTCTCGTGACGCTGGTTTGCGCCTTGTTTATGGAGTGGAAGAATATTAAGAAGAACAAGAAGCAGCAGCGGGCTAAGCAGCGTGCCAGTCAGCTGAGGCCGGGAGACATGGGTGCGTAGATGAGGAGTGAAGTAATGATAATGATTATAGTACGGATATGGAGTCAGTACATAGGGAATAGGGTAGGTGAAAATCGTAAATTGGTATCCCATCGCGGCCTCTTCCTATTCTTAGTGATCCCATTGCTCACGATACAGTATAGTTCGACATTTTGATTACTTACTAGAACCAAAAAGAGTTCACCCCCCACCGGTGGAGAATGGGGGTTACATCTCTGGGTGCACATACTGGGACTCGAATACGGGGCTCGATGTTGAACAGTGATGAGTGTCAATTGCGGGGGTGGACAACTAAGGAAGCTTCTAGGCCATAACAGGAATAGCTCTGCAAGGCATTCTATGTATACTGCGGTAGATTCTTGTCCTCGTCCCAAATATCCGGATTGGAACACAAACACACCTCCTAACGTAGTCGCAACTCTTCAGCTTCACTTATCGAGTCCGTTGCCTAGACGTCCAATACCGGCCTTCGACGGAGGGTCGGAGAGGCTGGTGGGGCGAAGAAACAAAGACGAAAGAAACTCCACGCCAGTAACGACTACGGATAATGACCGAGTCGCGTCAACTTTGAGTTGGATTCGCCCCATTCATCAAATATAATTTGCTGCCCGTTGTGGTTGATTGCGCGCAGTCTCCTCTGCCCGAAACTCTATCGTCTAGTCCACGAGGTTTTGTCTCTGGCTTCCTGCCAACTTCAACTTCAACCTCCCGAAACCACGCTCCGCGGCTTGGACCGGACGTCACCTTGTCTTGGCATCAAGGACGCTGCCAATGCTGCTTAATTGGGCATGGACAAGGAGGAGCTTCTCGTCAGATTACTTCATGATTAACATGACTGGTCGGCCCATCCCGTCGTCGATCCGCAACCCATCTCAGCCCTAGAGACGAAGCCCGGGATTACTAGATCTGCCGGATGCTTCGTCGCGAATGGCATCTACATCACATCAAAGCGGCAATGCCACGCCTACCCTCGAGAAGGCAACGATCGCTGCGAAACGCAAAAGAGCAAGTAAACCCAAAGTGCGGACCGGGTGTCTGACTTGGTGAGTCTCTTGGCCCTGTTGTAATTGACCCAAAACTGACTCGTTGGCAGCAAGTAAGATCTCCACTTGAGACCAACCTTTCACCAATGCTAACCCTTCCAATAGAATCAGACGCATCAAATGCGGAGAGGAGCGGCCGGCTTGTTCGCGTTGCACGTCAACAGGACGAGCTTGTGACGGCTACGACAAAGCCCTGCCGATTCGGTCGGGATACAATGTTGCCGTCGTTCCCCAGAATCTACTCATCCGAGTCTTGTCTGAAAGCCAAAATCCTCGATTACTGCGTCCCCTTGTTGCCGACATTGACGGTACGCACACAGAGCGCGTCTACTTCCACCGTTTCCGCCGCATGGCAGAGGCCGGCCTCTGCAACCATGTCACGAATCTCACCAGTTTCTGGAGTCGCATCGCAACACAGCTAAGCCACTCGGACGAGGCCGTGAAGCATGCTATTGTCGCCCTCGGCTCCGCGTATCACATATATCAGACGGCCGCCCCCCGAGGCGGAGAGGCGCCTCCCCGCGAGCTCGAAATCTTCACCATTCAGCAGTATGGCACGGCCATGTCCAAGCTATCCAGCTATGCCCACGTTCCGATGAAGGACAGAATCACCGTCACTCTCCTCTGCTGCGTGTCGTTTGTCTGTATAGAGTCGCTACGGAATAAGTGGCGACCAGCGCTGACGCATCTGTCGAACGGCCTGCGTATCATTGAGAGTCTGCCCATGAGCATGCTCAACGAGCTGCGAGATGCTGTGCCCGCTCATGCTAGTGCAGACCCTTCGGAAGACGTCTTGGCAATGGACTACATCCTGAGGCTCTTCGCCACGTGGGAGATCTCCTGCGCGCTCTTTGCCGAGAACTTTAAGCCCGTCATCGCTATCAAATTGTACGAGGGGCGGGAGCTCGACGGCACACTGCTGGACGAATTCGAGACCATTACGGATGCGCACCGGGCCATTGTGCAATACACGCGTGACGTGTTCGCCCTGGTCTGGCTGACAAAGGAGCAACAAGGCGACGACGAGTTCTGGGCTCGCCCCGTACCGCACCGCCAGCACAAGATCCTCATGGAAAGAGGCGACCACCTGACGGGTCTCTTCCAACGGTTCATGGAGACGCCCCGAGCGCCAGCGAGCGGTACAGAAGAGCACTACTCCATCTGCCTCGACATGCTTCACTACAAATGCGCGCGTCTGATATGTCAGACACTACATCAGAAGCCGCACCAGAGGCAGCAGTCGCTCGATGTCGTCGCCCAGCACGCGGAGCTCGTGGCGTTGGCTACCCTGCTGCATCAAGGGCTGGTTACCAAACAGCGGGATACGGGGGCACTGCCTCGGTCGTTCACGCTTGATATTGGGATTATACCGCCCCTCTACTTTATACTTGTTACCTGTCAAGATCCCGTGATTCAGGGGAAAGCCCTGGGAGTGCTGCGAAACTACCCCCAGCGAGAAAACCTGTGGGACGGCAACTTTGTGCGCAACTTGTTGGTCACTGTTGAGAATGTTAGTTACGGGCCAGTCCATCCCCTAGAGGATGTACCCCATTCACTTGCGTTTGGGAAAGGCATACCGGCTCTCTATGAAAAGTTACAGGAACTACGTATTGAAGTTGAGGAGGACTGATTGAGTCAGCCGTGTTGCAGGCCTGTGAGACCGGGGGCTCTCTGATTTAGAATGGAATGACACAGCCTAGTTTTGAAGTTGAAGAATTCTCCTAAACTCTCCGATGATTTCTTGGGACCTCGGAATGCTATTTTGTGTCGTGATGCGTTAATTCATCGAAGTGACTGGTTCTGTTGCCATTTGTATGCTTGACTGATATATGCTTGACTGAAGTTGAGGTTGTCACCGTGACTCTGAGTCGGTACGTACCGAAGCTAAATGCGCGGGGCAGAGAGCTCCCTCGCCCGACCTTCAACTCGGTCACCTACAACACCACGACCTCGCTGTACGAGTATTGTGACCAGCTCCCCATCACCCAATTCGGCGCAAGATGGCGACATACCCTCACGAAGTACCCGCAATCGCCGAAGAAAAGACCGGTTTCGACCTCAACGTCCAGCATGGACACCAGGACCTCGTCCAGGCCGTCGCCTTCAACGCCTACGGCGACCGATGCGCGACAGGGTCCGTAGACGGCAAGATCAAGGTCTTTAACCGGCACAAGGACGGCGTCTGGCACCACTGCGACACCTGGGGAGCCCATGGCGGCGAGATCCTCGAGGTATGAAGCATCCAATTGCGCTGCGAGTGAAACCGCCGCTAGCGAAACATCGCTGACCTTTGCCTCGCCGCCCCCCCCCCCCCAGCTCCAATGGCTTCCCCCGACAGTCTACCCGAACCTCATCGCCTCTCTCGGCATAGAAGGCCGCTTCAAGCTGTGGGCGGAAGACCCATCAGCAGCCCCGGGCCGCCGATTCAGCGCCAGCAGCCGCGCGACGACGAGCAAAGCCGCCTACGAAATGCGCTCTCCCAAATACCCCTACCGCTCCTTTTCCATGAAACACAACGAGGAGACGCGGCACACTTATCTCGCTCTGCTCTCCACCGAGGGCCGCCTGGTAGTGTACGAGAACGAACAGCCCGAAAACATGTCGGAATACACACAAATTGACGAGCTGAGCATATGCCCAAAGCCGAGCCGCGGCGAGGAGATTAGCTTCAAGGTCCGCTTCGATCCGAACCTGGACCCGTGCTACAATGCCCTGAGGGCGGGCGTGGCGAGCGACTCGCTGGGTCTGGTCGTGGCGGGCATGTCGTCGGTCAAGATTTACCGCTCGAGGGACGTCATTGCGACTTCGTACGGCGTAGCGCAGACACAACGAGAGTTTTACCTTGCCGTCGAGGTGGGCGTCCATCGCGGCCTCGTACGCGACGTGGCGTGGGCGACGGGGAATATCAGAGGATACGACACCATCGCGACGGCGTGCCAAGATGGTTGCGTGCGCGTGTTCCGCATCGACACGCCGCACTCGGCCGACGACGGCAAGACGTGGGCCACGACGGAGCTCACCAAGCACGAGAATCACTACGCGCAGGCATCGTCCAAGGCGGGGCAGCCGAACGACAAGCAGCAACAGCAGCATCAATCAGGGCTCAGCGCGAGCTTGGCAAAGTCTGGCTCGCATGTGGAACGGCATTTCTCGGGGCAGCCGGGGCAGGTGAAGCACGTCTTCAAGGAGGTTGCCAAGCTCGACAGCCACCGCACGCCCGTCTGGCGCGTCGGGTTTGACGATGACGGACAGATTTTGGCCAGTACTGGTGATGATGGCAAACTTGTGTGCTACCGACAGACGCCGAGCGGCACGTGGGCGAAGAGCTCCGAGTTGGCCATGATCAAGACGAGAATGGCAACGGTTTGAGTCGTCACGTATGATGTTAATGGCTGGTAGATAGATGGGTCCTGGCCGAGTCACCCATGAGTATCCGGCGCAACTTGAAAGAGCTGCACGAGTATGTGAGTATCGTGCCGCAGCAAGTCAACGGCCTCGTAATCACTGCGAAGAAGTCCTACTCCCAACAGCCATCAGAGGCTTGGAGTATGCAACTGGAGAGGCGCATAGACACAAACGACGGGCATGTATCAAGGAAATGATTTTGATGTTAGATACCCTACTGAGAGGCTTCACAGCCTGCGCCGTCTAATGCAAATGACAGCCAAGCGCCCTTGATTACACATACTCTCTCTCTCTCTCTCTCTCTCTCTGACTTGCTTTTAGTGCCCCATTTTCCGTGTTCCGAATATTTACTTTCTGCTACGCTTCTGACCACCACCACCGTCGTCAGTCGCCTGGCGCTTCCGCCCGTTCTTGCGCCAAAACTCCTTGCTCTCCTTCTTCTCCCGCTCCTCCTTCTTCTCGTCCGAGGCGGCCACCTTCTTGCGGTACTCGGCGCGCTTCTCCTCCTTCTTGGCGGCGCGCTTGGCCACTTTATCGTTGCGGATCGTCGACAGCTGCTGCAGCAGGTTCCGCGCCGTCTTCTCCTCCTTGTTGAGCACCACGGCGCGCTTCTGCATGTACGTCTCCTTCTTCTGCTTGCGCTGCTGGACGATTTGCGACTTGAAGGGCAGGTCGGCGGCCAGGGCACGCGGGACGCGCAGGGGGTTGAAGTGTCGCGTCTCGCGCTCGATTTTGCGGTACTGGCTGTTCTTCTCGAGGGGCGTGTCGATGCCCTCGTCGCGGCGGACTTGACCCGTAAGACGCATCGCCTGCCACCCCACGAGGTTGGTGACCGGGTTGTAGAAGCGGTGGGGCTTGATCGGGTACCAGGCGCGGAGGAAGACGATGTCGCTGTAGAGGATCTTGTCCTCAAAGGTGGCGCGGAAGTGGCCTTCGGGTTTCGAGAGGGCGCGCTTAATTTGACCGCGGACGCCCGAGACGGTCTTGATGGCGGCGCCTTCGAACTTGGCGATTTCGAGCGCCGTGTTGAACATGCCCTTGATGAAGGCCGTGTTCTTGTGGATCTTGTCGGCCGTACCCGTGAGCTTGAGCTTCTTGACGATCTCGGTCGACTCGTCGACGCTGAGGACGGTACCGGTGGCCGCGACGCGGAAGCCGGGGTTCTCGGGGGAGAAGGAGTTGAAGCAGACGAAGCCCGTGCTGGGCGCGATGAGCGGGCCGTAGACGGTCGCGAAGCAGTGCGTGTGCTCGGGCGTGTATTTCAGCATGCGGTTCCTCGTCCGCGAGTCCGAGGTGCTGTAGATGGGCATCGTCTGGAAGCGGCGCCAGCCGAGGGAGAAGATGAGGGGATCGTTGGATTTCAGAATCTTCTTGTGCCAGCGGTGCTTCTTGATGCGCACCTGGACGAAGCCGAAGCGGTCCTCGGTCGGGGAGAGGCCACCGATGATGATGGGGTTGCGGGGGTTGAACTTTTCGACAAACTCGGCGGGAACGCCCTCGAGCACAATCTTGGCGTATTTGCCGGCGCGGTAGCCCTCGACGGCCGCCCGCTGCCGCTCGTCCAGCGTCTCGAACTCGGCCTTGTTGATGTCGAGCTGCTTCTGGATGACGGCCTTTTGCGCCTCGTACCAGTCGTCCTCGCCGAATTCCTGGTCGCCTGCTGCGCCTTCCCGCCGGGCGTTGGCCTTATCGTTCATGAACCCTTCGCGATCTTCCTCTTCGAACCGCAGCTTGAGCTCCTCCTTGCGCTTCGCGTTCTTTTCACGTTCCGTGTCGAAGGCTTCTTCCTCTGTGGGCTCCTCGGCGTCTCCTCCGTGCTGCTCGCCCGTCTCGAGATCCTCAAAGACACCGTCACCCTCGTCGTCCTCACCGTCCTCGTCATCGTCGATGCCGTCAAACTCGTCGTCGTCATCCCCGTCCTCGTCGTCACGCACACCCGCCGTGGTGAAGCGCTTCCGCAGAGCCTCGACGGCCGCCGCCTGTGACCACTTCGCCGCCAAGTCTTGGTAGTCGTACACGGGTATCGATCTGTCCTCGACCTTGTCTTCCTTGTCCTGCTTGGACTTTTGGAAAAAGTCGTCGTCCTCTTCCGCCTCAATGTCTTCCTCCTGCAGGTCCTCGCCGCGCCATTTTTGCAGCGCTTCGTCGGGAGACAGCTTCTCGTCGTACATGAACCTGGCCAGGTCTGGTGTGTGGTAGGAGCGTCGCTTGCCGTGGAGCTTCTTTGCGCGCTCTGCCATGTTCTCCTTCCACTTCATGGCCGCCGCCTCCTCGTCCGAATCAAAGTCTTCGTCGTCCACATCTTCGTCAGACTCTTCATCCTCGTCTTCGAGCCCCGATATTGAGCCGAGGTCCGAGTCACTGTCGGCAAAGGCAATGTCGTCTTCTTGGGCGTCCTTGTCGGCGGATTTCCGGAACATCTTGCCCAGCTTGCCTTCGTTAAACTCCTCCTCGACATCGGATTCGCCCTCGTCTTCCCCGCTGACGAACCCCTCGTCGTCAATCTCGCCGTCAGAGTCCTCGTCGCGGTTCGCGAAACGTGCGTGGCGCTGCGTCTTTCTGCCCGTGTCCTCCTCCTCGGCCACTTGCTTCAGCTGCTCGCCTCCCTTGAAGAGCTGCACGCCCTCCTCGGTCTGGCCCAGCAGCTTCCGCTCGCCCTGGAGTCCCATGATGAGCTCCTCGCCCTCGCCGCGCTCGCCGCCGTCCTCCGCGTCCCTGTCAAACGTGAAACCCTTTTCCCTCGTGATCCAGATGGCGTCGCCGTCGATCTTGAGCCCGCTGCGGTCGGCGAAAGGCGCGTAGAGCTTCTTCTCCTTCTCGTCGAGGCGTCGTCGTGTCGTCTTGCCGGTGACCTTGGCGAGAGCTTGCTCCATGGCTGGAGTCGGGCACGGGTCGGGCATGACTTCGAGGTTCGCCACGGTAAAATCGCCCAGTCCCGGAACGTGGACCCTCTGCCCCTGCTGCGTCATGTTGGTGCCGCGCAGGTATCCCGACAGCACGATCGACCGGTCGCACATGGGGTCTTCCTCAATCTTTGTGGGGTGGGTAATGTCTCGGTAGCTGTCGATGATGGTGTACGGGTGGGAGTTTCTCCAGATCAGGGGGCGGGGGTTCTTCATGACGGACAGGAAGCGCGAGAGGTTGTGGATTTCGCGGTCGGGGTAGCGTCCGTTCATGACACCGGAGAGGTAAAAGAGGTGCGCGCCCTGGTACAGCTCGCTCCAGAGCCTCTTCTTGAGTCGCTTCTTGGCGTCCCTGAGCGCCTGGGGTTTGCGGAACAGGTCGAGATGCGTGAGGATGCCAAAGACATTGCCGGGCATACCGGTGGCGGCGAGGATGTTGAGGAACTCCATTGTCTCCATCTCGAATCCGTAGTTGCCGTCAATCATGAGGAGGACAATGTCGGCGATCTTGGCCATGTCGACCATGGCCTCGAGCTCATTGGGGCATTCGACAAAGGTCAATCGCTGCTTCTTGGAGGTGACGACGGTGATGGGGCCTTGGGGGTCGGACAGAGTCTCCTTTGCGTATCGTCGGATCAGGGACTTGAGGAGGGTCGTCTTGCCGACACCGGGCGGTCCCACGATGGTGACCAGCCTCGGTGGCGGCTCGTCGGGGAGGCGATCGACTTGGGGGACATGGAAGCGTCGCTCTTTGATCTGTTTGGGACAAATTAGTTGATGGTAGTCTGTGTGAACAAGAGTAAGAACCGCACATCTGAAGATCTCGCGGCCGACCTGGCAAGCTTTCCGGGGTTAGAAAAGGCAAAGGCCTTGGGATTCTTCTCTGCGCGCTCGTCAGTATTCGGATTGGCGGATGTTTGTAAAGACAGAAGACTCACCCCCGGTGTGCTCCTTCCCCTTCTTTTCCTTCGCCTTGCGGTGAGGCTTGTGTACTTGGTCCTCCATGACGGCGTTGCCCAAAGATGTTGGGAGGTCCTGCAACTACAACTACACGACGAAAGACGGGCCTTGGGGGGTTTTTTTTTTCGTCGCAGCGGTTCGCGACTTGCCATCGAGCCATCAAAAATTTGTTGCGGGTCTGGCTTATCTAATCGATTATCGATAAGATAATGCGTGCCCCCACTTCCTCGTGTTACCCCTCTGTGCCCCTCCCTCGGGGATCGTCGTTGAGCCGACGACCCCACGATGGGTTCATTGTCAGAGGGTAGGACATCGTATTCTTGATCTTTACGCCAGCTGCCCTTACATTTATCACACTGGAATGTTTGGAGTGTTGAGATGCTTTTCAGGGAATCCCAGAGACCACATTGGATGCAGACATGGTGGTACTGAGCGGCAAACTTGACAAACAGACCCAAGGATACGTAGATACAGATAGAGAGAGGTACATCGAATTGGTAGAATGTTGGAGGCAGAAGGAGTTAGGTCAGCAATGACGGCATGGCCGATGACGACCTGGTGGTGGGAGATGATGAGAGATGGCCGGCGACGCATTGATTGGTTTCTGGGCAAAGTCACAAGACAATCCATGGCTCCGCAATCCTCTGCGCGCATCGGCAGGATGATGCGTGGAGAAACAAGATGCATGAGACGCCAGATCTGGTCTGTCTATTCACGTCTTATCTCGGCTGTTCACGTCGGACGTGTTGTGGATGCGCTCCATGCGCCAAATATGCCTTTAACGGCCAACTTGTTGGTGTCTTGCAGTAGATGGAGGGGACCATCTCGGTTCAAGACGCGCTTGGGATGACGTATTGCGTGTACATACGGGTAAGCAATACCTTAACAATGAGATAGGAGCAAGCAGATGCTGGTGCCATCCAATGCCTTACGTACCACACAGGCGTCCACACAGGCGTCCACACCCACGCAAGTCGTGGACATTAGTTGCTGTGGTTGCATGGACCTTCCCCTCCACTCGCTGGGCCACCCACGAACCTTTCCGCGTCACTGCTAGTTCCCGGCCTGTAGACTGTAGGCTGTACCACCCCGAGTTCCCACACCCATCCCGTCACTGTCACTGGTCTCTTGCTGGTGTGTACCGTCTAGAAGGTAGCACATCCCTTAGCAAACCGGGCAGGACTCATGCCTGCCGGCTTGGTTATAAAGAGACTCTGCCAGCCTCTGTCTACCCTGAGAGCTCTGGAATTTCAACCTCGCTCTTACACAACCACAAACCACAACACCCAGCAAACACACCCAACCACATCCATCAGAATGCCTACCTACATTGTGAGTACACCTCCTCTACACTGAGTACCCTCTATGTTCAGCAAGCTAACCTTGCCCAGGTCACCTGCAAGGAGGATGCCTCCGCCGACCAGGTCGCGGCGTAAGTCATCTTTGTCCCCATCACACAGATCAAGAGCTTCTGTTCTAACAGCAGTCCAGCACCAAGAAGCACGCCACCGACCAGGGAGGAAAGATTGGCCACGAGTACAGCCTGATCAAGGGTTTCTCGTATGTTCCCCCCTACAAACTCAGCACCACAGTCAACTAACTTGCTGCAGCGTCACGTTCCCCGAGGACCAGATTTCAACCCTCGAGAGCCATGAGCACGTCAAGCACGTCGAGAAGGACCAGGAGGTCAAGACACAATAGGAGGCTCTATACCGGGCGAGGGGATGGCAAGCTGTACTTGATCCACTACATACCTTAGACTCACGAGATTCTTAATGATTTACGCTTTACTTTCGGTTGCTGTTTCGTGTTTTTTGTGACACTTGGTTCCTACATCAACCTGCGTCAATCAGGCAAACATGCTGTACAAACAAGAAGCCTCCAAGGTCCTCATCCGCACCTGCCATCAACTACTTTCCTTACCGCAGGCCGGAGGGAGGCGCTTGGAATCGGCCCCCGCCGCCAGAGGTCCAAATGTCTCACCAACCCCCCGGCGCGGGGCTACAGGAGAGCCCGGACCATCCCTCCCAGGGGCCGTCGGTAACCACCTGGAAACCCCACAAAAAGGACAGTGCACAAACCACGCGCCAAGAGCCCAAAGCGTATGATCTCATGCTCTTTCCGTTACTGCCACTGCTGCAGCGTGTTGCACCAGAAACCTCCCCAACGTAATTCCCCTTGACCGCAACACTTCTCTTTGCAACCTCGACAATGCCGCCATGATACCCATCGCGAGACCATTGAGGCCCAAGACGCCCCAGAGGATACTCGCACATCTCTACAGTCCTTCAAACACCCGTCTGCTCTCTTCCTCTCGACACGGCCACAGTCATAGTCACCGCCATGGCTCCTCCCACCACCTGTCCCGTGTCGACGACCACGAGATTGTCCAGCTCGCCAACAAGACACAGCATCCCTTGAGCCTCACCGATCTGGTCAAGTACGGACCCCAATGCACGTTCTTTAAGTACTGACTAACACCATAAGACACGGCCGCCCTCCTCTGAGCGAAAAGTCCCTCCTGTCCTCGGCCAACTTCACCCTCTCCCTCCTCCCGATCCGCCTCGCCCACCGCATCCAGGCCCTCCGCAACCTGCCCTATATCGTCGTCTCCAACCCCAACATTAGCCGCATCTACAACAACTACGTCCACTCCCTTTCCACCCTCCTCCCCTGGTGGACAAAGGGCGGCGATAGCGCCGTCCGCACCCTCGACGACGAGATCCGCTTCACAGAGGTCCTCGCCGAGCTCGTGGCAACCCACACCGACACAATCCCCATTCTTGCCCGCGGCTTCCTCGAGTGCCGCCGCTACATCTCCCCGCAAGAAGTCACCCGCTTCCTCGACGAGCACCTCCGCGCCCGCATCGGCACCCGCCTCGTCGCCGAGCAGCACATTGCCCTGCACTACAGCTCACAGCCGCACTTTGACCCCCAGGCCAGCCCGACCCCGTGCCCAGAGCAGCCCAGCTACATTGGCGTCATCGACACGGCCCTCAAGCCGGCCCACATCATCGAGTCCTGCGCCGGCTTCGTCGCCGATATTTGCGAGCTGCGGTATGGCGTGCGGCCGCAGCTTGTCATTGACGGCGAACCTGATACCACGTTTGCGTTTATACCGATGCACCTCGAGTACATTGTTACCGAGCTTCTCAAGAATGCCTTTCGAGCAACCGTGGAAGCCAGGGACAACAAGGAGCCCATCGTCGTCACCATCGCCCCGGAGCCGCCCCGACCGAACCAGCACCTCAAGATCGAGGTGCCCAAGGAGACGCGGGGTGAATTCAGAAGCGACGCCATCAAGCCGCTCGAGGATAACGTCCCCGGCGTGACGATTCGGATCCGCGACCGCGGCGGCGGCATCTCCCCCGAGGTGCTGCCCAATATCTGGTCCTACTCCTTTACCACCTTTTCCGACGATGATGAGTTTCCCGGGTCCGACGATGGTGGCCTTAACGTGATTTCTAGCGCCAGTGCCGGTGGGAGTTCGATTGCGGGCCTGGGGTACGGTCTGCCGCTGAGTCGGGCGTACGCCGAATACTTTGGCGGTGGGATTGCCGTGCAGAGTCTGTACGGCTGGGGGACCGACGTCTATCTGCGCCTCAACGGCGTTGGCAAGATTCAGGAGCGCACTGTTTGATTTGACACTGCAGCCTTCACATTCGTAGACGAATTAGCAGAACAACTAAACAGATTCACGCGATCCATGACAAGATTCGGTATCTCATACAGATTAATTTGAACTACTAGGAGATGTATTATCCGGTGGAAGCCATCCGCAATGTGTTGCCAAAAAACTAAGATATGCCCCCAAACAATGAAAAGAAACATGGTAAACAAGATTTGTATCCAAGACATGTCCGTATCACAACGCCCCGAGTTTTTTTTAGATGCCTTCATTATACGACAGAGATGAAAGCTGGCCGTGTTATGTACGATTGCTGATATGATGCTGTTGCATGCATCCTTCCTTACATGTTGGCCAGCTCGTTGTCAATCTGTCTGTCCATAAACGTCCTCCTCTCGCCGACGAGTCCCGTCTGCAGCCTCTGCTCGACGAGAGCGCGCACCTGCTTCTTGGTCACGGTATCGAGGTCGACCTCGCGCAGGACGCCCTGGATGGCATCAATAATCATGCCGTCGTCGGGGCCTTGCATGTTGCCGCGCTGGAAGTCGAATGACGACGTCGACTGCGCGGCGCCGGCCTGCTGGCGGTTGATACCGAGGGCCGACTGGGAGCGGTTGTTACCGACGCCCAAGCCGGGGGAGACGCTGGCCTGGCCGCGGAGGTTGGAGACGCTCGGGCGGCTGCTTGGGAAGTCCTGGAAGGGCGTCTGGCCGCGGCCAATGTCGTGGGCGCCGAGCGAGACCATGGACTGGCGGTTGCCCATGTGCTGGTCGTGGTGGTAGGGGCTCGTGGCGCCCGAGGCGCGCGCCATGCCGCCAAAGGGCGCGGGGGACTGAGGCGGGACGTAGTGGTTGTTGCGGTTCATGCCGGTGAGGACGGAGCCCTGGCGGACGGACGAGTAGACGGAGCGGATCTCGTCCATTTCGTACTGGTCGTCGTAGCCCATGTCGGCCTTCTCCATGTAGCCGCCGCGGCGACCAGGGAGGTTGTTCATCATGGCGTAGTCGTCCCAGCGCTGAAGGGGGATGCTGCGGGGGTCGAAGCCTTCGTCGTCGACGGCGATGAGCTTCTTCATGCCCTTTTCTCCAATGACGATACGCGTGTTACCCCACGAGAAGTTGTCCTGGTTCCAGAAGGAGTAGATGGGGAGGGCAAAGTTGTAGATGGGGAAGGCGAGGATGTAGATGATCATCCATCCGATGTGCTGCCACTGCCGTTTCAGGATGAAGATGAGGGCTTGCAGACCGTACACGGCGGCGAGCATAATGATGGAAATCATGGGGAATTGTCCGGTCCTACTAGCCACGAGGTAGATGAGGTAGCCGAGGTAGAAGGTCGTCGCCGGGAGGATAATGGTACCAAAGAGATCGACAAAGACGATGAAGCGCATGCTGAAGCAGCAGAAACCGCACATGTCCTTGAGCTTCATCAGCTCAAACAGGTTGTGGATGGTAGAGTTGATCCAGCGACGACGTTGGGACAGCAGAACGCTCCAGGACTCGGGGGCGGCAGTCTGACAGTACGCGTCGGGGATGAACTTGAACTTCATGGACGGGTAGTACTTGGTCATCAGCGTCGTGAGATAACGATCCTCACCAAGGGACAGCAGGTTCTTCTTGTGGAGGGTGTCGACGTCACACACGGCGTAGTCGCGGATGATGTTGTCGGCGATGATGAGCGGTTTGCCCTTGTCGACGGTGCGCAGACGATACATTGTGAAACTGACTAGTTAGCTTGATTCTTACAAGGAAGTCAGGGTACATACCATCCGGGCAAACAGGTGACGGATCCGAAGAGAGACTCGAAAGCCTTGGCGAGATTGTGAGAGATGAAGTACTCGTAGACTTGAATCATAGTCCACCAGGTCTTATCGTCGTTTTGCAGACCAGTCTCGCCGCAGATGCCGGCAATCTTGGCGTCGTTGGCACAGGCGGAAACCAGTCTGTTGAGCGAGTCTTCCCGGACACAGGTATCGGCGTCAATCATCATCAGGTATTCGTACAGCTCGGGGTCCACGCCGATGATGTTGTTGATCTGGTGGAACATTTCCAGCTCGAGCGGGGACATGGGGGAACGGTGGTGGACGCGGTTGAGGAAGCTCATCAGCAGGATCTGGGAGTCACGCTTGCCTCTGTTACCGGGCTTGGCCTTGCTCTGCTCCGACTCCTTGCCGCACTTGACGATGACGAGGTAGGGGACGACGTTGCCCTCGAATTCGTACAGACCAGAGTACACCTTGCCGTAGTTGAGTTGCTCGCTGCCCGTGCCGACAGACTTGAAGGGCAGCGCGGGCGGGTCAACCTTGGGGTCAACGCCGAGGATATCCAGGACAATCTTGGGGGTAGGACGATCGTTGCCTTCACCGACAATGACACCATCGCAAATGACGCAGATGAGCTTGCGCTTGTTGTCGTACTGAAGGGCCGTCAAAGAGTCAAGCGCTTTCCGCAGCGAGTCTTCGCCTTCGGTATAGGCTGGCACTTGGCAAATGACAAACTTGTCTTGTGGAGCGGGACGACGCTTGGATCCAAACTGCAGGGCAGCCAAGAACTTGATGAGAATGACGGCGCAAAGGATAATGGTCATTGCCAACATGATGTAGTTGTTGGTCTGACACCTGGCGGAGTAGCGGAAGTCTGGAATGCCCACGTAGAACAGATTCTTGGCGCAGTTTAGACTGTTCTGGACGCTGGTGTTCTCGGTCGTGTTGCTGGCGGCGGCCTTGATGATGGAGTTCCAGTTGTCGGTGATGTCTTCACCGGGGTTGTTCTCGACAGCGCTCATCATCTTGGTGTTGAGGAACTTGTACGTGTCGACCTGCTTGAAGACGTCCTGGGTGTGGTAGTAGTTGGTGAAGTCGTAGACGCCGCCGTTGTAAATTACCCACATGTGACTGTTGTCTTGGCCGTCCGACTTGACGTCGCTCTTGTCCCAGACGAGGTCGCCCTTGTAGAACTCCTTCATGCGGGGCAACAGCTTCTTGCTGTACCAATCGGTGTCACCAAGCGCGCTCGTGCGGTCGTCGGCCAGAGAGCCAGACTTGTGGATACCAATGGTGTACTCGGGGGTGTTGTTGGCCTGGAGGGTGGTGGATGAGGCGATTCCGAGACCGGGACACACCAGAGTGAGAGGGGGCGGGAAGTAGTCATCCATGTTCAATCCGGCGA